CTTAGCATGTGCCTTAAGATAAGTAATAATAGTAAAATTAATTAAATTCTGAAGGTTTTTGATAAATTATAAATAAAGTGCCCCTTACGCTTACCGGAAATCGTTCAAAAATTTATAGAAATCTAAGAAAAAGGGAGCTAATACTTATTTTAAAAATGTCGTCCACCTAACTAAAACGGTACTCAGGTTATCGGTAATTTAGAAACCGGTTATAGAGTTAAGTGCCACCTCCGGATGTCGGACGTCACTCAAAAATTAAAAGTATCCTAAGTATAGGGTCTTATAGCCTAATTATAGACGCAATTTCTTCTACCTAACTCAAACAGTAATCGGCTTTAGAGAAACGGGAAAATCTCATAAGTTGAAAGAAAACAACAAATGGGATATAATAGTTAATACGTACAAATGGAATCTTGTCAACCTAACTGAACGTTTTTGTGTTCACACACAAATACAGAAGGGGAGAGGGGGTTTACTTCCATTTTTAAAATTATATTCCGTATAGGAAAAGTAAAAATCCCAGAACAAAATGGGCGATATCTGGAAACCATAGTCACAACGAACAAACTTATTTGGATCCAATTGTGAGCGTCACGGGAAAGTAAGCTTTAGCAAGAAGGTTGAATACAATAATAACAGCTGTGGTCGAGGTCCAAATTATGGCTTCTGTAATTACAATGGTCGTGGATATGGGGTGACTAAATTTTGCAGGTAGCTTTGTTGTCATAAAATTAAAAGCCGAAGAAACACCAGCTCACAGACTAAACTAAGAGGTCTGCTCTCACAAACCATTAGGCGAATATACATTGACTTTATGAAAGTTGCTTTGTTTTGAGCCTAATCTGTACGTGTTTGTGAAGTAAGGGTTGGCCGGGTGAAATATGAACCAACTGTCTGCAGAGAAAGTATTTTATTGGTAATTTTGTTTTAGTACAACGTGCTTTACATTATATATGTGAAACATTGCCAACTTCAGGTCAACTGGTCAAGTGAGCCGTCAGTACAGGGTAGTTGTCTCGTCATGTCAGGGCGACTGGTCAAGTGAGCCTTAGGTACAGGGTAGTTGTCTCGTCATTTCAGGGCGACTGGTCAAGTGAGCCTTAGGTACAGGGTAGTTGTCTCGTCATTTCAGGGCGACTGGTCAAGTGAGCCGTCAGTACAGGGTAGTTGTCTCGTCATTTCAGGGGGACTGGTCAAGTGAGCCCTAGGTACAGGGTAGTTGTCTCGTTATTTCAGGGCGACTGGTCAAGTGAGCCCTAGGTACAGGGTAGCTGTCTCGTCATTTCAGGGGGACTGGTCAAGTGAGCCCTAGGTACAGGGTAGTTGTCTCGTCATTTCAGGGCGACTGGTCAAGTGAGCCCTAGGTACAGGGTAGTTGTCTCGTCATTTCAGGGCGACTGGTCAAGTGAGCCCTAGGTACAGGGTAGCTGTCTCGTCATTTCAGGGGGACTGGTCAAGTGAGCCCTAGGTACAGGGTAGTTGTCTCGTCATTTCAGGGCGACTGGTCAAGTGAGCCCTAGGTACAGGGTAGTTGTCTCGTCATTTCAGGGGGACTGGTCAAGTGAGCCCTAGGTACAGGGTAGTTGTCTCGTCATTTCAGGGCGACTGGTCAAGTGAGCCCTAGGTACAGGGTAGTTGTCTCGTCATTTCAGGGGGACTGGTCAAGTGAGCCCTAGGTACAGGGTAGTTGTCTCGTCATTTCAGGGCGACTGGTCAAGTGAGCCCTAGGTACAGGGTAGTTGTCTCGTCATTTCAGGGGGACTGGTCAAGTGAGCCCTAGGTACAGGGTAGTTGTCTCGTTATTTCAGGGCGACTGGTCAAGTGAGCCCTAGGTACAGGGTAGTTGTCTCGTCATTTCAGGGCGTCTGGTCAAGTGAGCCCTAGGTACAGGGTAGTTGTCTCGTCATTTCAGGGGGACTGGTCAAGTGAGCCCTAGGTACAGGGTAGTTGTCTCGTTATTTCAGGGCGTCTGGTCAAGTGAGCCCTAGGTACAGGGTAGTTGTCTCGTCATTTCAGGGGGACTGGTCAAGTGAGCCCTAGGTACAGGGTAGTTGTCTCGTTATTTCAGGGCGACTGGTCAAGTGAGCCCTAGGTACAGGGTAGTTGTCTCGTCATTTCAGGGCGACTGGTCAAGTGAGCCCTAGGTACAGGGTAGTTGTCTCGTCATTTCAGGGGGACTGGTCAAGTGAGCCCTAGGTACAGGGTTGTTGTCTCGTTATTTCAGGGCGACTGGTCAAGTGAGCCCTAGGTACAGGGTAGTTGTCTCGTCATTTCAGGGGGACTGGTCAAGTGAGCCCTAGGTACAGGGTAGTTGTCTCGTCATTTCAGAGCGACTGGTCAAGTGAGCCCTAGGTACAGGGTAGTTGTCTCGTCATTTCAGGGCGACTGGTCAAGTGAGCCCTAGGTACAGGGTAGTTGTCTCGTCATTTCAGGGCGACTGGTCAAGTGAGCCCTAGGTACAGGGTAGTTGTCTCGTCATTTCAGGGGGACTGGTCAAGTGAGCCCTAGGTACAGGGTAGTTGTCTCGTCATTTCAGGGGGACTGGTCAAGTGAGCCCTAGGTACAGGGTAGTTGTCTCGTTATTTCAGGGCGACTGGTCAAGTGAGCCCTAGGTACAGGGTAGTTGTCTCGTCATTTCAGGGCGTCTGGTCAAGTGAGCCCTAGGTACAGGGTAGTTGTCTCGTCATTTCAGGGCGACTGGTCAAGTGAGCCCTAGGTACAGGGTAGTTGTCTCGTCATTTCAGAGCGACTGGTCAAGTGAGCCCTAGGTACAGGGTAGTTGTCTCGTCATTTCAGGGCGACTGGTCAAGTGAGCCCTAGGTACAGGGTAGTTGTCTCGTCATTTCAGGGCGACTGGTCAAGTGAGCCCTAGGTACAGGGTAGTTGTCTCGTCATTTCTGGGGGACTGGTCAAGTGAGCCCTAGGTACAGGGTAGTTGTCTCGTCATTTCAGGGGGACTGGTCTATTAGTGTAGGGGTGGGTTTCTAGTCATTGACACGCTTAGTATGGACAAGTCACACAGAGATCATCCAGAGTGACCATGGTACCTGTTAGGTAAACCAGGTACTTTGCAACAGGTGCTGGGTATTATAGTAGTAACGGGCGCGTCCACAACTACGTTTTGGGTTAGATGAAGAAAGTAAACAGTTTAAACTAGGAGCAGCATGCTGTGTTCAAATTAGGAAAATTAAATTTATTTTGGATGGAACTCGAACCTGAAGTAACGCGAATCTGTTTACGTTACGAATTCCTAAATATTTATAAATATTCTCTCACTCCTCTTAGTCTGAAAATATTAAAAGTATCTATATATATATAAGCGGCTCCATTCATAAGGAAATGCGGGATCCACCAATCGTGTCTTCCAAATAAACTCTCCGATTTCAATGAATTAAACCGACAGTAGACATGTTTTACCATAAAATCGACACACCTTGTGTCAATAGCTATCTTATTACAAAAAATATTCTTTTACCAGCGGTTTATTTGAAAAGCTTGGTTATGACGATATGTTTAAAACAGTTAATAATACATTGCCTAGTTTCAATACACCTTAATAGAAAGGGTCCCTCCTCCTTAGTGTTCCACTTGCCCACGCCAGCAATAACACGTCAGCGGGGTTCACACTGGAGGTGCACTGTGGATTCCTACAAGAGATTGCCCCCAGCTTAATATTTTTAAAACTTTGCTCTAACTTTTAATTCGATCGATACATAAAGGCCTACATTTAAACGTTATCATCCGCGTTTGATAAGAAATAACATGTTTTTAAAATACAGCTTATCGCAATATTTCAAATAAAATTATGTGTGCCACGCCTCCCCCTCCATGCCCAGTTCCACCGTTAAATCAGAAAATCAAACTAGCCTGTTAGCTAGCGGCAGAGGCGTAGCGACCCTCCACGGCGCCCGGCGACAAACTTTCGATGCACTTCCCCTAAATCTTTCGATTTGCACCCCCCCCCCCCCCTAAAACTTTCAATTTGTTTTTACAACCCATTTTGGGAGCCCCTTAAGGTCGGCGCCCGGGGACATATGTCCCCCTCGCCCCCCACCCACCCCCCCTCCCTCGCTACGCATCTGGCTAGCGGTTGAACATTGTTAAATGTTCACTAAAGGCTGTGTGTTGAGCGTAACCGTTGAATTCTAACGTATGGTCAAAATGTGTTGAATTAAAATTATTCCTTTTAGAAAGGGAAGTAGCACTCTGTAAGTATAAAAAGTTCTAATAACCAATTGGATTATGCCCCTTTTAGTTGTCTAAATGGCTTCCTGATGAAAAAAATCCTAACAAATTAAACAAGCAGAAATGCTAAAGCTTACGCAACACATTGTGCACGATGAATTTTAATTGAATTAAATATGCTATCATTTGATCAAGTACAAGTCTGCAAACAGCTGTCTGTTCCCAGCTTGTATTTCAATGTCACACAAGTAACAAGTAAACTAACTATGAATGTTAATAATAGTTAAAATATAGGTTTCTTAACCATGACCCTAAATACTAAATATGATTCATAGAAAAAAGTTAATTTTATAACATTTCTAATTTTACATTATAAAGGGTGTACTAAAGAAAATGTAATAATTTTAATAACTTTCTTATAAAACGCCACTATCATTCATTAATGTGAACATGAATTAATAATCAGAAATGATTAAAATCATTTAGATCTGCTTGATTTCCTACAACAACCTTCATATATTTTCTGCTTTATCGCAAAATAACTAGAAGTGCAGAACTACTCAAAGCATTTTGGAGTGTCAAAACTGTAACAAAATAACAAACAAGTATTCAAAACCTCAATGAAATCAACTCAACAAATGATTAAACATGAAAACCAAACTTTAAAACTAAGAACACAATTTGTAAAAACTCAGTTACACCTACCAAAAAAAGAAGAATCGTACAACTCTTATCTGTTATAAACACATAAATATATTCAGTTGAAGCTCACTATAGCTAAAGCTGTATTTATATTTATATATTAACACAAAGTATAACTTTGATCACTTGTTTAATGACTACTAAGGCAAAAAAATACACAATTATCAAGACATGAATGATATATGAAATATCATTAAAATATATAATTACATTGAAGGAAAGAAAAGCGAAAGCATATGAATAAGATGTATACAATTAAAATAAATGATGTGCTTGAATTTATTTATTAAAAGTGTATTTTAACTGAAAAAATAGAATATAATTTTAGAACATCACAGTCAGTTAAGCTTTCTTAGAATAACAATACAAATTATGTCATCACCATCATATTACAGAGAAATATGGCACCAGCATAATTAGATTAGAAATATATCATCATTCTAGAAAAATAGGTAACCAAATTAGTCACATTCTAGAGGAATTAGTCACCAACTAAGTCACCTTCTAGTGAAATTTGTCACCTCTTGGTCACATCCTAGAGATTGATGATATCAATGTTAAAAGATGCAACTACCCTGGAAATGTATTCCCAATGATGCACTATAATATAATTGCAGCTCCCTTCTGACTTATGCATCATCTCCCAAAGGGAATAGTCCGGCTGGCTGGGAACCATGCAGGTTGATAGTTATCTTGGTCACTTTGCATTTTCTGCTTTGCCTTTTTCTTTTCCAGGTTGGCCTTTTCCTCCTAGAAGAAAACAAACAAACCCAGTATATCATTGCTAGCAGTATCTCAAGGATTAAAACATACATGTAGCTTGGCCAAAAAAACTGTTTCTTATTTATTAAAGAATAAAATATCAACCTTTTTAGCCAGCCATTCTTCATACAGTTCACTAGCTTTTTTTTCTTTTTCTTGTAGTTCTTTGATCTCTTTCTCTTCATCTTCTTTACTAAGTTTCTTCTTTTTTATTCCTTCAATCAATGCTTCATCTTTTTTCTTTTTCCTTGTTAGGTTAAAACATTCAAAAATAAAATGTTACTGCTAAGCTTAATACAAATAGTTTTACTTAATTAGGCATATATTATTTTTTCTATATTGCCATAATCCTGGTTAACTAAAGAGCCATAAACTAATGAAGCCCCAAATGAAGCTCCAAGCCAATGTATGTTCTGCACTTTAAAGTTTTTTCATTTTTTAACAAAATCAACCAACCTTTTTCATAATTTACAAACAAGTAGCCTATATTAATATTGATATTGCAGGTCAAAATAGACAATGCAAAATTATGGGAGATGTGTCGATTGGAAACAATAGAAAGGCAAATGATGGAAAGGAAATTCTATGGCTTTGGGCACACACTTAAAAAAAAAGTACTGCTAATACAGGCCTTGAAATAGAGCCCCCAGGTCAAAAAACGCAAGCCAAAGAAGGCATGGCAACATAGTGTAACGGAGGAGGCCAAAAGGATAAGAAGGAGTTGGGAAAAGTTGAAAAGAGTGGCAGGGAGACAGTGGAGAGAGGATAGCTATGACAGAAACCATGTGCTCCACAAAGAACAAAAAGGAAAAGACTAGTGATTTGAAATTTTACTCCAGAGAAAATTGTCTTAATAGCCAAATTAATATGTAAAACAGCTTTACCATTTGTTAAAAGCAGATAGGTTATCCTTTTCTTTTTCACGTTTGGTTTGTTTCATTTCTTCTTCTTCTTTTTGCTTTTCCTTTAGCTTTACTTTGATATCTTTCTTTATGACTACATCTTTTTTCTTTTTCCAAGATTCAAATGACTGTGGGATGTATGTGTACATGGGTTAATTAATACTTTAATTTATTTCAGTGTTTGAGAAAAATATAACAGATAATAATGGTTTTATCTTAAAATTAACATCCTGAAATTTTCATTTGACATCACATTTTTAGTTAGATTACATTAACTCTATTATATTACCTTCTGTGCTTCTTCTTTTTTCTGTTCATTGTCAAGCCTTTCTTTTTCTTTTTTTTTCATCTCTTCTTTTTCCTTTTTTGCTTTTTCTGAAAGAATAGCCTCTTTCTTGTTTTCCATCCAGGATTGGTAGGATTTCAGAGCATTCAGATCTTTTTCTTCTTTCTCCTAGAGTGTTTAAACATTTTAAGAAACATTAAAAACATTACTAACATAATTAGATATTAAATTCAGTCTTGGAAAAAAAATTTAATGGAAGGCTTGATCAAAATTAAATAAAAAATTCCCATAAGAAACACTAGAAAATGTATTTGGATATTTTATTGAGATTTTGTTTTAATAAATGGCTAAGTATGGTTATCTGTAACCAAATTACTTATCTTACTCTTAGAATTTGGTTCAGGATTACCTTAGGCATATGGATTTGTAAAAAAATGTAAATAGAAGTACAGTTTTGACCACTTGTAAATCAACTTGATAAATTTCAGTTTTCCCCATACAGACAAAGGTTCTAACAGTAACAACAGTAATAGTAATATTTATATCTATAAGCCTATAATAATAAAAATAAATATAAAAAACCTTTTTCTTTTTCTCTTCCTCTTCCTTAGCTTTCATTTCCTCTTCCTTTTTCTTTTTTCTTGCAGACTTTAAATGCTCTTGATACCATTCTAGATATATAGCCTCTCGTATGTCACTAGTGCTGCTGAATTGGCGCTCTTCTGGACTCTGTTTAATGGTCTGCCCGGGTAGCAAGCCATACCGTGGTTTGGGCCTATGTTCTACTTTGGCACCAGCTGTAACTGGCCTATTAAATGTTGTATACCCAATATCAAAACAACTTGCTTTAAGTTTAACAATGCAAGAAAACATTTGCATACACAATGTACAATGACTTGTTTTATGTAGAAAAACATGTATACAATAAAACTGGCTCTGCTAATAAAACTAATTGTACTTACCTAATTTTCTTAGCAGGGGAAATGTATTGCATGGTTTGAGCACCAGCAACAGTGTCTATAAAACTTTCTGTTTTTTCTCGGTCTGTTGACATTTTTTCTGACCTATTAAAGAATAAGGTAAAATAATGTTAACATTTGAGAGGTTTTTATCACATAATAGTAAATTGTTTTCTCTGCAAAAATTTAATAAAAACACTCATAAACTTATGTTGTAATCTATTATACTAGCATCATAAAAAGTATATAAACATTTTTAGCAGTGTAGTACTCACACAGCTTTTGACACATGCTTGTTAGGATCTGGAGGAATCTCCTCACAAATGGAACTGGTTTCTTCTGGATTTGGCTGTTTGTACTTTAATGGGGAGATAACAGAGGGAATCTTCCTTAGGTCATTATTTGATTTACTAGGTAATTTTGATGACATTTTATCTTCAATAGATCCATCTCTGGAAATACTGCTTTTCATGCTTTTTTTTTCTTCTCTGTCTTCTTGTTGGTCTGAAAATTTAGACTTTCTGCTCCGGGCAGAGGGTTTAGGTTCAACAGATGTGTCTGTTCCTGTCATCAAATCTAACAGGGATGGAGTTTCAGGGGATTTTTTTTCTTCTTCATATTTTTTATCCATTGGAGATTTTCTGTTTTTGAGCTCAGACTTGGATTCTGTTGGTGTTTTTCTGCCTGTAAAATCTTTTCTAAAAGAGTTTGGAGTTTTCCTCTCTTCCAGCACTGACTTACTGGTAGATTCTGGGCTTTTACTTCTGATCTGCTCTCGTTTAGATTCTCTAGTGGGACTGGAACTAGTTGATTGTCTAGAAAAGGAGTTTTTGTCTTTGTTCAGCTTCTTATCTGACATATAAGACTCTAACTCTTCTTTGCCTGAAGTTCTACTGTGACCAAAAAGATCCAAATATGCTGGTGATGTTCTTCCTACACTAGATGTAGGCGTGCTTCTTTTTTCATTTCTTGAAATATCCAAAGAAGGAGATGTCCGGTTAAGTTCTTTGTTTCTAGCTGTTGGCTTGGGTTTTTCATCAATGTATGTGGATCTAGCAAAAAATAATAAAATAATGATGGTAACTTGACAATTTTATTAATATAAATGATAGTACTTTGACATTTTTATACATATAAATAATGGTACTTGAACACTTTATGTAAATAAATGATGGTACATTGGCATTGTTTCAATTTATGACTAAAATAGCCACTGTTCATATTTATCCCTTTACAGTCCAGTCTCATGCTTTTGCCTGAGAATTTTCTATTGTGATATAGTCCAGTGTGTACAGTATTTTTTATCTACCAACAGAAGCAGGAAATAATTTTAAAAATTAACATAGTTTTCATATTTTGGTGGAATTTTTTTTTTTAGCATTTAAAATACTTTTTCTAATTTGAAATAATATTAAAAGTTGCATATTGTTTACATTTTTTCTGAGATAAATTTTATTTTTATTTACCAGTAGTAAAATTATTTTAGATAGGTATTTAACCTCATACATAACTTAGACCATTTTCCTGACCATTTGGGATAAAAACAACCTTTAGGCCCGTATCCTTAAGTGTCAAGACAATCCATTACTACTATAAAGAAACTAAAAAACAAAGTTGTTCCAAATAAATGCCAAACCTCGGAGAGGTGTCAGTCTTCTGTCCTCTCTGAATTCTGGGTGTCATCTTTTCCCTTGGAGTTTCAGAGATGGTATCAAGCATAGAGTCTACTGGAGTGACACCATGAGATCCTAGGGTAAATGACATAATAATATTATGTAAGTTTCTTTAGAAATGGCTGATGTACTTTTTGGTGTACAAAAATATAAAAAAACTCACCTTTATTGGGTTCCACTGATGAGTTAGGGGAGACATTACGAAAATTTGGAGGATGCCACTGTTTATCAGTTACTCCATCACTTCCATTAAGACGCTGGAACAGCCTTGTTTATGATAGAATATTAACCCTTAAAGCGCTCAGCTGGTATTCAGGAAGTGCATTAAAAAATGGGATCAAAATGGCAATGTTTACAAATTTTGATACCCCCTTGTAATATTACCATTTTAAAGTGTGATCTATACATTATAGACCTATGAACCCATACATTAATGGAAAGCTTAAATAATAAAGAATATGAAAACACATTAACTATTAACAGAAAAACACAATAGTAAAAATTTAAGAAAAATGAAATACAAACCATTTTTTTACCTTCGTAAATAATTTTAATTCCTTGAATAAAGTACACATAAATTTTCAAAAACAAACACCACAATCTAAAAAACAAAGTACCAAAACCAGCACATTTATATCCTTGATAAGAAATCACACACTAGTAGTAAATATAGGGTCCTATGGTATTTGGCAAAGCATTCCGGACACAGTCCAACATTGCAACCAGAACACTCCCACCCACTTCTGACTCTTGCAGAATGACCTGCAACACACTGTCTTTTTTTGCACACTTGTAGTTTCACTAAATCATGGCCATCTAGTGGATAACTGTAAGCAGAAGGCACTGGGGACTCAACACCATTTCTGGTGGTTGATATTTCCTCCCTTGTCCGTTTGCGACGAACAATTTTTTCTGGTGTGAATTTAGAGGACAGGCTCTCCAAAACAGAAATGATAAAATTGCACCTAAAAAGCACAGGCTTGTCTGAAGTGTTCAGCTTGTATAAGATATAGCTGTTTAGCACAGCTCTACCTAACAAAGAGAAGAATACTTTATTTGTCTATTTGAGGGTTTGACGTTAAGCCAGGTACATACAGTTTTTTTTTAATGTGCAGGGAACCATGGTGTTTCTTGGCTATGGTGGCAGGAGTCCCAATAAGCATTGGAATTGGGCTTTTGATTTAAGCCCATGTTCAGGACCACAGCATGAAAGGCCCTAAATTCAGCTAGGGTGAGTGGAGTCCATTTGTGGACTCTTGATCAGGGAATGATGTCATAACTTCTCTTTGTTGCTCTCGATGAACTCGCTAGCGTAGCAGTTGGTCTCAGCTATGATAACATTGGTAAGCTCTGATGATAAAAACAGATCCAAGTATTCAACAGGCTTAGCATTAGCAGCTGGTTTATGCTTGGGTCCTGGATTTGCTGTAAACTGGATAGGTCTAGGGCCACAATCCTCTCCAACAATAGGCTGCCAATGTCCATCAGCTGTAAGAGATTCCCTGTCCTCTGAATCTGAAAAATAGTTTAAATTTATAATTAGAGCCTATTATTTTATTTTTTAATAATTATATTGACTTCATTTACATTTGTTTACCTAAATGATATATTTAATATAGAGATCTAGATATTCATTCATAAATTTTGAAACAGTATCTACCTAAAGAGGTGGGCGTGGCACTTCAAGCACCCACACCCTTACAGTAAAAATAAAATAATGTAATAATTTTCCCGACACTAGATCTACTTTCACTTTATTTTTAAAATTCATCACCAAGCTGAAGAGAAAGTATTTGTATTTATTAAATTCGAACACTTACCATACAAATCATCTAAAACGCTGCTATCAAAGTCATCATCAGTCTCAATTATGTTCTTGAGTCACCTTCACTGTCTCTTGAGTCGCTGTCCAATTTTATTTGTAACAAATTTAGCTTTCACAGTACAAACACTAAACCACGATGTTTGAAATCGGAAATGGCGGAAGTATTCGTGTATTTACGGTTACTGGTCTAATTGCCGAGTATTTACGAAAAATACGGCCGCAAACACACGAAACCACGATCGTGGCCTTACGCGTTATACGTTCTGTTATAGCAAAGCCACGATCGTGGCCATGCGCGCTTTAAGGGTTAAAATAATATTTTTTCAAAATGGTTTTCTTTCAATTTGATTAATATGTTGCTCCATTTATCTAATACATATTAAGCAAATGTAGCTTAAAACATCAATTCACTGCAAATAGTGTTTTCAGCCAGCAATAAATTAATTATTCCTTCATGAACTCATAAGGCATTAAATGACATGTATTTAAAGCATAGAGGATACAAATACACAACCATCTTCTACATAAAGCTTAAAACTTGCATGGCTAAGCTTCTTTAAACTATACACTTAATAAATATACTAAAATGATCCTTACTACAAGTGAAAAACATCATACCCATCACTAGGACTTTTTTTTCCTTCTGAGGGTGTTTTCCTGCCAAAAATAATTTCTTCCTTAGTTAATGATTCATTTAATGGTGTCTTCCTACCACCAATAGAATCTACCAATGGCTCTTTAGGAGTTTTGTGATTTTTGCGTAAAAATTTTGATTCTTGTTGTGGGGAGGGTGTTTTTAGTCCAGGGGGCTGCCATAAGCCTTTCCCTCCAGTATTTCCAAAAGTTGAAGCTACTTCTTCATCTTCATCATCTGAGCCAAAGCTTTTGTGACCAAGGAGTTTCTTAAGATCTCTTGAACCCATTGTTGTTGTACCTATTCCTTTGCTAAATTCAGATGGCTGGTCTAATCTTCTTTTAGCAGACCCTGGTCGATTCTTATAACTTGAATATTCATCTGTAATTCAATGGTGAAATTCTAATTTGAATTAGACTAATTTTGCTATAAAATTACCTCTAGAACTAATTTTTAAGTAAGGAGAATAAAAAAAAAAATATAGGAATTTTATTACTAATGTCAATTAGTTACCTTTAGGGGAATCCAGAGCATCTTCATCAGTGTCTGTAACATCTGCTGCAAGCCCTTTAGTTTTTCTTTCTTTTATTTTAGCCTTTAATTCCATCTGAAATGAATCTTTTGATCTGGGCTTTCGTGGGCGCTGAATAAAATCATCATCCATTATAGTTTATTATGATTGTGATCAATTTGAACATTGAATCAATGTTTAAGCATCTGTTCTAGTTACCATAATGGTTCAATTGCTGGAAGTTGGCTTCAACAACCTAGGGAATGCATTAATACATTTCATTTGTTGTTTTTTTACATCTAATTATACTATCCATGAATCATGATTTAATTTTTATTTATGATTTAGAGCAGGGGTCTCCAAACTTTTCAGCCCGAGGGCCGCATTAACTATCAAATATAAGTTCGGGGGCCAGAGTTTCTTCCAGGCATCTCATTGGGGCAGAGGCGTAGCGAAGGGGTGGGGGGAGGCATATGTCCCCGGGCACCAACCTTAGGGGGGGGGGGGCGCGCCAAAATGGGTTTGAAAAACAAATTGAAAGTTTGAGAAGGGGGTGCAAATAAAAATTTTGAGGGGGGGGGGGTGCAAATAAAAAGTTTGAGGGGGGGGTGCAAATTGAAAGTTTGTCCCCCCGGGCGCCGGGAAGGGTCGCTACGCCTCTGCATTGGGGTGGCATTTTTCCTCAGCCACCTACAAAAAACATTTTTTCCGTGGACTAAAAGATCCAGGCCGTAGTTTGGTGACCCCTGATTTAGAGCTTAATTTTATTAAGTCAATTATATCAAGACAAATATTGATTGGCAGTACCAGATCTAGATAATTATTAATTAATGCTATTGAACTGAAACAATTTTTCTTTTTCTATTTTACTCCCTAAATAAAACTGTTGAACTTTTTAATTGTGTACATATAGCTTAATAAACTATTTTAAACTCTACTTGGACAAATGTTTACTATAACACCGGTCCCATGGGAGAAGCGTTAGATTGATTTGAGGGTTAAATTAATTTAACAATGACTTCTCAATCTTTGATAAATTGTCCTAGTTAAACTTTGCTAAAATACACACACTGAGTGATCAAAACTGAATCAATCATCTATAATAATAGTTTCGCTGTCTGTCTATCTATCTATCTATCTATCTATCTATCTATCTATCTATCTATCTATCTGACAAGAACGCTGTAGAGAAAACACAAGCAAAATAAAAACATGCACAGTAATTCGAAAAACGAAGTATGACGCGGTCACATTTAGCATAGAGTAGAAAATAATCTCAAACCAGAGAGTGCACACATTAATATGACGTCATTGATTCTCGCGTAAACATTGAATAATAAAAAGGAAATGTTGTCTAATCTAAATGGTTTGCGTGAAGAGTTTCTTGCATACAATTCTTCGGGTAGGGGCGAAGCCCCACCCCCCGCGTAAGAACGTCTGAGCCCCCCCCCCCCCCCCCTCCCCAACGCAAAAGAAATTTCTTCATCGATACTCTATAATAAAATTACCGCCTAATTAATGTGTCTAATCTAAAAAGTGGTTTTCTTGCAATTTCTTTAATGCAATTCTTCGGGTAGTGGCTAAGCGCGACACCAGTGTTTCTTTCAGACTTTTTCCTCCCCGGAGAGGGGTGGGGGTACTTGAAATTTTCGGAGGCGGGGGTAGAATTTTCGGGGAGGGGGCGGACACTGGATAGTTTCGCTGTCTGTCTATCTATCTATCTATCTATCTATCTATCTATCTATCTATCTATCTATCTATCTATCTATCTATCTGACAAGAACGCTGTAGAGAAAACACAAGCAAAATAAAAACATGCACAGTAATTCGAAAAACGAAGTATGACGCGGTCACATTTAGCATAGAGTAGAAAATAATCTCAAACCAGAGAGTGCACACATTAATATGACGTCATTGATTCTCGCGTAAACATTGAATAATAAAAAGGAAATGTTGTCTAATCTAAATGGTTTGCGTGAAGAGTTTCTTGCATACAATTCTTCGGGTAGGGGCGAAGCCCCACCCCCCGCGTAAGAACGTCTGAGCCCCCCCCCCCCCTCCCCAACGCAAAAGAAATTTCTTCATCGATACTCTATAATAAAATTACCGCCTAATTAATGTGTCTAATCTAAAAAGTGGTTTTCTTGCAATTTCTTTAATGCAATTCTTCGGGTAGTGGCTAAGCGCGACACCAGTGTTTCTTTCAGACTTTTTCCTCCCCGGAGAGGGGTGGGGGTACTTGAAATTTTCGGAGGCGGGGGTAGAATTTTCGGGGAGGGGGCGGACACTGGAAAAAGTATATAATTATATTTCGTTGAATGGGACGGTAGACATGTTTTTTTCGGGGGTGGGGTGGGGTGGGTGGGGGTGGGGGGTGGGGGGGGGTGGTGTGTGTGGTGGTGGGGGGTGGGTGGGGGTGTGGTGTGTGGGGGGGGGGGGGTGGGGTGTGTGGGGGTTTTTAGTTTAGAGAAAAGAGACAGCACTATCAACCTAGCGCCCGGTGTATCCTTCCTCAACGGGCCATTTTTCTCGTGATGATGAATATTTTTGAAAAGTTTACATATATACATTTTTAAAACGTGATTTCATTTTATGATTCATTCATTGAGCCTTAGAACCAGAAATCTAGATCTACTAAAATGTAGTAAATAGGTTACGTAAACAAGTTACCAGTATGTTTTTGGTTATGTTTTATTGCTGCATACCTCCACTTCACCCCCCACCCAGTTGATCCTTTCAAACGTTCAACCATCCCCCTTGTTTTCATGTCAACTGCTAGATGTTAAGATGCATAATTGAAAAAACACTCAAACATTCTCAGCTAAGCTGTGAGACACCAATAATTAAAATTAGACTAGTTAAAATGCTGTATTTAAGGGATGTTGGGAAATTGTGAGGCGGGAAACTAAGACAAGAAAATGTGAGACATACCTGCGAAATCACAGGTAAATAGCGAGACACAATTTGCGAAACAATAATTGTTTTTGGGTTGTTTTTTTATAGTTATAAACTAAAGAAGTTTACAGACGACAATGAAAAGATTAAGCAGAACTAGTTATTACCTTCCCTTAGTTTCAAATCATTTATAAACTAAATTATCTGCCCCTAATAGCCATCAATAATTCAACCGGCTATATGATTGTAAACAGCTCACCAGACTGGTGGGGGTGGTAGCAATATGTTGAGCTTACATTGTGGTGGTGTCCCGCATGGTTCGTTTGAAGTCTGCATAAAAAATTACTGTAAATCAGTCATGGTAAAACTTTTGCCGATAGTTTTGCATGCTACCACCCTGCATCAGTATTGGGTGGTGGTAAAAAGTTATATTGCGAATGGAAAAAAAGGGAATACATATTGTTATTCTTCTTTGGATGGAGAGTATTTCTATGCTTTGGTTTTCATTCTATGTCAATTAGTAACGAAATTAGGTGTCTCGAACCAGAAAGGAGTCTCCGTTTCGGGCTAAGGGTGTCCGGGGCTGGTAATGTTACTTTAGAGTAACATAATTATTAAAATTTAAGGAGTCACCTGTTTTTCACATTACAAGTTGCAGGCGATTTAACGTACCTAAAACGATAGATTACCTCAACTACTTACTATTTAGTCATTAGTCTATTTACTAAATCTAGTCTAGATCGAGATCTTAATAATATTTGTAAGTGTGCTACTTCTTACAATTAGATCTAGATCTACTAAGACTAGCTAAGTAAAGAAGTAGCCTAAACCATTACAGTTAGGCCTACAACATTTCAATTTCAAAATTACTCCTGCAGTCCTGACAGCCTGGGTGACTTCTTCTTGAGCACCAGTACCAGCTCTTTTTAATGGACACCAGCGAGAAAAGTCTCAAAGGTATTTGAGAGGTGTATAAATTCATTTAAAAATCATGCACAGCGTAGTTACAATTAATATGGTTATAAAATCCTGTCTATCTGGTTTTTTTCGGACTTTACTAAAGATTGGATGTATTTGATGTTTATAATATTTTCGGTAACTAAATAAAAATTTTAAAAAAAAGCAAAAACAATTTGGTTTTCACGTATAATGGCGACATAAACAATGGCATCCTGCTATTGGATAGGCCGCCATTGATTTTATTGTACACATTGTAAGCTAAAAATAGAAAACTAGGTCATGGGGTTTTAAATTTGCATTGTTATTTAAAAACTTGATCTGCAAAGTTTTGTAAACAAATAGTTATCGATCACTAAGTTACTGTACAGCCAATCAATATTTGTCTTACGAAAGTGAAACATCCGGTTATAACTTAGGCTTGATGAAAATAAATAGAAATGTAGCCTTAAACTCAACAAATTATTTTCAAGTTCTCTGGATTTGCAACTTTTATAGCATTTATTCTAAAAATATAAAATTTATAAATTAATTTTAAGCTTAAGTTTTTATTTTTTATTTTTTTTTACGGTCTAAATCTAAAAAGCACGTTTTTATTCCATGTCAACAACATTGGGGACGGAATCTCGTCAACTCGCTCGCCTCCATTCTGTTTTTAATTCGAATCCAATCAGTCGAGAAAAGTTTCAAGTTAGTCTCTAATTCTAGGTCAAGATCTAGATTCTAGATCTATCTAGATCTAGATTTAGCTAGAATCTAGAAGACTTACTTACTACAGAAGTCTATTTCTGTTGCTAAAAAATTGAGCAGACGATAATTTCCTAGATCAAGATCTAGAATATGTTTACACTTGTTACTGGGCAAAAAAATATGAAGTAATTTGTGAGAACAAACCTGATATATAAATATTATAACAGCTCAATACTTGCTTTATAAATTTGAGGATGGACTCAGTTATATTGTTAAAAGCTTACATTTTTGGATTATTAACACAATTAATTTCAAATGCCAATGTTTATTAAACTTTAAAAATTAAGAAGTATGTATTTGTTTTGTTGTAATATACTATGTATAGGGCTAATAGATTTAGAGTTTTTGGCCTGGAGATCACTATTTAATCTAAAAATTTAAAACCTCACTTTTGCGATGAAACATTTAGATCTAGTTAGCTTTGCCTCTCTAAAAGTATGAAAATTAATATAAATGTAGAAAATAAAAGAAAACTAAAAATATTTGTTCAAGCATAAAGCGATTTATAATTTAGTGTTTAATATTATAAATTTAAAATTTACCTCTAATGTCAAGAGCAGAGTGGCGCAGTGGAAGCGTGCTGGGCCCATAACCCAGAGGTCCGTGGATCGAAACCACGCTCTGCTAATATTTTTTTCTTCTAACGTATATATTTCATTTTAATGGAACTACTTGTCTACTTTTATACTAATTTTTTTTTCTTACTTTTTACCCTTGCTAGCAAATGATGTTTCACAGATAGACCGATTATGTTCCATGCTGCTCTAAACATTAAGAAGGATTTGGTAGCAAGCATAGTGTATGAAAAATAAAATCGTGGCCGTTATATTAATCATTACTTTCCCTAACGTGAGTTAGGTACCCATCAGAGTTGGGTGGACTCAGGGACGGTCTACTGACTTGAACCCGGATTCGAACTAGAGACTTACTTCATATGCCGAGGTCACAGATACAAGTGAACTCAATTTCAATTGCACCATAGACCGTCAGGTTTGAAACGGAAACTTACTCTACTATATTAATCATTATGTATAGAATACTTTTACTTTAGTACTAAAATATAATGTGCGACCAAAGCTTTTTGTTTTACTTATTTAAATGGTGGTTTATTAAATAAATTATTTAATATTTTAAGGAAATCATTTATTTATTACTTTTTAGAGCATCATAATTATAAAAGCTCGTTAATTGTTACTATTTTTTGCTCCAACGTTTTGCCGGGGTTGCAGTTCCTACAAGCTTTTCACTTACTTGATTTCTTGTGATGGACGTTTTTTTTTCTTCGTCCGTCAAAGGTGGAAATTTGTATTATTATACCCACCCCCCCCCCCCTCGAACGAAACGGAATATATATGGAAAACATATACTTTTACCAGTGTGCCCCCCCCCCCCCCCCCAACCAGAAAATTTCAAGTCTGGAAGAAACATCGATGGGCAATCTCATAATAATAAATAGGTTAATAATACTTCATCTGCCCCAGAGATTCTTCTAGGCCAGGGGTCAGCAACCTTTTGAAGCGGAAGAGCCAAAAGTTACAATTTTCAAAATTTCCCTGGTTTTAAAGAGCCACTAAAATTTTTTAAATTTCAAATATTTTATTTTTTTATGAAGATTATTATTATTATCAAGGAGCTGGAGAGCCGCATCTTGATATCAAAAGAGCCGCATGCGGCTCGCGAGCCGCAGGTTGCCGACCCCTGTTCTAGGCATCTCTTCGGGGAGGGGGGTGCTGAAGAAAGTCTACTGGCCATTTATAAAGAAAATATATAAACTTTCTTTTTGTCATGTAATATACTAATTTTATCTTCGGTTACTGGTCTAGGGGAAGTAACAAATAAATTCTTATTTTTAAAGTATATTTAGAGTTTGGTCCCTTGATCGAGGGGGGGGGGGGGTTAGAGCCGTAGCAACTTATTTTAGTGACGGGGTCGAACTCTAATTGTTTCCCCACCTTCTCCATTTATATAGTTATAGTTATTCACTTTGCCTTAACAGTTCTTTTGTTTTTGTTCGGTGTCATAAAATTGATGCAATAATTATTTAATGAGTCAGTAAAGCCAGGTAGCAGTCTATTTTCTTATCTTATTGAATAATAAAGTATTGCTTGCTATAGAAGATAGATCGAACTTTATCATTTATTAGAGGAAGTAATTAAATGCAATCTTGCAAAATTTTATACACCTTCCTGAGTCAGATAACAATAGTTTTGCAATCTTGTCTGTCTGTGAAGGCGATAACTTGAGCTTCAGTTAGGTTGAGGAAATGAAATATAATAGTGTTAGATTGTATGTGCAGGTATCTTCCTCTTTGGATTGATTTCCAATAACTGGAAGTGGTATTTTTATTTCCATTGGAACAGGATAATATGAGCATTTTATAAATTTGGAAGACAAAATTTGATTAATATGCAAGAAATTTTATAATGAGATTAATTAAAATTTTGAGTGACCTCAGATAATCTCCTTTGAGTAGATTTCTATCAACTTTACAGAGATTTTCAGTAAACGGAAAGGATACTTCACATACAAATGATATAATGAATAATATTAAATGGTCTGTTCATTACATAAATAAGTACAAAATATAAAATAATTTAAAATGTAAATAGTGAATAGTGTATCTGTATTTTGATCGATGTAGTTTTGCTGGGTTTAACTTTTTTATGCAACATAAATTTCTTTGATCTCAAAGCTATATTTCAGTCCCCTCAGTTTTGTGTTTAGGATTTTAAGTGTACATAATTTATTCTTTGAATAAGTTTTTCATTTTTTATCAGATTATTTACTATTGTTTATAGTTGTTAGGGTTCACCAAGACTAAAGAAAATTTTGCTGACTTTTTTAGAAAATTCATCAAAGGTAGAAAAAAACAAATAAAATATTTAAGTTCTGACAATGGGCTATTTGGAGGTGAATGGTGAATCAATAATCTACATTAGCGGCAGAATCTTTTTTGTACTAAACTAACATTGTCTTGTTTTTATTGAGCATTATAATTAATAATTGTGAACCCTATAAACCCTAGTTTACATGTTCACATTAATGAATGATAGTTGTGTTTTATATTAAAATTATTAAATATATTTTCTTTAGTTTAACACCCTTTATAATGTAAAATTAGACAGATGCACTGTGTTGTATACCCGCAGTTTTAAAGTTGTAACATGGCCATTTTGATGTAAATGCTTCTGTCCAAAAGGGCATTTAAATGTTCAACTCAATTTTGTTAATTATTATTAGTATAATAAAAATAAAAGATTTCAAACAATAAAATTAAACGATTTCAAATAATCTAATTAAAAGATTTCAAATAACCAAATTAAAAGGTTTCAAATAATCTGATTAAAGATTTTAAATAATCTAATTAATATTTAAAAGATGTCAAATAATCAAATTAAAAGGTCTTGTGACCAACAGCACAACTTGCAGCAGCAATGATCTCATGAAACACAAACTCTTGAAAACAATGGACAGGCCACTATCAACACAAAGGTCACAATCAACACACAGTAGACAGGTCACTATCAACACACCAAGGACAGGTCACTATCAACACACCAAGGACAGGTCACAATCAACAGTTGATAGGTCAAAGGTCAATATCAACATACAGTGGACAGGTCACAATCAACACACAGTAGACAGTTAAGACAGGTCACTACCAACACACTGCGGACAGGTCACAATCATCACAAATGGACAGGTCACAATCAACACACCAAGGACAGGTCACAATCAACAGTTGATAGGTGAAAGGTCAATATCAACACACAGTGGACAGGTCACTACCAACACACTGTGGACAGGTCACTACCAACACACTGCGGACAGGTCACAATCATCACAAATGGACAGGTCACAATCAACAGTTGATAGGTCAAAGGTCAATATCAACACACAGTGGACAGGTCACAATCAACAGTTGATAGGTCAAAGGTCAATATCAACACACTGTGGACAGGTCACAATCAACACACTTTGGACAGGTCACAATCAACACACAGTGGACAGGTCACAATCATCACACAGTGGACAGGTCACAATCAACACACAGTGGACAGGTCACAGGTCACAATCAACACACTGTGGACAGGTCACTACCAACACACAGTAAACAATTCCCATGTTACTGTTTAGTGTGAATCTAAAACTCCTGTTGTCTTCAACTGATTGTGAACACTACATTAACAAAAAATAAACCGGGAGTGATCTCCCCTTAACTTTCTCGAATATTCTAATATTCTAACACTACGTGGGATGGCAACTCGGAATATAGACATGATTTTAGTTTACCTAAACTTTTAAAAATAAAATAAAATCTAGTAGAAAAAGAATTGCGCATAACATAATAGTGCGCAATATTATTAGTACTTTATAAATTTACATGCGTTTTTTGAGAAATCGGAAATAGCGTAAACTAGTACTTCCAATCAACGGAAATTACTCAAAATTTGAAAGAAGGTAGAGAATTAGATCTTTTACTTACACATGAAATTTCATTTATCTATCTGAAATAGTACTCAAGTTATAGGCTTTTGAAAAATTCAAAGTAGAAAAAGTACCACTTCCCGTAATCGGAAATTGTTCAAAAGTTGACACAGATCTACGATTTTGATAAAATACCTACATATGAAATTTCATCAACCTAGCTGTGACGGTACTCAAGTTATCGTGTTTACACATACACACACACAGACAGACACACAGACAAGATTGCAAAATTATCAGTGAGGTGTAAAACATCAAGATTTGTAAAAATCTAGATTTTTTTTTTGCACGATTACAATACTTTCTCTATACTTCGTATATACGAGAAAGTAAAAACAACCAAATGCAAAATTTTACTTTCCAAATTTCAATAGAAAATTAATACTAATCTTGGCACAGACAGAAACTGTTACAAAAATGTACATAAGCACTTAAGTCTGATATAGATTAAAAAGAGAAAATTTTATTTGTATACAGGTCATTTCAGCAAATGCAAGCTATGGGTAAAATTTTCTGTGATTAGGAAAGTGATAAGAATTAGTTCTGGTGTGGTACGGATCATAAGGGCTGTCAGGGAAGTATTTGGGTTCTCTCCACTTGGCTGTAACAAGCACATCAAGCTTCCTGCTCTGGTTGCGTGTCACAAAAATGTGCTGCTTCAATCTCCATTGCTCCTTTGCTGACTTTTTGTAGAGCTGCTTAAATCTACCACCATAGCAACGAATCCAACCACCCCAGTGCAGGCGGTAGAATCTATTAATAACTCTATGTTCTCGCCACTGTCTTAGCTCAACTGTCACAGGCCGCACAGGAGTTGAGTGGAAAGCCCTTAGTAAAACATGACAGAGGCTGAAATTTTAAACAATCTGCATCAGCTACATTATATTATAACACAAACATAAAACAAACAGTTTGAGCTACAAACTACTACAAACATAAAACAAGCAGCACTTTAAACTGATGCCATTACAACAAAAGCCATCTGAATAAAAATCAAATGCTGACCTCACAGAAGACGTCTCAGTGTTGAATGGGGGAACTCTCTTGTGTGCAGATACAAGACTAGCATCTGCTGCAGAAAACTGTTTGGGTGATATCAAACTAGGGAGGGCTTTCTGGCTCCTGAAAACAACTCCTGTTAATAGATGTAGATGTACATAATTAGAAATGATAAGCTACACCTTGTAAATACTTGTCAATGTGTTTATTATAGAATAAATTGTCACTTACATTTTATAATCATTAAACAAAAACTTAAGGACATATTAGCCTCGGTCATTAAGACTCCCGACAAAAGGTCAGTTCCCAAAAGGGCCTCATTCAATATGACCCCACTCATCAATGCTTTTCAGTGTTACCTTAGCCAAATAAAAGGATTTAGCACTTGGTTGACAGGCCTTATTTTTACAGTATTTTATCTAATATGAGAAATTGTGTTTGATGTTCATTAAACAAATCGGTGGGGAGTGTCAGAAGATCGATCACCAAGTTTCTGTAGGCATACAGCAGATCAATGCTTGTCTTACAAAAGTTAAACTGGAGGTTATAATTTTAATTTAGGTTTGATGAAGATAAAAAAATGATAAATAGAAATTTAACCTTAAGGCTAAAACTTAAACCTTGCCTGAAACCAAAAAAAAATGTTCAAGTTCTCTGCATTAACAACATTTATTATAATTTATACCATTGATTGTATTTGATTCTTGAAATACTACATTTTTTAAAAAATTTCAAGCTCAAGTAGGCTAATACGCTTTTTTTTTTGTTTTTTTTTTACTGCCGCTGTGAAGGTAAAATAAATGAAAATTGACACAAAAACATAGTTTATATAATTATCAATTATTATGAAGTTAATGATTTTAATGAATTTTATCCATCCATGGCAATAATAATAATAATATAATAATAAATAGGCCTACGCCAAATAGAAGAATTTCTTGAACATTATACGCCCAACTAATTATTTTCAACAAAAGTCTGTATTTTTAAGTTCTCCATATATCACTGAAGATACTGATCTCTTAGATTCGGGATATGCGTACCGACAGTGTGCACATGGGCTTTTGATAATCTGTTTTAGGTACGTAAAATCTGCCAAGACTCAAAATGTGAAAAAAAAAGGTGACTCATTAAATTTTAGTAACTATTTCACATTTTAGGAGGATTTATGTTTTGAAAGTTAGAAAAATGTTTTAAAGTTTCACTCATATATAGAATCTAGATCTACCTGTTTTTATATACAATTGTATTAAAAGTTTTCAGTAATAAATAAAGACTAGCGATATTTTCAACAGATGCAACCAAGCTCATTTATAAGTGAGCAGCCATTTGGTAAAAATTATAGTTAGAGATTCAGGGGAATCCACTCTAATTTACAGATGGCAGCTGTTTTTTTTTTATTATACTTATTATAGTTGTCTTATTATACGCTCGCAAACGCTGCTGTTTAAAGTTAATTTCTGTAGAAAAGAACAAAGCGTTTTTTACACTTAGTCTCAGTAGTGTACACTTATAAAAAACTAGCTAGGCTAATACAATTTTAATAATTTAAAAAATAAGGCTAAATATAAATAACTTTTCAACTCACTTGACATTAAACTAAATAAGGACGCCGCCATTGTAACTATGGGAGTATACTCTGCGTAATTTTTTAGCTTTAAAAAATTAAATGGTCTTATTGAAGCGAAACAAAATAATTTAAATAGATCACGAGTGTTTAATACCGCCGAAAATCCTTAATCAAATTTAGTTTTTAAGTTATTTTAAACTAGAATCTAGATCTAGACTAATCTAGATATTGAAACGAAAATTTGCTTCGGCTATGATATAATATAGATCTAGATCTATAATCCTAGATGTAATAAATACTAGATCTAGTAAATAAATATTAAATAGTAGGCCTACACTAATTGACTAACTAATTATTAATTAATTAAAATTTAATTAGATCTAGATCTAATTTTAGTAATCTAGTCTATTACTTTACTTTGTCAATGCTCAACTTAGTGCACAGGTCTCTATTCTATGACGTCTATGACTAACTATAACTATGAGACTCGGTGCAGTTGTTGAATGTCTCCAGAATCTTCTACTTTACTAATTAAACTAGAATTCACTTCACTATAATTTTGACTAGCCTAAAATAAAATCTAGATCCAAGTTTGAGTCTGCTAGAGTACAGCTAGAGTCTAGAAATCTAATTTATTACAATTTTATTAAATTAGTTAAAATTAAATTAAATTAGGCTTAGGGCTTAGTTTAGTGAGGTATGGCCTACTCAGAAACTTGTTGCAAACATCAGGAAGTTTTCATCAAGCTACGATCAAGAGAACAGCATTTATTCTCACTGTGGTTCATTGGGCAGATAAAATAGAGTTCAGCTGTTTCTATGAGTCTATGAATAAAATTAAGGAGTAGGGGGTCGTCCATAAATGACTTCACACTCGTAAGGGGGGATGGGCGTCCGTAATTTTGTGACGGGGGAGAAGGGGGGTTCAGATGGTGCGACGTCACACTTTTGCATTATCAAAAAGCAATGTTAGAAAACAAATTTTAGACGTTATTTTGCATTTTAGAAACTGTTTTAATAAATTGTAATAGGAATTAATTAAAATACTCTATTTTGACATAGTTCAGACAAGATTTTGGAAAATATCGATGTTTTAAGAAAAATTCAACTGCAGTTTTGATGGGGGTTTTAGGCTGAGGTGTGACGTCATTTTAGGGGGGAGGGTTTGGCTTTTTGTGATGACGTGTGGCGGAGGGGAGGGGGGGGGGGAGGTAAAAATCATCAAAAAAAAGCATGACGTCATTTATGGATGACCCCTAGAGTGGTCAACACAATGCCCAGCCGCTTTTACTTTCCCTAACTTGTGTGGACTTCGGAAAATCTTATGAATTCAAGTCTGGGATTTGAACTCAATATTCTCGTGTTACCAATCTTACTCTTTACCATCTGACCTTGCTGTCCCCTTTTGTTTAACTGCTTTACTACTTTAAAGAACACTGCGCAAAATCATGGAATCTAGGGCAAAATCACGGAATCTAGGCCTAATCATGACATGAGGTTTTGTAGTGTTGTGGCAGAAATTTAAAAATGAAATGTTTTTCTTGGACGTGCTACGGCAACAAGATGTTTTGGTTTTATTTTTAAATATTTTAGGAAAACATGGTAGATAATCTGCAGGTGAAATAAATACAAATCTGGAAAAGGAATATGAACTCCATCGTTAGTTCCCTGTGTTGACAGAAGAAAAGTCACCAAATCTATTCTCTGAATTTTTTGATATAGACAGCTTTCTAATGAACAACAAGATTTATTTTTGGATTTGTAGTATCATTCCTTGGAAATAAAATTGCCCATAGTGGAGTAGGTTTAATTCAAACCAGAAAGTCATGATACTTGTCTTTCGAGCTTTTGTTCAATTGTCTTCATATCTCTTTGAGATTTTTCAACTCTTCATTGTTTTAAAAAACAAAACGAAAAGCTAAAAAAATAAAATGTTAAGAATGACATGAGGTTGGCGTTTAACAAAACGCACCCGTGAATTTGAAGCTGGTTAATAACATCCAGTTTCAACAATAGCATTTGAGCCTACTATTTAAAACAAAACTAAACAGTATTAATATTATCATCTTTTTTTAAAAAGCATTTTTTTTAATGTTGACTTGAAGCAGGATAGGTCACCGGTTACTTGAAAAATATAAAAAGGGGTCGCCATCTGAAAAAGTTTGAGAAACTGATTTAGTAGAATCAAAGGTCACTGCGTTTATTGACCTAGTCTTAAGTCTAACAACTTGACTTTAGAAAACTACTGGTGCCCTAGTACTACAAGATCTAGTTACAGTTAGTAGTAATCATTATATATTTGTATTATTTTCTACCTTTTAGATATGTGTTCTAAATCTAGTTGATTAAAAATGTTGGCTTTAAAACCCGATCGGTAGCTTGTGATCTTTAAAAGACAATTATCTACACCTTCTTAACGTCTGGTTGCTCTCAGGTCAGAAACCAACAATTCACAGCAAATAGCAAGGTCACTAATTTAATTTAATTGTTCCACAGATTATAGATCTACCTACTTAGATTTTTATTTTACCCAATTTACTATAATAAAAATACTTAATAAGTATAATGCTTCTAAATTAACATTAAATGTGGTTAAAAGTCTCTAAAATTCTTAGATAAGCCATGTCTTTTCTATAGGTCTGTTAATAAAAGAGGTGGCTATACTCCAATGCTGGAACTTTGTAGACCACCCCATCCCCCTCAGCCATGTTTTGGTTGAGACATGCTGGTTGTGATATCTTTGTGATGGCGTATCTTTTAAAGAAGTGACAGAACTATCCTGTGGAACATTTTCCGAAACTTTTCAGAGAAAAATGTATTAAGTTTGGATTGATGTAGGCTGAAACGTTCATTTTCTTTACTTTGTGAGTGATTCTATTGAAAAATCTAGTCATGGGTTTGATGATGCTGTTAAGAAAAATGGTGACTGGTTCATCCTGTCAACTCTGCTGGCACCAAAGAAAAATGGGCATTGACTTAAGAACTATCTCCTCTCTACCAAGACATAACTCACTGAATATTGAACCAAGACAACCTCCATCAGAAGCCGAGCCAAGACATAACTCACTCAATATTCAAATGTTATCCGAATCTTTACATAAACAAATCTTTAAAAACTCCACCCCCACAAAAATGAGCTCTGAAGCCTTTGAAAAAGTGAAAGAACACCTTAGAAAACATGGTTTGGCTGACAAAGCAACATCTCTTTTGCCTGACATTGATCTCAAACTTCCAACCCTCTATGGCAATAATATTAATGAACATTTTATCCATATTGCTAAAGAGCAATTGAAAGACTACAATGTGTTGCTGGAAGATCTGGCATCCACCAAGATTCCACCAATGCCCCAAAAGTGGGAGAAAACCAAAGGCTGGACAAAATATTTCTCTGATGGCACCCACCAAAGTGTTGCTTGCCCTGACGATCAGGGCCTTGTCTTTGACATAGAGTGTCTCATGGCTGAGGGAGATTACCCAACCATGGCAACTGCTGTCTCATCTTCACATTGGTAAGTGTTCTCAGCTAGCGGAGGCTCAACACGTGTAACGTTAGGTATATGTCTTTGGAGTTTGTATAAATACATTAGAACTTTTTATTTCAGGTACTCTTGGACTAGTGATTTTATTTTTGAGGACAAGTTTCGTTGGTCAAACAGACCCCAGATGAGAGAGCTGATACCATTAGAAACAGGCAGCGACACCATACACCCAGCAAGTGGGGAGTGGCTGCCAAGGCTTATCATTGGTCATAATGTTGGCTTTGATAGGTCATTTGTTAAAGAGCAATATCTTATTCAGGTGATATTTGTTTATATTTTAAAATAGCCTCAATTTGTGGTTTAAAACAGTTTCTTAAAAACCTTTTCTTGACAAAATAATGTTGAATAATTGATTTTCTTTTCAGGGCACTAAATTAAAATTTGTAGACACCATGTCCATGCACATAGCTGTGTGTGGTCAGACCAGCTTTCAGAGGCTACTGCACAAAGCCAGTGGTAAAGACACCACGAGGAAGGAAGTGATTGAACACAATGCAAGACAGAAGCAATTCAAAACATTAGCTGTTAAGTTCATTTTGCATTTGTGCTTTAGGTTAGGTTCTGTTGTTCCTTTTGTCTAACTAGTGGCTTAGCTGGGAGGGGGAAGGGTTGGCTGTCCCGGGTGACAATAGAAGTAGAAAAAATGGAAAAACTATTCTCTACATCAGTTTTTATAGCAGCAAAACAAATACTGTTTAGGCAGATAATGTAATGGCTAGCAACCAGTGAACACCACCTCCCCTTTCCTAAATATATGGACTAGATCTGTATGTGTGTAAACTTAATTGTACTATTCAAGCACAGACATGTTGAACATTATTTCCACCTGGCCTGAGCTCATGTCAACAAAGGGAGGTAACTCTAAATTTAATTATTCCCCTTATAGAACTCCTTTTACCTTTATGTATATTGATGTTCAATTTTTAATCTTCCCCAATCAAAGAGTCAAGAGTGGAAAAGGATAAGTAGCATGAACAATTTAAGTGATGTTCACCAGCTGCACTGTGGTGGTGAGCCAATTCCTAAAGTCCAGAGAGATGTTTTTGTTCACGGAACTATGGCTGATGTTAGGGAACAATTTCAGGTGAGCCCACTTGATTCAACTCAAACTTGTTGTAGTCTGTTAAAAATTGGAGGTGAATGATTCTATTATGAACATTGGCACATTTTACAGGAGCTGATGACATATTGTGCAAATGATGTGAAAGCCACCCATGAAGTTTTTGTCAAACTATGGCCAGATTTTAAAGAGAGGTAAAACCATGATTTATTGTGGACATGTTTTCACATTTTTTAAAAACAATTTACTTGAATTCTTCTGTTGAAGAATTCTGTAGTCTTTAGTGTTACAATTACTTTACTGAAGCTATATTCTGTAGCTTTAATGTGGTGTTACAATTACTTCACTTAAGCTATATTCTGTAGCCTTTAATGTGGTGTTACAGTTACTTCACTGAAGCTATATTCTGTAGCCTTCAATGTGGTGTTACAATTACTTCACTGAAGCTATACTCTGTAGCCTTCAATGTGGTGTTACAATTACTTCACTTAAGCTATATTCTGTAGCCTTTAATGTGGTGTTACAATTACTTCACTGAAGCTATATTCTGTAGCTTTAATGTGGTGTTACAATTACTTTACTGCAGCTATATTCTGTAGCTTTAATGTGGTGTTACAATTACTTTGCTGCAGCTATATTCTGTAGCTTTAATGTGGTGTTACAATTACTTCACTGCAGCTATATTCTGTAGCTTTAATGTGGTGTTACAATTACTTTACTGCAGCTATATTCTGTAGCTTTAATGTGGTGTTACAATTACTTTGCTGCAGCTATATTCTGTAGCTTTAATGTGGTGTTACAATTACTTCACTGCAGCTATATTCTGTAGCTTTAATGTGGTGTTACAATTACTTCACTGCAGCTATATTGTTTAGCTTTAATGTGGTGTTACAATTGTATTCCTGCTGCAGGTTTCCCCACCCTGTCACCCTAGCTGGGATGCTAGAGATGGGCTCAGCCTTTCTGCCAGTGAATGAGGCCTGGCCTCGGTACATCCACCAGGCTAACAGCACCTATGATGAGATGGAAAAAGAGTTGAAGAAACTGCTGATGGCCCTGGCTGATGAAGCCTGTAGCCTAATCCATAATCAACAGTAATTTTCTAATTAACTAACTTATGAGCTTGAAAAAAAAGTATTTATGTGTTGACTAGTGGTGTTATCATTATAGTTCTATGTTAATATCTAAAACACATTCTAGTTCTGTGTTAATATCTAAAACATATTCTAGTTCTGTGTTAATATCTAAAACATATTCTAGTTCTGTGTTAATATCTAAAACACATTCTAGTTCTGTGTTAATATCTAAAACACATTCTAGTTCTGTGTTAATATCTAAAACACATTCTAGTTCTGTGTTAATATCTAAAACACATTCTAGTTCTGTGTTAATATCTAAAACATTTTCTAGTTCTGTGTTAATATTTAAAACACATTCTAGTTCTGTGTTAATATTTAAAACACATTCTAGTTGTGTTAATACCTAACATCGCCAACACATGGAGGAAGACTAAATAAATTGTTCATGTAGATACAAGAAAGACCCCTGGCTATGGGACCTGGACTGGTCCACATCCCCTTATCGCCTTAATAAAACAGGGAAGGCAGAAAATGTTAAGAATGTGTTTCAAGAAGAGCAGCTGGACAGTGAGAAGTATCCCCATCCTTGGTTATTTGAGGAAGTGAGTTCTTAAACTAGATTTTTTTTCATGCACTTGTTTACCTAAACTTCAACTCGTATTAATTGACTGACAAGTTTATTTGAATTTCATCATCTGTTTTACAAACTGTCAAACTTTATCTCTGTTACAAACTGTCAAACTTTATCTCTGTTACAAACTGTTAAACTTTATCTCTGTTACAAACTGTCAAACTTTATCTCTGTGTTACAAACTGTCAAACTTTATCTCTGTGTTACAAACTGTCAAACTTTATCTCTGTGTTACAAACTGTCAAACTTTATCTCTGTGTTACAAACTGTCAAACTTTATCTCTGTTACAAACTGTCAAACTTTATCTCTGTTACAAACTGTCAAACTTTATCTCTGTGTTACAAACTGTCAAACTTTATCTCTGTTACAAACTGTCAAACTTTATCTCTGTTACAAACTGTTAAACTTTATCTCTGTGTTACAAACTGTCAAACTTTATCTCTGTTACAAACTGTCAAACTTTATCTCTGTTACAAACTGTTAAACTTTATCTCTGTGTTACAAACTGTCAAACTTTATCTCTGTTACAAACTGTCAAACTTTATCTCTGTTACAAACTGTCAAACTTTAACTCTGTGTTACAAACTGTCAAACTTTATCTCTGTGTTACAAACTGTCAAACTTTATCTCTGTGTTACAAACTGTCAAACTTTATCTCTGTGTTACAAACTGTCAAACTTTATCTCTGTGTTACAAACTGTCAAACTTCATCTCTGTGTTACAAACTGTCAAACTTTATCTCTGTGTTACAAACTGTCAAACTTTATCTCTGTTACAAACTGTCAAACTTTATCTCTGTGTTACAAACTGTCAAACTTTATCTCTGTGTTACAAACTGTCAAACTTTATCTCTGTGTTACAAACTGTCAAACTTTATCTCTGTGTTACAAACTGTCAAACTTTATCTCTGTGTTACAAACTGTCAAACTTTATCTCTGTTACAAACTGTCAAACTTTATCTCTGTGTTACAAACTGTCAAACTTCATCTCTGTGTTACAAACTGTCAAACTTTATCTCTGTGTTACAAACTGTCACAGGAGCAAGAGGTAATAAAACAGATAGTGTTAGAGACAGATACAAATACTATGGATGTTTTGACCCAAGGTCTAGTGTCTGTTAGTTACCTCACAAGTTAGAGACAGATACAAATACTATGGATGTTTCAACCCAAGGTCTTCTTCAGCACACAACAGTCTACCATTTGTATTTATCTTTTCACAGGAGCAAGAGCAGGTGAAGCAAGAGTACAAAGATGTTATGAAGAAAGTTTATGCAACAGCTGCAAGGATACCTAAACGACCAGTTTTTATGCCTGGTTACCCCACGTAAGCAGTCCAATGTCTTCAGTCTTGTGACTGGTTACCCCATAAGTAGTACAACTTCAGTCATGTGACTGGTTACCCCATAAGTAGTACAACTTTAGTCATGTGACTGGTTACCCCATAAGTAGTACAACTTCAGTCATGTGACTGGTTACCCCATAAGTAGTACAACTTCAGTCATGTGACTGGTTACCCCATAAGTAGTACAGCTTTAGTCATGTGACTGGTTACCCCATAAGTAGTACAACTTTAGTCATGTGACTGGTACAAAGAACTGTGTCCAGTCAGTTGCCAGTGGCCAGATACTTTATGTTGTTGTGGCCTATCCCAAATAGTCCAGTCAGTTGTCAGTGGCCTGATACTTTATGTTGTTGTGGCCTATCCCAAATAGTCCAGTCAGTTGTCAGTGGCCTGATACTTTATGTTGTTGTGGCCTATCCCAAATAGTCCAGTCAGTTGCCAGTGGCCTGATACTTTATGTTGTTGTGGCCTATCCCAAATAGTCCAGTCAGTTGTCAGTGGCCTGATACTTTATGTTGTTGTGGCCTATCCCAAATAGTCCAGTCAGTTGCCAGTGGCCTGATACTTTATGTTGTTGTGGCCTATCCCAAATAGTCCAGTCAGTTGTCAGTGGCCTGATACTTTATGTTGTTGTGGCCTATCCCAAATAGTCCAGTCAGTTGTCAGTGGCCTGATACTTTATGTTGTTGTGGCCTATCCCAAATAGTCCAGTCAGTTGCCAGTGGCCTGATACTTTATGTTGTTGTGGCCTATCCCAAATAGTCCAGTCAGTTGCCAGTGGCCTGATACTTTATGTTGTTGTGGCCTATCCCAAATAGTCCAGTCAGTTGCCAGTGGCCTGATACTTTATGTTGTTGTGGCCTATCCCAAATAGTCCAGTCAGTTGCCAGTGGCCTGATACTTTATGTTGTTGTGGCCTATCCCAAATAGTCCAGTCAGTTGTCAGTGGCCTGATACTTTATGTTGTTGTGGCCTATCCCAAATAGTCCAGTCAGTTGCCAGTGGCCTGATACTTTATGTTGTTGTGGCCTATCCCAAATAGTCCAGTCAGTTGCCAGTGGCCTGATACTTTATGTTGTTGTGGCCTATCCCAAATAGTCCAGTCAGTTGTCAGTGGCCTGATACTTTATGTTGTTGTGGCCTATCCCAAATAGTCCAGTCAGTTGCCAGTGGCCTGATACTTTATGTTGTTGTGGCCTATCCCAAATAGTCCAGTCAGTTGTCAGTGGCCTGATACTTTATGTTGTTGTGGCCTATCCCAAATAGTCCAGTCAGTTGCCAGTGGCCTGATACTTTATGTTGTTGTGGCCTATCCCAAATAGTCCAGTCAGTTGTCAGTGGCCTGATACTTTATGTTGTTGTGGCCTATCCTAAATAGTCCAGTCAGTTGCCAGTGGCCTGATACTTTATGTTGTTGTGGCCTATCCTAAATAGTTCAGTCAGTTGCCAGTGGCCTGATACTTTATGTTGTTGTGGCCTATCCCAAATAGTCCAGTCAGTTGTCAGTGGCCTGATACTTTATGTTGTTGTGGCCTATCCCAAATAGTCCAGTCAGTTGCCAGTGGCCTGATACTTTATGTTGTTGCGGCCTATCCCAAATAGTCCAGTCAGTTGCCAGTGGCCTGATACTTTATGTTGTTGTGGCCTATCCCAAATAGTCCAGTCAGTTGTCAGTGGCCTGATACTTTATGTTGTTGTGGCCTATCCCAAATAGTCCAGTCAGTTGTCAGTGGCCTGATACTTTATGTTGTTGTGGCCTATCCCAAATAGTCCAGTCAGTTGCCAGTGGCCTGATACTTTATGTTGTTGTGGCCTATCCCAAATAGTCCAGTCAGTTGCCAGTGGCCTGATACTTTATGTTGTTGTGGCCTATCCCAAATAGTCCAGTCAGTTGCCAGTGGCCTGATACTTTATGTTGTTGTGGCCTATCCCAAATAGTCCAGTCAGTTGTCAGTGGCCTGATACTTTATGTTGTTGTGGCCTATCCCAAATAGTCCAGTCAGTTGCCAGTGGCCTGATACTTTATGTTGTTGTGGCCTATCCCAAATAGTCCAGTCAGTTGCCAGTGGCCTGATACTTTATGTTGTTGTGGCCTATCCCAAATAGTCCAGTCAGTTGTCAGTGGCCTGATACTTTATGTTGTTGTGGCCTATCCCAAATAGTCCAGTCAGTTGCCAGTGGCCTGATACTTTATGTTGTTGTGGCCTATCCCAAATAGTCCAGTCAGTTGCCAGTGGCCTGATACTTTATGTTGTTGTGGCCTATCCCAAATAGTCCAGTCAGTTGTCAGTGGCCTGATACTTTATGTTGTTGTGGCCTATCCCAAATAGTCCAGTCAGTTGTCAGTGGCCTGATACTTTATGTTGTTGTGGCCTATCCCAAATAGTCCAGTCAGTTGCCAGTGGCCTGATACTTTATGTTGTTGTGGCCTATCCCAAATAGTCCAGTCAGTTGTCAGTGGCCTGATACTTTATGTTGTTGTGGCCTATCCCAAATAGTCCAGTCAGTTGCCAGTGGCCTGATACTTTATGTTGTTGTGGCCTATCCCAAATAGTCCAGTCAGTTGTCAGTGGCCTGATACTTTATGTTGTTGTGGCCTATCCCAAATAGTCCAGTCAGTTGCCAGTGGCCTGATACTTTATGTTGTTGTGGCCTATCCCAAATAGTCCAGTCAGTTGTCAGTGGCCTGATACTTTATGTTGTTGTGGCCTATCCCAAATAGTCCAGTCAGTTGTCAGTGGCCTGATACTTTATGTTGTTGTGGCCTATCCCAAATAGTCCAGTCAGTTGCCAGTGGCCTGATACTTTATGTTGTTGTGGCCTATCCCAAATAGTCCAGTCAGTTGTCAGTGGCCTGATACTTTATGTTGTTGTGGCCTATCCCAAATAGTCCAGTCAGTTGCCAGTGGCCTGATACTTTATGTTGTTGTGGCCTATCCCAAATAGTCCAGTCAGTTGCCAGTGGCCTGATACTTTATGTTGTTGTGGCCTATCCCAAATAGTCCAGTCAGTTGTCAGTGGCCTGATACTTTATGTTGTTGTGGCCTATCCCAAATAGTCCAGTCAGTTGTCAGTGGCCTGATACTTTATGTTGTTGTGGCCTATCCCAAATAGTCCAGTCAGTTGCCAGTGGCCTGATACTTTATGTTGTTGTGGCCTATCCCAAATAGTCCAGTCAGTTGTCAGTGGCCTGATACTTTATGTTGTTGTGGCCTATCCCAGTTGCCAGATACTTTATGTTCCGTTATTTTCTCCCCCACAGCTGGTACAAGGAACTGTGTCCCAAGCCTACCAGTGAAGACTTTTACCCCGGACCATCACAGATCAGCACTCAGTGCCGGACTACACCAAAGTTGATGCGCCTTACATGGAGAGGTTGGTGGTTGATGTTTCAACAGGCTGTCCTGTACATTGATGTTGATGTTTCAACAGGCTGTCCTGTAGCTTGATGTTGTGCTTCAACAGGCTGTCCTGTACATTGATGTTGATGTTTTAACAGGCTGTCCTGTACATTGATGTTTTGTTTCAACAGGCTGTCCTGTAGCTTGATGTTGTGCTTCAACAGGCTGTCCTGTACATTGATGTTGATGTTTTAACAGGCTGTCCTGTACATTGATGTTGATGTTTTAACAGGCTGTCCTGTACATTGATGTTTTGTTTCTACAGGCTGTCCTGTACATTGATGTTTTGTTTCTACAGGCTGTCCTGTACATTGATGTTTTGTTTCAACAGGCTGTCCTGTACATTGATGTTGATGTTTCAACAGGCTGTCCTGTAGCTTGATGTTGTGCTTCAACAGGCTGTCCTGTACATTGATGTTGATGTTTCAACAGGCTGTCCTGTAGCTTGATGTTGTGCTTCAACAGGCTGTCCTGTACATTGACGTTGATGTTTCAACAGGCTGTCCTGTAGCTTGATGTTGTGCTTCAACAGGCTGTCCTGTACATTGATGTTGATGTTTTAACAGGCTGTCCTGTACATTGATGTTTTGTTTCAACAGGCTGTCCTGTACATTGATGTTTTGTTTCAACAGGCTGTCCTGTACATTGATGTTTTGTTTCAACAGGCTGTCCTGTACACTATGATGATGAACACGGCTGGGGGTACCTTGTACCTGACACGCAAGAGTTGTCTCCTGTTGAAAGTGAACTTCAAGCCCAGGAAGCCGAGGAAAACACAGAACATTGTTTCCCTCTAAGGTTGGTCCTACATAGAACATTGTTTCCCTCTAAGGTTGGTCCTACATAGAACATTGTTTCCCTCTAAGGTTGGTCCTACACAGAACATTGTTTCCCTCTAAGGTTGGTCCTACGTAGAACATTGTTTCCCACTAGTTCTGATGGGTATCTGACATACATTGTTGAAAGTAAAGTGGTCAGGCATAGTGCTGACCACACCATCTCTTCATATGCCAAGTTCATGAAACAAAAGAAATCTACTTCATCTGCCCAATCTATCGCTTTAGTCTAAACAGGAACTTCACTTACTTTGAGGTTGATCATTACTTTCCCCCTTAAAGCTAGTCTTAACTTCTTTATTCTGCCCTCTAAATTATTACTTTCCCTTTCAATATATATTGAAAGTATTGAATTTGGTGTTCTTCCCCCCAGGAGTTTTCTGAAGTATATGAATATAAAAAGTGATGAGAAAGTTGATGGTAGCAGCCCTACAAGCAGTGGTCTGGAACTCTTAGACACTGGCTTTGATGAGAGCGCCATGGATCTTGTGGAGAAGCTGCCACTCTGGGAAACTGCCACTGGAAAGAAACCTGTAATTTGATCTTCACAATTGTAAATGGGATGTTTGTTTTTATTTAAATCATACTTTTGATTTACATTGTCTTTTTCTTTGTTGTCATCTGTATAGAAGAAAACCAGAAAACAAGGTGGTGAAAAACCTCTGAACATTGGCATTCCTGGAGTTTTGTTTTATAAGATTCCACATAAGGTGAAGTATTTTGATGAGTTTCAGCTGGTTTGTTTAGCCAGTGCTAGATTGGGGCTTGGCTTACTTCGTATTGATTTTTTTACATGTTTAGAGCTGGGGTAAAGTTTGTTGCCAGATACAGCATAGCTAACTTCCTATTGGCTGTTACAATATTTTCAGGTCTAGACTAACTTTGTTATTATATATTTTAGACAGGACTTCATTGTTCTTAACTGTATTATTGAAGGGGATTTCCTCCAACCCCATTTCAGTAATACTTGGCTACATGTTATGGCCCACTGACTTTATTTTCAGCCTGCTTTTCTTTTCTGGCTTTGTCCACCTAAGAACAATGTACATGGCAATAGTTGTTTATTTTTAAAGTGCCCTCTCATAGATGGGTTCTGTCCTCATCCAACAAACTTGGCCTTCTGGGAGGTCTGAACTAGGGACTCTAGGAGCTAGCAATCATTTAACCAAACCATGTCACCCTCTAAGGCTGGGCTCAGGTGCTATAATTTATTCCGTCATTTCTATCAGGACGGTGCTAACTACAAGGTTGGGAACCCACTGGCACGGGACTACATGATGCTAAGGCTGGGCTAATGTGCTATAATTTATTCCACCATTTCTATCAGGACGGTGCTAACTACAAGGTTGGGAACCCACTGGCACGGGACTACATGATGCTAAGGCTGGGCTAATGTGCTATAATTTATTCCACCATTTCTATCAGGACGGTGCTAACTACAAGGTTGGGAACCCACTGGCACGGGACTACATGATGCTAAGGCTGGGCTAATGTGCTATAATTTATTCCACCATTTCTATCAGGACGGTGCTAACTACAAGGTTGGGAACCCACTGGCACGGGACTACATGATGCTAAGGCTGGGCTAATGTGCTATAATTTATTCCACCATTTCTATCAGGACGGTGCTAACTACAAGGTTGGGAACCCACTGGCGCGGGACTACATGATCCGAGCTGAAGACGGGACACTGAGTGCTTGTACGGGTACTCAGGCCAACAGGGTGCTCATGCTGGGCAGGATGACGTCATACTGGAAGAACAACCAGAAAAGAATTGTGTAAGTTCATTACCACAAGTTGTTCGATGGACAACTGTAATGGTGACATTTGTTGTGTAATGGTTGGTGATGTTAGTTGGGTAATGGTGACATTTGTTGTGTAATGGTTGGTGATGTAAGTTGGGTAATGGTTGGTGACATTTGTTGGGTAATGGTTGGTGATGTTAGTTTGGTAATGGTTGGTGACTTTAGTTGGGTAATGGTGGCATTTGTTGGGTAATGGTTGGTGACTTTAGTTGGGTAATGGTGACATTTGTTGGGTAATGGTTGGTGACATTAGTTGTGACGTGTGTTTATTGATCATGGACTTTTTATTGCAGCAGTCAAATGGCTGTCTGGCTGAATAAAAATGAACTAGATCCAACTATCACAAGGTAGGTACTAGCGACATTCTTCCTGTTTACTCTCTAATAGATATGTTGGAAGAACTCATGTTTTGTATACTCTGTAGTAAAGAAGTTGAAAGAACTCATGTTTTGTATACTCTGTAGTAAAGAAGTTGAAAGAACTCATGTTTTGTATACTCTGTGGTAAAGAAGTTGAAAGAACTCATGTCTTGTATACTCTGTAATTAAGAAGTTTAAAAAAACTACTTTGATTTATTGTGTAGCCACCCAGACTACCAGGATGAAGGTCTGTATGGTGCTATTGTACCTCGCATCGTTACAGCAGGAACTATCACAAGGAGGGCTGTGGAACCAACTTGGCTCACAGCCAGTAATGCTTATGTAAGTTTGTTAATTTTCACACAAATGTTGAGCAAAAAAACATTTGAATGAGGCTAGATAGCTGGGGACAGCCACTCTCATCTAGGAAAGACAACTCCAAAATCAAACAACTGCTGCCTTGTAGTTTGTTCTTCCAAAAAGAAAAGCAGGCTGAAATCTGAGTCAACTGCCTTAATGGCACAAAACCAGTTGATGCATATACTTAATTGTGTTGGAATCTTTTTCAACACTAAAATTAAGAACAAAGAAGAAAAAGAAAGAAGAATGTAACTCAGTGGTAAGTCTGTGCATTAAAGTATTGATAGATCAACTTTCAAACATGGATCCATCTGTCACATCTAATTGATACAACTTGCAATGCTGTTTGTGTAAAAGTTCATAAATCGAGGCAAGGGTGTAGGGGCGTCACATAGAATGTGACAAAATACAAGAAAAAAGTTGTAAGCCATCAACCACACTAAAAAATGTTAACAGTTGTCAAGGTAAGTTAATTTTTGTTGTTGAAAACCTTGAATTGAATATTGTGGCAAAGCTCCAGTGAACTGATTCTGTCTGCAGGTAGATCGTATTGGCAGTGAACTGAAAGGAATGATTCAGTGCCCACCTGGCTATCATTTTGTGGGAGCAGACGTGGACTCACAAGAGTTATGGATTGCTGCAGTTTTGGGAGATGCCTATTTCCTTAAAGAACATGGTTCTGTTTGTTTTTTTATAATTTACCCAGCATGCAACTGTTTTAAAACTAGAAAAATGCCTGTAGTATCTATTAGAACAGGGGTCTCCAAACTTTTAAGTCCGAGGGCCGCATTAACTATCAAATTTCACTTCGGGGGCCAGTTTCTTCCAGGCATGTCTTTGATTTTTCTGAGCAAAGTTCCTCAGCCATCACCAACAAACGATTTTTTCCTTGGACAAAAAGATCTCCGCGGGCCGGATGAGAGGACTTCGCGGGCCGCATCCGGCCCGCGGGCCGTAGTTTGGAGACCCCTGTATTAGAACATAAAATACTGGGATGTGAGTTTTCCGATTTTTAGTGGAATTCCAATTTTTCCATTTTGCAATTTTTCTCTACTAATTTCATTCTCTCCATATTTTCATTGATTTATTTTAATTTTTGCTAACTTTAGAGGATTATTTTTGAAGTTTTAAAATAAAACAAAAATTACCTCTAAGGAAACACCAGACATGCACATTCCACACATTCTTATTTACATGGAGTATTAAGCTTGGCCTGCAGTTCAGATATTTGTTCAAACAAACTATCAAAGAAGCTAGGTCTGAACTGGTGGTACTGGATTTAGCTAAAGATTAAATCTAGATTAAAATTTTGAATTTCAGAAGTTTTCCTAATTTTTCAGGTCACAAATTTTCTAGTCAGAATTTTCTGCTATTTTTTAGTTAAATAGTTATTAAAAAATACAGAAAAATTGTAATCTAAAATGTTTCTTTAGATAAAAAGTACATCTTTACTGTTATTCTCAAATGCTTATTAGTAGCATAATTTATCTAATGCTATTTAAACTCCCCCTGTTTTTAGAGCTACCCCATTCTCTCTGCCCTCATTTTATTTTGCAACCTAAAATTAATATTGATTGTTGTTTTGATTGTTTAGCTGTTGTTTTGATTGGTTGTTTGTTTTGATGTAGGCTGTACTGCACTGGGGTGGATGACCTTACAGGGTACAAAAGCCAACAAGACAGACCTGCACAGTAAAACAGCACAGATAGTTAACATTAGTCGGGACCATGCCAAGGTTAGTTTATCTATAGCAACCTGCAAGCTCAAGGCTCATCTTATTAAATATCTGGATTAAGGTTACAGCTAATCCCCTCAGGTGATGAACTACGCTAGGATCTATGGAGCAGGGCAGACGTTTGCTGAGAGACTGCTGCTACAGTTTAACCCCCACCTGACTGCGCTGGAGGCCAAACGAAAAGCTGCTGAGATGTACAAGCAAACTAAGGGTCAAAGAAAGTAGGTCACTCACAGTTTTATTAGTACTCTAAAGGTAAAAAAATGGGCCAGTCTGTCAACTATTTCTTCTGTAGTATAAACTGTTGCCACTTGAGAAAAAGTTTCTTTTCAAAAATTCAGAAGATAGAAACATGCTCATCAAACTTTTAACCTATAAAGTGTTTTATTCCTTTGATATTTTACAGTGCTCAGAGGCTTTGGATTGGTGGAAGGTTAGCAAATTTTCTTCTCCACTAATTTATTGAGGGGAAGGTGAGCTAATTCTCTTCTCCACTCATTTATTGAGGGGAAGGTGAGCTAATTCTCTTCTCCACTCATTTATTGAGGGGAAGGTGAGCTAATTCTCTTCTCCACTCATTTATTCAGGGGAAGGTGAGCTAATTCTCTTCTCCACTCATTTATTGAGGGGAAGGTGAGCTAATTCTCTTCTCCACTCATTTATTCAGGGGAAGGTGAGTTAATTCTCTTCTCCACTAATTTATTGAGTGTAAGGTGAGCTAATTCTCTTCTCCACTCATTTATTGAGGGGAAGGTGAGCTAATTCTCTTCTCCACTCATTTATTGAGGGGAAGGTGAGCTAATTCTCTTCTCCACTCATTTATTGAGGGGAAGGTGAGCTAATTCTCTTCTCCACTCATTTATTGAGTGTAAGGCGAGCTTTCTCTTCTCCTTAATGTCTCTCTCTCTGTTACAGTGAGAGTTTAGATAAACTAGCATCAATGAATTCTCTCCTGTTACGGTGAGAGTTTAGATAAACTTGCATCAATGAATTCTCTCCTGTTACAGTGAAAGTTTTATGTTCAATGCACTTGAAGCTGTAGCTAATTCTGAGAGTCCCAAAACTCCAGTTTTAAACTGCTGCATAAGCAAAGCTTTGGAGCCAAGATTTGTACTAGAAGATGTAAGTACCTTACTGCATACATTACCTCAACAAGTTTATGCCATTCTTTAGAGCTAAGACAAGAATTAGAATATGCATATGTGACTAGTGACCATCAATATATTTAGTCTACATAAATTAAAAAAACTGAGGCTGTGTGAACTGTCTGTTTAGTTTTTAACATCCCGTGTGAATTGGGTGGTCCAAAGCTCAGCAGTGGACTACTTGCATCTGATGCTAGTCTGCATGCGCTGGCTGCTGACAGCCTACAACATTGAGGGCAGGTTCTGTATCAGCATCCATGATGAGGTTAGGTATTTGGTCTCAAGCCCAGACAGGTATAGGGCAGCCCTGGCGCTGCAGATCACCAATCTCCTCACCAGATCCATGTTTGCTTACAGACTAGGGATGGACGACCTACCTCAGGTGGGAGGCTACACATATTTTATATTTTTGGAGCTAATCATCATTTCTTACAAATATAACAATAACTCATGGTGAGGTTATGGTCTAATTCCATACTACAAAGGAACATAAGCTTAAGTGAAATAACTGAACCTTTAACTTTATAACTTTCCAGTCTGTGGCATTTTTTAGTGCAATAGACATTGACAGCTGTCTACGTAAGGAAGTGACGATGGATTGTCTAACACCATCCAACCCTCATGGATTAAATCAAAGTTATAAAATTTCAACAGGTGATTTGTTAAAATATCATTATCATGGTTTCTAGAGGAAAGTAATTAATCTTAAAAACGATACAGCCACAAAACTTGACCTCTAGTATTTATTTTTAGCGCAATTTCCATATGGACAATTGCGATTATTAACTCGTCAAGGATGGATGTGTGTCCGCAGCTTTAAGTCGTCTCTCCTCCTCAACGAAGCAATATCGAGGACTAGTTCCAAAAGCAAATATGTTAAGCAAGTTCCGAGGATGATTGTGGGCCAAAAAAATTCCCGGAATTCCTTCCTGGATTTCCCGGAAAAGCCAAAAAACCTCGAAAAAATGCAGTTTTTGGCCCATATCTCGGCAACCAGACCACTTAGCGACTTGAAACATTTACCAATCGATTCCTGCCATAATTTAGAACAATATTGCCCAAGAAAGTTTTCAAAAATATCCTTTCGTTCGGTCACAAAAAATTAAGGAAATTGCGCTTAAATTGTCACTAGACTTTTTATTGACTTGTTTTTATTTTACTTCTTAAGGTGAGGCCATGAACATATACCAGATCATTGAGAAGACAGGAGGAAAACTGGAATAAATTTTGTTTACACAACTCCCTCTTGCTGTGTTAATTTTTTGCATGACTGAGTTTTAGACGACAGATTCAAGGAGTGAAGGGTGGATTTGGTCCACTTTCAGACTCACGCTATATATAAGGACTAGATAGTAGTTTTAATGGATTTATTGTGTTTGGAGTATATATTCTTAATTCAAGTTAATTTAGGCAAGGCTCCATATTGGTTCATGTCTATGGCCATCATGAACATAAAACTGACTGACATGGTATGGCGATTTGACAGTAGAATATATAACCGCTAAGCTCTAAGTCTTGAGTTTGGATACTGGGCTTGAGTTAGTAGGATATACTTGAGTCAATCAGCACTAAAGGGTGCCTGCCTCACATTAGGTCAAGTCACGGCATCTGGGCATAATGCTGACCACACTTTCACTTCATTATAGAAAACAAATATACAATGTACATAGAAGTCTTGTCTGGAGTCTAAAGCAGAGATAAACAGATATGACAAATCGTATGGGTGTATGCCTCTGACCTTTCCTCAGGTTATCAGTAGATTCAGCAGAATAAAAGAATGTTCCCATAAGCTGCTCCGGTTCTTTAACAAATCTCACCCTGGCAGAGAAAGTGATTGTATAGAGCACTGGAAGCTTTCTTGAGGTTGAGCTGATGCCTCAACTATCAGGGTTTAAATAAAAGACATGACTGTAAAGAAAAATCTTGTCATACTCAAAAAAAAAACTTTTAGGCTAATCACCTTGCCACTCATCGCTATTCAATAAGCTCTTAAGTTAGTGTCAGAAAACTTGGACCAATAGTAGGTGGAAATTTGAAGAAACCTAGAAGGTGTTTCAGCTTTGTGCTAATGTCAGACAAACATCCTTAAGTATCAATAATTCCAAAGTCAATTTTCTGAACGCTAATTTTTTGCTCATTTTGTGTGTTAACAATATTATTAAACACTAGTATAAATGAATCAAAAATATTTATTAAAACGATTCAGTTTCTCTAAACACATTTTGCTATTGAAATTGAAGGCCAGATTCACCACATATTGATTCATTCATGCGACATGCTCAACTGATTAATTCACAGAAATAGCTACATTATTTATTTTCATTATTATGTAACCTAACTCATAACTGCACATTATTTAGCTAATTCATAAAATTAGATAAAAATACAAAACATCAAGCCAAAATAATTAGGATTTTAATTAATTAAATAGCAAACAGTTGTATTTCAGCCTTAGACATTTCTTTTCATATGGTCCAAGAACATTTCATTCTTGTCTTTAGTACTCATGTGTGCACACAACTCTTCATAGATTGGTAAGATAAAGTGACCTCCTGGGTTGTGATACACTGGCTCTCCCCATAGCGTGCCTGTCTTCCAGCCTTTTACATTTTTCATTAATTCATTCTCTTCATCTCTGTTTCTTCTCAATAACTTCAAAAATCTGCAAGAGATTTGTAAAAAAGAAATCAACATAGCATGGTAAAGGCTACTAATAGTTGAAAGAAGTTTAAACACAGGAAGTAATGTGCAACTTACTCTCTATCTCTTTCAGCCTCCAGTATAGGTTCTACTGCTAATCGTGCATCTCTCATTTCTAAATCAATAGCCCTGAAAAAGTCATATAAATATGTATTTTGAGTGCTCACAGGGTTATGTAACATACCACTACATGCAAATACTTTGCCTTGAACAAGATCACACCCATTCTTTATATTCTCAGCCACACAAGCATTGCAATCCCATTAGATTTAGTCAATACACAACATGGTAATCCATCAGTACTTGAGAAGATTGATTTACAGTGGAATTACAACATGGAAATCCACAATATGGTGAAATACAGTGAAGCTTACACTGTTGAAAAACAGAAAGTTTCCCATTTAGATTAGTAAGTCCATAAAACGTGTTGTGCCCATACACCTGTCTCACTTGGTATGGCACTCTCACACAGGTATCACAGCTTTATAACCCCAGCTTTCTCCTACTTTCTCAGTGGACACCCCGAGAAAACCATTTGTGGTCACAACCATCTGCTTACATAGTGGACCTTCTCTGACACAATAAAATAGGCTGTAACATTAAATTAAATACATAGAAATAATAAAAGATGTAAGCTACTGTAATAGCTTCATCTCTTCTAACTAAAACTAACCTTTTATTGGCTTGCCATCTCAAAAAAAAACCCCATGAAACTGCAGTAAAGCCTACAAAAAGTCCTATTTGGGTGTAACCTACAAGTGTAAAGTAAAATTAATCACATAGTATATACAACAAACCTAGGACGCAAAACTGAAATAAAAAAACAAGGGTACAGACCACACACATATATTTATAAGTAAACAGGTTATATGCTTGGAAATTGTGGAAGATAATTTCAGACTAAATAAAACAGATTTCAAAAGTAGGTCTCCAACTACATTTCCAAATATAGGCCTACTCCTTGAGGCTGCTGAGATGACTGACTCTAGTAAGAAAATATACACCAGTGTAGTCTGGTTATCAGTTACCTGAAAGATTCGCCATAATTATATGATACTACTTACAGAGAGTAATTCTGATTAATTAAGAAAATGTGTCAGAAAAAATCCTTACACTTACACATAAAATAAAAAAATGTTTTTAATAGCGCATTAAAAAGGAGAAAATAAATGATTTTCTTTAAATACCTAATAATGAGCTAATACTAACTAAAAATATATCGCTGGTCGCTTTATTATGTAAGCCTTTGAATAACCTCACTAGAATTCAAGAAGCAACACACGCTTTTATTATTTTTAGTTATTTAAACAGTAGTTAATTAGGCCTATTAGCCTATATATTTTTCTAAAAATCATTTATTTATAGGCCCTAAAAGGTTATTATTAAAATGTTTTTTATGCTTTTTTATCCAGTAGAAATGGTCAAAATTTCACTAGGCAGTTTTATTCAATGATGAAGCACTCGAGAGACAAAAGCATGACAGACAGAGGAAGTAAGTAAAATAAAAGCTTGTAAAAATACACTGTGGTACACTTAAACTTTAAAGCAAAACATTAATTACTACACTCGACTTTATTAATAATATTTAGATCTACTCGTTTTTAGCGCAATTTCCATTCTGGAGAATTGCGTTTATTAACCCGTCATTTCTGGATGTATGAATGAATGGATGGATGGATGGATGTGTGTCCGCAGCTTTAAGTCGTATCTCCTCCTCAACGAAGCAATATCGATGACTAGTTCCAAAAGCAATTATGTTAAGCAAGTTACGAGGATGAACATAGGCCATAACAATTCCGGGTTTCTTTCATGGATTTCCCGGAAAAGCCAAAAAACCTCGAATAAATGCAGTTTTTTGCCCATATCTCAGCAACCAGACCACTTAGCGACTTGAAACATGTACCAATCGATTCCTGCCATAATTTAGAATAATATTGCCGAAGAAAGTTTTCAAAAATATCCTTTCGTTCGGTCACAACAATTTTTTTTAATTAATTAAAATTTGGACCGAATTAGTAGGCATATTTATCCAACCACACCACACGCGTCATCACGTTTAATAGCTGCGCCATCACGTTCAATGGCTCATCACGTTCAGTAGGCGCGCAATGGTTTTTAGTCATGTAACTCTATTGTAAATAAAACATGTAAAATACTGAAAAAAAAAATTAATAAAAAACGTTTTAATAACTAACCAATGGTTTTACTAACCCTGCTCTTGATTTACGCTACGACAGAGCTATTTTTAGATAACATAAGGAAATTGCGCTAAAATTGTCACTAGACTTTTTTAATTACTTGTTTAAGAAACACAGAAAAAAACTTGCAGAAGATTTGCGACAACAAGATCTAGTAAAATAAGAAAATTAGATTTACGAAAGTTAAAAGGAGTAAGAAGAACTAGAACAATGTTTAGTAGCAGTAATAATTAGTACATAAGCCTACACTTAAAATAATTAGAAATACAAAATAAATAGGAAAACAGTAGGGGCCTATTTAAAATGCAACTAAAAAATCTATGCAAATTTTTAAACATGTTTAAAATAATATGGCGCCAAATAAATTATGGTTTACAGTATTTCCCGTGGTTTCCGGAACGGCTTGACAGACTACGCCATGATTTTACTGTTTTTTACTGCTGTACCATTCTGGAATTATAACCGAAGCTATATCATGATATTACCAATAACCGCTTACTGCACCCTCCTCCTATGAAAAAATTGTATGGTTGGTTGCCCCTCTTAATTGAAATTGTAAATGTTTTTAATTGCAGAAACCTTCCCAGTACTGACTACTCAGTAGTACACTGTCTGTAGAGAGGTGAGAACTCCCCAAAGTTTTTTGTAGCTAGTTTTAAGTTTAGAACATGTTTAGGCGCCTAATTGTTTTATTTAATTAAATTAAAACTAGAGTAGACTAGATTCAGATTGTCACTATCACTAGATCTAGATCTGTTGGTAATCTATCGTTTTAGGACTAGGTACGTTGGAAACATCGCTAGAGGAGCTTACACTTTTCGGACACACATAGCGAAAAAACGCAACGTAAAAATTCCATGCGGTCTCATTCAGTAACCGCTTAACATAGAAAACAAAAAAAAGTATCATATCTATCCGCAACCATTCTACTTTAATAATGTGTGTGTCATTTTGTATTCATACGCATAGAACTTAAGCTATTCTTGTTATAGTGACTGGGGGGTCTTAACGTGTGTTCGAACACATGTAATACAGTTTTACATGTGTTCGGACACCTTTACCCGTCATCGGACATAGCACTTTTTGTTCATTTAGAATAATTTAAAGTCAATTTAATGAATAAAAACATATATTATATGCATTTATATTGTGTTATTGATTGTTTGTGAGGTAATTTTAATAGTATAAAACCTTTTTCCCACACTCCCAAAGTTCATCCCATTCAGCCATTGCGGCTCGCGCAGTACGCTGCTAAGCCAGCCAGGTCACATGATTCCCCCTCCTCTTTCGCATTCCACTGCCTTCTTGACCTTATTTTGACCCTTTCCCTTCAATAACCAGCCCCTTTTATGCTCTAAATTCTTATTTAATAATATTTTTGTGTTGCTGTCCGATCCCATGTAAGGTCAAATAAGTTAGCGAACACCCCTTTTTTATTGTTCAAGCACGAAAAAACCCATTAACCTTGACATTTACGATGTTCCATACATATATAGAAGCTATTTATAGTGTAACCTTTTAGCTAAGCATTGATTGGTTCAAGTTTTGCCCCTAAGTCCAACCCTAGGTCACTTCATCCGGCTGGTGTAAAAATAGAAATGTGCGTACCATGCAACGTTAAAAAATTTCTAAAAATAATTCTTGAGAAAGGAAACGGAAGTACTTGACACGGAAGTGTTCATAAATGAACAGTTTACGTGCAGGCGCCGTGGTTTCGCGTGAGACATGCTAATTAAAGTTTCTATGAGCCAAAAACCGACGAAGTGTTCGGTCCTACGTAATTTTTGGTGTGTGTCCGAAAAGTGTAAACTCCTCTAGTCTTCATTAAAAGTTCATTTAGTTAGGCCTATTACTGAAAAGTTTTAATTCAATTGTTTAAAAACAGGTGAGGTAGACCTACAATAATCCTACATACATAAATGAAACACATTACTAGATCTAGATTCTAGATAATCTAGATCTAGTCGCGGGCGATTTAATTTTAAAATTGTACGTACCCAAAACGATAGATAGTCTAGTAATAGATACCGATTAGGCTACCGTAACCATCTATTCACTATTCTATTCTGATCTAGATATAGGCTATATAGGCAAATACTTTGAATAAAACAAAAGTATCACTCTACATTTAAAACTATGTAGATTCTATTACCATTAAATAGTCTTTTAGGGCCTCTTGCAGCCCATTCAAACGGACTAAACCCCCCCTCAGGTGGTAAGTCCTGTTTATAAGTAACCATTTTGACCTTCTGTAAATAGGCCTAGGCCTTACACTAAATCTATCTCTATAGATTGGAGACAAGGAGGATAACTCTCAATATGCAAAGATAATCCACACAAATTACCTAACGGTTTTTGTACGGGATTTTTTAATCAAATAATTATTTAAGATATATATTCTAGATCTAGATCTATATCCCTATCGAAGTATTGACTATGCATGATTTAAACATGTCTAATTTAATTGTTTTTACAGATAGTGTATAAAGTAGTATAAACCCAAGGCCTAAAATTATTACACAAGGTTACTTTCGACCTAAGTTAACGTAATTAACCGCAAATATGAACTTTGCTCCCCCCCCCCCCCTATCTATGTTTGTGTTAGTCAAAACATAGATGTAGATCTAGACCTTTAATTTTACACTAGGCCTACAAGCATTTCTTCGAAAAACTAAATAGATCTAGATCTTGATATATAAATTTATATGGCTAGAAGTCCCGAGGAATATGCAGATTTTCAGGCACACATTCTTAATTCGGTCAAGCACTATAGAGATGTTCAAAAAAAAGAATCAGATTTTTGTTCAGTCCCCGAATGTCTGATCAGATTGGAAGGCCTTGAAGTCACAGACTTTAGCTCGCAGTATGGAAGTGAATCAACAATATCCTACGTCGCCTGTAATTTAGCTGGGAAGGCGTGTGTTTTCCCCTCATATGGGGATTATACTCAAGCATGTGTATTTGTGAGCACTCAGCAATGCCTCCTCTTTATTGCTTAGGCCCCTAATATTAATAATTATAATAGTTTAATTTAACTATTTAAGTTTAATATTAAAAGTAGGCCTACTTAACAGTACTTAAGTACTTACACTTTATACTTTATTACAGTATTATTACTACTTAACAAATTAATAATTTATGAATTAACATCTTGTGTCTTAAACAAAAATCATGTTTAGTCTATTCACTTTAATCTTTAATGCAGATCAGAAACAGCTTTTTTAATTAATTAAAGGAAATTGTATTTTTAACTGAGGCAACTATCTCTTAAATAATAAATTGTATCATCATGACTCAACAGAGAACATATGGACCCTGGTGGAACATTGCCCCATCAAGTATACAAAAATACAAAGGAACTCCTTGTGATTTTGTTAGTCAAGACTTCATAGGTTAGTCAAATGTTAAATTAACATTCATCCTTATGACATTTAATATATTTAATGTGTTGGTTGAATAACTTCAAATTTCTTTGTTTTATTCCAGACATTTTTCTACTTTGCGTCTTTTTTGTGTGATTGTGTGTGATATATTTTATTGCTTCAATCACATGCAAAAAAATGTTAATATTAAAGTATTTTCACCCTCCCCCCTCCACACACACACACACACTTATGTTACTGAATGCAGTTCATTAAAAAAAAAGGGTCATTTTGTGTTTTATCTTGTTTCTCCTATAGAGGTGACTTTTGCAGAATATCTTTACCCAGTGAGAATTGAAGTGTATGAGACCTACAATCCTGGGTCTATCATCCGTATATTGGCTTGTGATAGAGCCGGTGGAACTGACACAGATAAAGGAAGAGTAACGTAAATATTTTTCATTGATTGATTATTAAATTCAGATGTCATGCATAAAGCGTATTTGTTTTATAACAACATTCTAAGTTTCTCTCTCCATATTTTATTTAGTATGTGCTAAATTTGTCCCTCTCTTTTGTGCGTTTGACCAGATGGGTGACCTTATGGAAAAGTCAACCAAAGCCTAGCAAACAGCGGCCTAGAATATTTGCACCTCATTTGAAGAAGATCAACTTTGCTACAAAGTAAGTGATTCTCAGAACACATTTGGTAGAAGTTTAGTCATGCAATGTTTGAATATTTCTGAGTTGTGTAATGAATGTTTAAAATAAAACAAGATTAGACTGATTACTGAACAGTTGTATGGATCTTGCAGTCTAATCAGGCTGGAGTTGAATCATGACTGTCTGGACTACTATACTGAACTTGATGGGATCAAACTGATAGGCACCAAAATGCCACCAGGAGCTGACATCCATTTCCTGCAGCCTGTACTTACAGTGGATGATGATGACATCATTCTAGCCTGTGATGACAGTGGCATGTCACCATGTAACATATCTTACACCACCTTTGGGGGGGGGGGGGAATGGAGATTGTATTTCTATTAAAACTAGGTGATCCATTCTGAAAAGATAGAAATTGTATTCAATATGAGTGTTAAACTACAAACTAATGCACCCTCCAAACACTGTTATTTACTAAGACTGGTTTTAACCCCTGTGTAAGGGGCAATTTGCTGTATCTAGTTACTCATCATTTTTAGTTGATTAGATCTTGAGTTAATTTAATAAAAATAATGTGGGCACTATAGTTGTTAGATGTAATTTGTTAGTTAATTGTGTTGTAAAGCATAAACTAAGACACACAGTCCACAAACATAAATTATTCCTGCATATGTTTTTTTTTTAAAGTTAGTAAGTTACAAGGGCAATAACTTTGATTAGGTTGTCCTGAGCCTGTCAGTTGCCAACAGCTAGAAGATGAAACTCTGAAGGACAGCATGACAGAGTTGAGCCTGAAGGAGAGTGAATTCTTCACCCTGTTACCTGTACGTTATTATGATTAGTTCAGTTTTAGCTCAACATTTGTCACTGCTGAAATTAGTTTCATTGAAAACACAATTGCCTATTAATTAATTTTTATTGTAACAATTTTTTTTTTTACTTTTCAGAAAGAAATCATTCACCTTATTCTGGGGTATTTAGATGTGCGAGATCTATGCAGGCTGTCACAGACTTGCAGGTTAGAAACTTGTTACTAGGCCTTATAATCCACACCTCCAATGGTCTGCCATGTGTTTAAACCTGGACATATGATGGCCTTATAATCCACACCTCCAATGGTCTGCCATGTGTTTAAACCTGGGCATATGATGGCCTTATAATCCACACCTCCAATGGTCTGCCATGTGTTTAAACCTGGACATATGATGGCCTTATAATCCACACCTCCAATGGTCTGCCATGTGTTTAAACCTGGGCATATGATGGCCTTATAATCCACACCTCCAATGGTCTGCCATGTGTTTAAACCTGGACATATGATGGCCTTATAATCCACACCTCCAATGGTCTGCCATGTGTTTAAATCTGTTTAACTGTGTTTAAAGAACATTAACAAATATAATTTACATCTTTCATGTCAAGACTTCTTAAAGAACATTAACAAATATAATTTACATCTTTCATGTCAAGACTTCTTAAAGAACATTAACAAATATAATTTACATCTTTCATGTCAAGACTTCTTAAAGAACATTAATACTAATAGTTTCGCTGTCTGTCTATGTATCTATCTATCTGACAAGAACGCTGTAGAGAAAACACAAGCAAAATAAAAACATGCATAGTAATTCGAAAAACGAAGTATGACGCGGTCACATTTAGCATAGAGTAGAAAATAATCTCAAGAGAGTGCACACAGTAATATGACGTCATTGATTCTCGAGTAAACATTGAATAAAAAGGAAATTTTGCCTAATCTAAATGGTTTGCGTGAAGAGTTTCTTGCATACAATTCTTCCGGTAGGGGCGAAACCCCACCCCCCGCGTAAGAACGTCTGAGCCCCCCCCCCCCCCCCTCCCCAACTCAAAAAGAAATTTCTTCATCGATACTCTATAATAAAATTACCGCCTAATTAATGTGTCTAATCTAAAAAGTGGTTTTCTTGCAATTTCTTTAATGCAATTCTTCGGGTAGTGGCTAAGCGCGACACCAGTGTTTCTTTCAGACTTTTTCCTCCCCGGAGAGGGGTGGGGGTACTTGAAATTTTCGGGGGCGGGGGTAGAATTTTCGGGGAGGGGGCGGACACTGGAAAAAGTATATAATTATATTTCGTTGAATGGGACGGTAGACATGTTTTTTTGGGGGGTGGGGGGTGGGGGGTGGGGGGGGGGGGGTGTTGGGGGGGGGGGTTGGTTTTAGTTTAGAGAAAAGAGACAGCACTATCAACCTAGCGCCCGGTGTATCCTTCCTCAACGGGCCATTTTTCTCGTTAACAAATATAATTTACATCTTTCATGTCAAGACTTCTTAAAGAACATTAACAAATATACTTTACATCTTTCATGTCAAGACTTCTTAAAGAACATTAACAAATATAATTTACATCTTTCATGTCAAGACTTCTTAAAGAACATTAACAAATATAATTTACATCTTTCATGTCAAGACTTCTTAAAGAACATTGTTATGAGCCCTACTTGTACACAGATCTTAACCTCCAACCTTTCTGGACACAGGTAAGATTTTCTATACACAGGTAAGATTTTCTGTAAAGGTAAGATTTTCTGCAAAGGTAAGATTTTCTGTACACTGGTAAGATTTTCTGTAAAGGTAAGATTTTCTGTACACAGGTAAGATTTTCTGTACACAGTTAAGATTTTCTGTACACAGGTAAGATTTTCTGTACTCCATTAAGATTTGTTGTACACAGGTAAGATTTCCTGTTAACACCCTGTGGATTCCATGTGAGGGCCTGTCTTGTTATACTGGATACACTGGATACAGGCTTCCTTAGTGTGTGGCCAATCCATTTTCTCTGGAGGATCTCATCTACAGCTGGCAGTATGTTTGTCTAGTGCCAGAGTAACTTCTTCTGATGGGGTTAGGCCAGTGGCACATATAAACCAACTGTTACAGAGTGATCTAGTGGTAGAGAGGGAAACATTGATGACAAACCTAGACTGAGAGAGGGAAACACTGATCACTCAATACATCTCATGGCAAGTTGTATGGGCAGGGCCTTACCTTGCACACAGTACACTGGCAGCTCCCTCAATACAGCTCATGGCAAGTTGTATGGGCAGGGCCTTACCTTGCACACAGTACACTGGCAGCTCCCTCAATACAGCTCATGGCAAGTTGTATAGGGGGGGGGGGGCCTTACCTTGCACACAGTACACTGGCAGCTCCCTCAATACAGCTCATGGCAAGTTGTATAGGGGGGGGGCCTTACCTTGCACACAGTACACTGGCAGCTCCCTCAATACAGCTCATGGCAAGTTGTATGGGCAGGGCCTTACCTTGCACACAGTACACTGGCAGCTCCCTCAATACAGCTCATGGCAAGTTGTATAGGGGGGGGGGGGGCCTTACCTTGCACACAGTACACTGGCAGCTCCCTCAATACAGCTCATGGCAAGTTGTATAGGGGGGGGGCCTTACCTTGCACACAGTACACTGGCAGCTCCCTCAATACAGCTCATGGCAAGTTGTATAGGGGGGGGGGGGCCTTACCTTGCACACAGTACACTGGCAGCTCCCTCAATACAGCTCATGGCAAGTTGTATAGGGGGGGGGGGCCTTACCTTGCACACAGTACACTGGCAGCTCCCTCAATACAGCTCATGGCAAGTTGTATGGGGGGGGGGGGGGCCTTACCTTGCACACAGTACACTGGCAGCTCCCTCAATACAGCTCATGGCAAGTTGTATAGGGGGGGGGGCCTTACCTTGCACACAGTACACTGGCAGCTCCCTCAATACAGCTCATGGCAAGTTGTATAGGGGGGGGGCCTTACCTTGCACACAGTACACTGGCAGCTCCCTCAATACAGCTCATGGCAAGTTGTATAGGGGGGGGGGGGGCCTTACCTTGCACACAGTACACTGGCAGCTCCCTCAATACAGCTCATGGCAAGTTGTATGGGGGGGGGGCCTTACCTTGCACACAGTACACTGGCAGCTCCCTCAATACAGCTCATGGCAAGTTGTATAGGGGGGGGGGCCTTACCTTGCACACAGTACACTGGCAGCTCCCTCAATACAGCTCATGGCAAGTTGTATAGGGGGGGGGGCCTTACCTTGCACACAGTACACTGGCAGCTCCCTCAATACAGCTCATGGCAAGTTGTATAGGGGGGGGGGGGCCTTACCTTGCACACAGTACACTGGCAGCTCCCTCAATACAGCTCATGGCAAGTTGTATAGGGGGGGGGGGCCTTACCTTGCACACAGTACACTGGCAGCTCCCTCAATACAGCTCATGGCAAGTTGTATAGGGGGGGGGGGGGGGCCTTACCTTGCACACAGTACACTGGCAGCTCCCTCAATACAGCTCATGGCAAGTTGTATAGGGGGGGGGGGCCTTACCTTGCACACAGTACACTGGCAGCTCCCTCAATACAGCTCATGGCAAGTTGTATAGGGGGGGGGGCCTTACCTTGCACACAGTACACTGGCAGCTCCCTCAATACAGCTCATGGCAAGTTGTATAGGGGGGGGGGGCCTTACCTTGCACACAGTACACTGGCAGCTCCCTCAATACAGCTCATGGCAAGTTGTATAGGGGGGGGGGGCCTTACCTTGCACACAGTACACTGGCAGCTCCCTCAATACAGCTCATGGCAAGTTGTATAGGGGGGGGGGCCTTACCTTGCACACAGTACACTGGCAGCTCCCTCAATACAGCTCATGGCAAGTTGTATAGGGGGGGGGGGGCCTTACCTTGCACACAGTACACTGGCAGCTCCCTCAATACAGCTCATTGCAAGTTGTATAGGGGGGGGGGGGCCTTACCTTGCACACAGTACACTGGCAGCTCCCTCAATACAGCTCATGGCAAGTTGTATGGGGGGGGGGGGCCTTACCTTGCACACAGTACACTGGCAGCTCCCTCAATACAGCTCATGGCAAGTTGTATAGGGGGGGGGGCCTTACCTTGCACACAGTACACTGGCAGCTCCCTCAATACAGCTCATGGCAAGTTGTATGGGGGGGGGGCCTTACCTTGCACACAGTACACTGGCAGCTCCCTCAATACAGCTCATGGCAAGTTGTATGGGGGGGGGGGGGGGCCTTACCTTGCACACAGTACACTGGCAGCTCCCTCAATACAGCTCATGGCAAGTTGTATGGGGGGGGGGGGGCCTTACCTTGCACACAGTACACTGGCAGCTCCCTCAATACAGCTCATGGCAAGTTGTATAGGGGGGGGGGCCTTACCTTGCACACAGTACACTGGCAGCTCCCTCAATACAGCTCATGGCAAGTTGTATAGGGGGGGGGGGGGGGCCTTACCGTGGCACATTTAGGGATATTGTCCTCTCTACACACAGCGGCCCTACTATAAGGCACTACCTATCAGCTGATGCTGAATAGGAGAGAGTACATCTGACTAAATGTGCCACTCACGAGAATCTTATCATCAATTAAATGAATTATGGAAATATTTTAACTCTTTAGGTATTATTCTATACAAATGTCGGTTATTGAAAAAACAATATTTGATTTTAAAAGTTTCAATCAATTGAAACTTTGAACTGAATGAACTACTGGCAGTTAGTACAGATGGTTTGAGGGTATGCCTCATAGACCTATGCAGAGGTCATGGCCAACAATATTTGTATAGTAATTAAAATGTTAGATTACCATCATGTCTGTGTGATGGCAGAGATTACCATCATGTCTATGTGATGGCAGAGATTACCATCATGTCTGTGTGATGGCAGAGATTACCATCATGTCTGTGTGATGGCAGAGATTACCATCATGTCTGTGTGATGGCAGAGATTACCATCATGTCTGTGTGATGGCAGAGATTACCATCATGTCTGTGTGATGGCAGAGATTACCATCATGTCTGTGTGATGGCAGAGATTACCATCATGTCTGTGTGATGGCAGAGATTACCATCATGTCTGTGTGATGGCAGAGATAAAAGAAGAAAATATTTTGCACAGATTTCCTCCTCGTCTCTCCTGGCACTGGAACACAGGTGTGATCGACTGCAGCGGCTAAATTTATCCTGGGTGGGGAAAGCTGGCTTTATACATCTGGATACTTTAGTCATGTAAGTAGTCAGTAGATGCTAGCCAAGTTTTGTCGTGTTAGATTGTCATAATACCCAACTGTTCATGTCACAATACCCAACTGTTCATGTCACAATACCCAACTGTCACAATACCCAACTGTTCATGTCACAATACCCAACTGTTCATGTCACAATACCCAACTGTTCATGTCACAATACCCAACTGTTCATGTCACAATACCCAACTGTCACAATACCCAACTGTTCATGTCACAATACCCAACTGTCACAATACCCAACTGTTCCTGTCACAATACCCAACTGTTCATGTCACAATACCCAACTGTCACAATACCCAACTGTTCATATCACAATACCCAACTGTTCATGTCACAATGCCCAACTGTTCATGTCACAATACCCAACCATTCATGTCACAACACTCAACTGTTCATGTCACAATACCCAACTGTTCATGTCACAATACCCAACTGTTCATGTCACAATACCCAACTGTTCATGTCACAATACCCAACTGTTCATGTCACAATACCCAACTGTTCATGTCACAATACCCAACTGTCACAATACCCAACTGTTCATGTCACAATACCCAACTGTTCATGTCACAATACCCAACTGTTCATGTCACATACCCAACTGTTCATGTCACAATACCCAACTGTTCATGTCACAATACCCAACTGTTCATGTCACAATACCCAACTGTTCATGTCACAATACCCAACTGTTCATGTCACATACCCAACTGTTCATGTCACAATACCCAACTGTTCATGTCACATACCCAACTGTTCATGTCACAATACCCAACTGTTCATGTCACAATACCCAACTGTTCATGTCACAATACCCAACTGTTCATGTCACAATACCCAACTGTTCATGTCACAATACCCAACTGTCACAATACCCAACTGTTCATGTCACATACCCAACTGTTCATGTCACAATACCCAACTGTTCATGTCACAATACCCAACTGTTCATGTCACAACACCCAACTGTTGAGCTGTTTGATTTCATCTCTGCAGGTTTCTGTCTAGCTGCTGCCATAGTCTGTCTACTCTAGAGCTGTGTTCTTGTAACTTTGTTAATGGCAAGGTTTTAGCAAGTGTTGTGAACATCTGTCATCAATTAACAGGTGAGTCTGTCTACATGCATGTACCTAGGTGAGTCACATGCACATATAACAGGTGAGTCACATGCACATATAACAGGTGAGTCACATGCACATATAACAGGTGAGTCACATGCACATATAACAGGTGAGTCACATGCACATATAACAGGTGAGTCACATGCACATATAACAGGTGAGTCACATGCACATATAACAGGTGAGTCACATGCACATATAACAGATGTCTGTCCACATGCATGTATAACTGGTGAGTCTGTCTACATGCATGTATAACAGATGAGTCACATGCATGTATTAAGGTGAGTCTGTCTACATGCATGTATAACAGGTTGAAAAGTTTGAATGAATTTAATTCAGACATTTAGAATTCTTTACCCTTGCAGACCACTGATTTTGTCAAGTTATTTCTGTCATTTAGAACTGAATCTCAATGGTTGTGTCCACATTGATGAGTTCACTGTCTTCAACACCCTGACTCGTACCAAGCTGAGAAGACTGAACTTGTACAGAACCAAAGTTGATGCAGGTTCATTTCTTGCTGTTCTTAGGTGAGTACCATAGCACAGGCCTGCCTACTTGTTCAAAGTTCTCAGTCATTGGACAATGTTGATCAGGTAGGAGTTCAATCATAATCAACTATAACATACAAAGATATGAACATGGTTATGGGTATCACTCCTAGGTGATCTCTTGTAAATGTCATCATTCAATCATTTTTACACAATTTTTTTAAATATCTGAATGTGTAACATAACCTATTCTCACAATAGATTTGGTTATAATTTACAATGGTCCTTTAAATGTGAACTGGTATGTAGAAAAAGTTTGAAATGTATGAAGCTAGTTCTAGATCTTGACAGGAGATCTTTTGGTAGATCAATGCCTTTGTTAATGACTTGTTTTACATTTTATCTGTCATATCTGACTGATGATTATCTGACACTCAAATATCTGACAGTCAAATATCTGACAGTCAAAAATCTGACAGTCAAATATCTGACAGTCAAATATCTGACAGTCAAATATCTGACAGTCAAAGATCTGACAGTCAAATATCTGACAGTCAAATATCTGACAGTCAAATATCTGACAGTCAAATATCTGACAGACAAATATCTGACAGTCAAATATCTGACAGTCAAATATCTGACAGTCAAATATCTGACAGTCAAATATCTGACAGTCAAAAATCTGACCGTCAAAAATCTGACAGTCAAATATCTGACAGTCAAATATCTGACTGTCAAATCTTGCACCTGATTGACTAGGTCCAGCCCTGACCTAGAACATTTGAATATTGGGTCGTGTCAGTTGCTGAATGCAAGCATCAACACAATTCTGCTTGAGATTGGATTGCACTGCAAGTAAGTTTAATGCTAGGTCGACCTAAGTTTAATGCTAGGTTGACCTAAGTTTAATGCTAGGTTGACCTAAGTTTAATGCTAGGTCGACCTAAGTTTAATGCTAGGTCGACCTAAGTTTAATGCTAGGTCGATCTAAGTTTAATGCTAGGTCGACCTAAGTTTAATGCTAGGTCGACCTAAGTTTAATGCTAGGTCAATCTAAGTTTAATGCTAGGTCGATCTAAGTTTAATGCTAGGTTGATCTAAGTTTAATGCTAGGTCGACCTAAGTTTAATGCTAGGTCTACCTAAGCTCACTGCTAGGTTGACCTAAATTCTTTGCTAGGTCAACCTAAGTTTAATACTAGGTCGACCTAAGTTCACTGCTAGGTCAACCTAAATTCTATGCTAGGTCGACCTAAGTTTAATGCTAGGTTGACCTAATTTCACAGCTAGGTTGTCCTAAGTTTAATGCTAGGTCGACCTGTTCACTGCTAGTTTTACCTAAATTCTTTACAAGGTTGACCTTACAATCATGTCATTTTTATTTGACCTGGGGGTGGGGTTAAACGAGTTATTGCAAGAACTAAGTATGGTTGCTACTCTATACATTTTCTTGTGACACTGCACTATATGGGTTGACAGGAAGTTGAAGAGTCTGGACCTCTGGCGTATGAAGTCACTGACTGATGAGGGTTTGTCACATTTGTACAACAACTGTTGCTTGTTAGAGGAACTGGACATTGGCTGGTGGTAAGTGGGTTTTGTTTGGTTGGTGGTAAGTGGCTTTTGTTTGGTTGGTGGTAAGTGGGTTTTGTTTTGTTGGTGGTAAGTGGGTTTTATTTGGTTGGTTGTATGTGGGTTTTGTTTGGTAGGTGGTAAGTGGGTTTTGTTTGGTTGGTGGTAAGTAGGTTTTGTTTAGTTGGTTGTATGTGGGTTTTGTTTGGTAGGTGGTAAGTGGGTTTTTGGTAGGTGGTAAGTGGGTTTTGTTTGGTTGGTGGTAAGTGGGTTTTATTTGGTTGGTTGTATGTGGGTTTTGTTTGGTTGGTGGTAAGTGGGTTTTGTTTGGTTGGTGGTAAGTGGGTTTTGTTTGGTAGGTGGTAAGTGGGTTTTGTTTGGTTGGTGGTAAGTGGGTTTTATTTGGTTGGTGGTAAGTAGGTTTTATTTGGTTGGTTGTATGTGGGTTTTGTTTGGTTGGTGGTAAGTGGGTTTTGTTTGGTAGGTGGTAAGTGGGTTTTGTTTGGTTGGTGGTAAGTGGGTTTTGTTTGGTTGGTGGTAAGTGGGTTTTATTTGGTTGGTGGTAAGTAGGTTTTATTTGGTTGGTGGTAAGTAGGTTTTATTTGGTTGGTTGTATGTGGGTTTTGTGTTGTTGTTTTTTTATTGGCGATTTGTTTTATATTGCTCGGTGATCAGAAGTGAGTGCTGTTACTACTTTCTACTGAAAACATTTTGCTGTTTTCTCCTTTCTTCTAACCTTTCAGTGGTGAGCTGTTTTCTCCTTTCTTCTAACCTTACAGTGGTGAGCTGTTTTAGCCTTTCTTCTAACCTTTCAGTGGTGAGCTGTTTTAGCCTTTCTTCTAACCTTTCAGTGGTGAGCTGTTTTATCCTTTCTTCTAACCTTTCAGTGGTGAGCTGTTTTATCCTTTCTTCTAACCTTTCAGTGGTGAGCTGAAGGCTGATAGAGACAGCTACTATAACTTGGCCAAACACTGCAGGAACCTGAAGAAACTTTTTCTAACAGCCAACAGGTACGTCAGTTCAGTGATAGGGGAAAAGTTGACCAGTTTCAATCTTAAAGATCTGTCACATCATTATTACTTCAATTAATGATGAAACAGCTTTTGGATCTGTTTAAAGAAGTAACTCTAGCTTTTGGGGATTTTGTTATGAATCTAAATGTCTTGATATTTTCTTAAGGAACTAAATATCTCAATATTTTCTAAAGAACAAATTGTCTTGATATTTTCTAAAGAACAAATTGTCTTGATATTTTCTAAAGAACAAATTGTCTTGATATTTTCTAAAGAACTAAATGTCTTGATATTTCTTAAGAATTAAATGTCTCAATATTTTCTACAGAACTAAATGTCTTGATATTTTTTTAAGGAACTAAATATCTCAATATTTTCTAAAGAACTAAATGTCTTGATATTTTCTTTTGTTAATTAATGACTTGACATTTCCTCCATTAAAACTTGTGCAGGACACTCCGAGACACTGACCTCCGAGCACTTGCTGACCATTGTCCACTACTAGAGCAGCTGGACATTCTGGGCACTAGAGAAGTTTCCAGAGATGCTATTGTGTAGTAAGTGTCCAGTCATTTTGTCAGCATTGTGTTGTGTCCAGTCTTTTGTCAGCAATGTGTAGTAAGTGTCCAGTCATTTTGTCAGCATTGTTTAGTGTCCAGTCATTTTGTCAGCATTGTTTAGTGTCCAGTCATTTTGTCAGCAGTGTGTAGTAAGTGTCCATTCATTTTGTCAGCATTGTTTAGTGTCCAGTCATTTTGTCAGCAGGATTTCTTCCTATTTATCACCCTGTTCTAGTCTCAGGATTTCTTCCCATTTAGCACCCTGTTCTAGTCTCAGGATTTCTTCCCATTTAGCACCCTGTTCTACTCTCAGGATTTCTTCCTATTTATCACCCTGTTCTAGTCTCAGGATTTCTTCCCATTTAGCACCCTGTTCTACTCTCAGGATTTCTTCCCATTTATCACCCTGTTCTAGTCTCAGGATTTCTCTCATTTAGCACCCTGTTCTAGTCTCAGGATTTCTTCCTATTTAGCACCCTGTTCTAGTCTCAGGATTTCTTCCCATTTATCACCCTGTTCTAGTCTCAGGATTTCTTCCCATTTAGCACCCTGTTCTAGTCTCAGGATTTCTTCCCATTTATCACCCTGTTCTAGTCTCAGGATTTCTTCCCATTTATCACCCTGTTCTAGTCTCAGGATTTCTTCCCATTTATCACCCTGTTCTAGTCTCAGGATTTCTTCCCATTTAGCACCCTGTTCTAGTCTCAGGATTTCTTCCTATTTAGCACCCTGTTCTAGTCTCAGGATTTCTTCCCATTTAGCACCCTGTTCTAGTCTCAGGATTTCTTCCCATTTAGCACCCTGTTCTAGTCTCAGGATTTCTTCCTATTTAGCACCCTGTTCTAGTCTCAGGATTTCTTCCCATTTAGCACCCTGTTCTAGTCTCAGGATTTCTTCCCATTTAGCACCCTGTTCTAGTCTCAGGATTTCTTCCCATTTAGCACCCTGTTCTAGTCTCAGGATTTCTTCCCATTTAGCACCCTAGAGACCAGTAAGAACCTGATGTTTCTGGATGTTTCCTTCTGTCTGGGGATATCTACAACAGACGTCTGCTGCTGGCGTGCAACCTACCCGCACGTTTCCATCAAGAAAAGTTTCCAGAATATTTCTATCACATAAATATCTGCATTGGTGCCAGCAGTCTTCATGTCATCAATTGGTGCCAGCAGTCTTCATGTCATCAATTGTTGCAAATCATAACATAGGGTAATCAGTGGTCACTTAAAGTCATAACATGGACTGGATTGCTGCTTTTAACTGAAAATATCTGCATAATTATATACAATAACTAAAACAAAAATATTCTGGTCATGCAGTATTTTTTGAAAACACAATACAAGCAGATACTGTTCTGCACCCACTGTTGTATTCCTATTTAAATATGATCTAGATCAGAAAATGGAATCTGTTAAAAAATGTGATCTAGACAAATAAATGGAACCTACGTTAAAATGAAAGCTACTGTGAATGTACTTAAAATTCTGTCGTATTTATTTTAATTTAAAAATTTACTCCAGTAAAACATGTATATTATGTATGTAGTTTGTGTAATCTAAATACGTTTGGCTGTTATATTTTGTATGTAGTTTGTGTAATCTAAATACGTTTGGCTGTTATTGGATCTGAATGTTGTTTCAGAAGTGGCCCATTTATTTCTTGTGTCATTCCCACTCCCTATAGCTATAATTAGATAATCAGAGGTATAATGTAACCAGATATTACAATAAAATGTATTTTGTGAAGTCAGATCATGCTGGTTGAGTTGTGTCTCAGTTAAAACATCAACAGCTGTCCCAATTAAAACCTCTACAGCTGTCCCAATTAAAACATCTACAGCTGACCCAATTAAAACATCTACAGCTGTCCCAATTAAAACATCTACAGCTGTCCCAATTAAAACATCAACAGCTGTCCCAATTAAAACATCAACAGCTGACCCAATTAAAACATCTACAGCTGTCCCAATTAAAACATCTACAGCTGTCCCAATTAAAACATCTGCAGCTGTCCCAATTAAAACATCTACAGCTGCCCCAATTAAAACATCTACAGCTGTCCCAATTAAAACATCAACAGCTGACCCAATTAAAACATCTACAGCTGTCCCAATTAAAACATCTACAGCTGTCCCATTTAAAACATCTACAGCTGTCCCAATTAAAACATCTACAGCTGACCCAATTAAAACATCTGCAGCTGTCCCAATAACAGCTGTCCCAATTAAAACATCTACAGCTGTCCCAATTAAAACATCTACAGCTGTCCCAATTAAAACATCTACAGCTGTCCCAATTAAAACATCTGCAGCTGTCCCAATAACAGCTGTCCCAATTAAAACATCTACAGCTGTCCCAATTAAAACATCTACAGCTGTCCCAATTAAAACATCTACAGCTGTCCCAATTAAAACATCTACAGCTGTCCCAATTAAAACATCTACAGCTGACCCAATTAAAACATCTACAGCTGTCCCAATTAAAACATCTACAGCTGTCCCAATTAAAACATCTACAGCTGACCCAATAACAGCTGTCCCAATTAAAACATCTACAGCTGCTCCAGTTAAAATACAAGAATCAAAAAAGTTACAAAAATATTTCAAGTCAACTTTATTTATAGAAACAGTGCTAAGATAAAACCCAAATACCAAAGGAAAAATCTATTTTTTACAATGTGTCGCAGACATCTACAGCAAGAAAATTGTGTCAGAACCAGGAAAATACATGAGTACAAACCCCTACCCCTGATTAAAAGGTTCACTAAAGTCAATTGTATTTAAAATGTAATATCAAATGTAAAAAAAAGGTATTAGCGCACACAAATTAAAAATATTTTCCCAAGCTTCATCAGAATGAGCTTTGCTATGGAAATTTCTGATAACTAGTTTTATTTGTAGCTTCAGGATTATCCTAACTTTCAAAATTGGCTGCTATATTTACACATTTCATTTCATTTAACATTCATGATCTATTATTATTAATGAGATGGTATGATATGTCAATTAAAGCTAATGACAGGATGGCTTATATTACATCATGTACTAATGAGATGACATGACATGATGCCAATTAATGGATGAAAGCATTAATGTCAGCTGGACTCTGAGATTGGCAAATTGGTGTTTAGGCATATGATTGTCACTGTAAAATGTATGTCAAGATGTCTATCAAATGTATATCAAGATGTCTAACCAATGCGTGTGAAGATGCCTATAAATGTATGTCTGGATGTCTATCAAATGTATGTCAAGATGTCTAACCAATGCATGTGAAGATGCCTATAAATGTATGTCTGGATGTCTATCAAATGTATATCAAGATGTCTAACCAATGCGTGTGAAGATGCCTATAAATGTATGTCTGGATGTCAATCAAAAATTGAGGCCTGGATGGTCTGCAGTGTTGAATGAAAAGTTTGGAGAGTCTGTTGTCATGACAACCATGTGTAGTGGTCTCTGTAGGTGGTGTTGGAAGGTTTCCCGGCGGCCTGCACTTGTTGTAGCCGTGTGACTAGCAGCTGTGTGCTGGGTCTGACGGGCGCCGTGTTGGGCCGGGAGCTGACGGGCGCCGTGTTGGGCGTCACTGGCGACCACAGAGGGGAGGAGGAGACTGGTGAGGATGGAACCGATCGAGCGTGACGAGTGCCAGATATCTGGTGGGGAGGAGTCTGGAAGGATTCCTTGGCAGAATAAACAGATAATTTGTAGAAACATGGCAAACAAATAAATACACGTGCGCTCGCACACACAAGTAAAAATTTTGACACCCCCCCCCCCCCATGACGAAATATAATTTATATACTAAATATCTTTCAACCAGTATCCCCCGCCACCCCGGAGAAAATGTCGAGGATGATGGTGCAGCCCCAAAATGTCGAGGGTGATGGTGCAGCCCCAAAATGTCGAGGATGATGGTGCAGCCCCAAAATGTCGAGGGTGATGGTGCAGCCCCAAAATGTCGAGGGTGATGGTGCAGCCCCAAGATAAAAAGATGTGCCCAGATCCAGACGTGACAAAACAACTTACTCTGTAGGTGGTGGTGCTGGCCACTCCCTGCCCTATAGGCACGATGTAGCAGTGTTTTTGGGAGGTCGGCCTCTCCCCTCCCCCCGTAGACAAGTTCCTCTTGCGCCCCTCCCGCCCATTGATCTCCAGGCTCAGGCCTTTACCAGCATCACGCCATCCGCTACGTCCAGGTGAAGCAGATCTTCTCTCCTGTAGACTGCCACATCTGGCGCACAGAGACCTGGGCCGGGACCCTCGCCTCAGTCCTGTGGTCAAACATGGCGACATTCACTCACACAGTGGACAAACATGACGACATTCACTACACATAAAGGACAAACATGACGACATTCACTACACAAGGTGGACAAACATGACGACATTCACTACACAAGGTGGACAAACATGACGACATTCACTCACACAGTGGACAAACATGACGACATTCACTACACAAGGTGGACAAACATGACGACATTCACTCACACAGTGGACAAACATGACGACATTCACTACACATAGTGGACAAACATGACGACATTCACTACACATAGTGGACAAACATGGCGACATTCACTACACAAGGTGGACAAACATGGCGACATTCACTCACACAGTGGACAAACATGACGACATTCACTACACAAGGTGGACAAACATGACGACATTCACTACACATAAAGGACAAACATGGCGACATTTACTCACACAGTGGACAAACATGGCGACATTCACTCACACAGTGGACAAACATGGCGACATTCACTACACAAGGTGGACAAACATGGCGACATTCACTCACACAGTGGACAAACATGGCGACATTCACTACACAAGGTGGACAAACATGGCGACATTCACTCACACAGTGGACAAACATGACGACATTCACTACACATAGTGGACAAACATGGCGACATTCACTACACAAGGTGGACAAACATGGCGACATTCACTCACACAGTGGACAAACATGGCGACATTCACTACACAAGGTGGACAAACATGGCGACATTCACTCACACAGTGGACAAACATGACGACATTCACTACACATAGTGGACAAACATGACGACATTCACTACACATAAAGGACAAACATGACGACATTCACTACACATAAAGGACAAACATGACGACATTCACTACACAAGGTGGACAAACATGGCGACATTCACTACACATAGTGGACAAACATGGCGACATTCACTACACATAGTGGACAAACATGACGACATTCACTACACAAGATGGACAAACATGGAGACATTCACTACACATAGTGGACAAACATGACGACATTTACTACACCCCACCCACCCCACCATTTTACTCTTGGTTACTTCATATACACCTACACTGCACATATGCCGAGGTCACAGAAACAGGTGAACTCTACTTCAACTGCTGTGTGGGCCGCCGGGTCAGAAAGGGATCTTTACACATAGACCTCAGACCATTTTATTCCCAGCATCTACCCCACACATGATTTGGGTGACATTTCCTACTCTATATCATTTTAGTATAACGTAAGTCACTACACACCAGTCAGGTGAGTAGGTCACTACACACCAGTCAGGTGAGTAGGTCACTACATACCAGTACGTCACTACACACCAGTCAGGTGAGTAGGTCACTACACACCAGTCAGGTGAGTAGGTCACTACACACCAGTCAGGTGAGTAGGTCACTACACACCAGTCAGGTGAGTAGGTCACTACACACCAGTCAGGTGAGTAGGTCATTACACACCACTAGGTTATTACACACCAGTCACATCAATAGGTCACTACACACCAGTAAGGTGAGTAGGTCACTACACACCCGTCACATCACTAGGTCACTACACACCAGTCAGGTGAGTAGGTCACTACATACCAGTACGTCACTACACACCAGTCAGGTGAGTAGGTCACTACACACCCGTCAGGTCAGTAGGTCACTACACACCAGTCAAGCCGTTAGAGCACTACAGTATTAGACGTCCCAAAGTGTAATGAATGGTATCAGCTGATGATATAGCCGTATGAGCTATTGTTTGCTATTGATTCGAGTAGAAAACCTGGACTCATTTGCCTGTGGACAACTCGCGCTCCTAGTGGGTGCGATTCGTCAGTGTGTTGTAGTATTCTCATCGCCAGTTATTTTAAAGATCTTATTGGTCTAGTTTACAGTGGTTGTTTGACGTCAAGGTTTGCACCTGTTTCTGTAGACAATTCCTTCTACAGTGGTTGTTTGACGTCAAGGTTTACACCTGTTTCTGTAGACAATTCCTTCTACAGTGGTTGTTTGACGTCAAGGTTTGCACCTGTTTCTGTAGACAATTCCTTCTACAGTGGTTGTTTGACGTCAAGGTTTGCACCTGTTTCTGTAGACAATGCCTTCTACAGTGGTTGTTTGACGTCAAGGTTTGCACCTGTTTCTGTAGACAATGCCTTCTACAGTGGTTGTTTGACGTCAAGGTTTACACCTGTTTCTGTAGACAATGTCTTCTACAGTGGTTGTTTGACGTCAAGGTTTACACCTGTTTCTGTAGACAATGCCTTCTACAGTGGTTGTTTGACGTCAAGGTTTGCACCTGTTTCTGTAGACAATGCCGGCACCATTCTAGGGTTTATATCGCTAAAGGCTAATGTTGTGTAGCATGTCTGTATTTTGTTAGCCAATGTTTATTTAAAGCGGTCTTAGATCTTTTAGGGGTCATCCATAAATGAAGTCACGCTTTTTTTTGTGACGATTTTAACCTCATCCCGTCACACATCGTCACAAAAAGCCAGACCCCCCCCCCCCTAAAATAACGTCACACCTCAGCCATCCCCCTCAAAATTGCAGTTGAATTGTTCTTAAAATACGATATTTTTCCAAAAGCTTGTCTGAATTCTGTCAACATAGAGTATTTTAATCAATCCCTATTACAATTAATTAAAAAGTTTTCTAAAACGCGAAAAAACGGCTAAAATTCGTTTTCTAACATTGTTTTTTTATAATGCAAAAGTGTGACATCACACAATCTGAACCCCCACCCCCTCATCACACGCCGTCACAAAATTATAGCACCCTCCGAGTGTGACGTCATTTCTGGACGACCCCGTACTGATAGCAACATGTTTGCTATTTATAGCCCTAAACAACATGTAGTTTTGTTCTATTAAAAACAAAAGCTTGTAGTTTTAGGTCATTAATTTGTACTGAATACACATTTTGTTTAACAAAAACGTTTACATTGTAATTTGTGTTAGCGTGCGCCCTCTATAACTCAGGGAGCATGAATGTGCTTGTCAATAAGCAACGGATTGTTAGACGAACATTGATTTTATGATTTTAAACTGATTTAAATACATCATCAACACAAGTAGTGTACTCTTAAAGTATGCAAGTTTTCAGGGGAGTGGGGGGGGGTGTGGTGACTGCACAAAAGGCACCAGCTTTATATATATATATATATACATATATATATCCTATCTGTGCGTATGTGTTTAATTTTAATAATTATTGCTACTAACACTAACATTGAAGCTCTTCTATTTTAATGGTGGTGTGTGTAGATCAACATGTATCCAATAAAAGATGCAAGCAAGCTTATATTTAATAAGCCTATTGACGATGACTAAACTTTATTACATTATGCAATTATTATCAGGTCGATAATGCCGTTAATTAGCAGCATTAATATATTTATATTTGTTTTCTGCTTTTATATTAGACATAGGCTAAGATCTACGTGAAACTGAGCCGTACAAAAATATATTTTAAAAAAACAGTGAACACAAATGTAACGATGAATTGCAATACATTTTTAGACGTATTTTCCTTCAATACGCACAAACAATTTTGCTCTTTAAAAAAGATCTATTCACTATTTATTATTTTTATCAGTTTTGCGTGTTTTCTAATGTGTCACTGAAAGGCGGTGGGGTATTTTAAAATGGTGTCATGGCTCGACGTGTCACCCGAATAGTTGGAGTCGTGTCATCAAATATAGGCCAACATGCACACTAAACGCCTGCTCGGAGTAAACTCATCTACACCCTCAAAAAATTAGACGATCAACTCACCTCTGGTGACGTAATTGTCCTCAGACATTGTAAAAATATATCGGGCGAATTTATAGGTCCATGTCCAGACGACAGAGTCGATATCCGGCACGTGAGCTCACGGCCATAGTATGCGCAACAGGTTGCGCGAGCTAGCTCGGTGACATTCGTGGACAACAGATGTGAAATAACTGCTAGATGAATCGATACCACGGAGCAATAGGAAATCAACAAATACACTGATTGCTTATTTATTCGTACACTATTTAAGCCGTGGCAATTAGATCTAGTAATTAAATAAGGGCACTAATGAGGGAGTTTAATTAGCTAGACCCGCTACCTTTAGTGGTGGACCCTGTGCTATATGACACGGTAAACCAGATTGATAACAATATAATTATGAATACAAGGACACGCAACCGGTCATCAAGTAGAAGGTTCCACAAAGTTCTGTGTCACCAACACTCACAATACCACGTGATTGGGGAATTGGGCATTACCCTAGTACAGCTAGAAGAATATTGAACTGAATCTGCCCTAGTACAGCTAGAAGAATATTGAACTGAATCTGCCCTAGTACAGCTAGAAGAATATTGAACTAAATCTGCCCTAGTACAGCTAGAAGAATATTGAACTAAATCTGCCCTATACAGCTAGAAGAATATTGAACTGAATCTGCCCTAGTACAGCTAGAAGAATATTGAACTAAATCTGCCCTAGTACAGCTAGAAGAATATTGAACTGAATCTGCCCTAGTACAGCTAGAAGAATATTGAACTAAATCTGCCCTAGTACAGCTAGAATATTGAACTGTATCTGCCCTAGTACAGCTAGAAGAATATTGTAGGCGTGACCAGGTAGAGAAGCCAACTAGCACATAAGATACTCAACCTTGTCTCCATGGTTACATCTGCCCCACCCCAACCTGAATTGTGGTGGTCAAATAGTGATTGGCAGTCGTCATTTTGTTGAGTTAGGGAGTACAATAAAGTCCTGAATGTTGGTTGTGATACATAGGTGGGACAAGAGGGGTGGGGTTGGCTAGTGATGGTTGGGACAAGGGAAGGGGGGGGGGGGGGGGCTAGTGATGGTTGGGACAGGGGGGGGGCCTAGTGATGGTTGGGACAGGGGGGGGGGGCTAGTGATGGTTGGAACAGGGGGGGGGGGCAGGGGCTAGTGATGGTTGGAACAAGGGTGGAGCTAGGGAGGGGTGAGGGGGGAAGGGACTTTGGTCATTTGGGACAAGAGGTGAGAAGATTCTAAAATAAGAAATTTACTGGAATGAGCACAATGAAAGCTTAGCATGAATACCATTTTATTTACAATCTTTTTACAGTCAGTGAAATGTGATAACAAAAGTAACAACTAGATCAGAGAAACATTTTAAACAGCCCAGTGTGACAGAAGGGCATGTACTTGGGTACATTATTGTCTTACTTCTTTTGTTACTTTTCTAGGGTTAATTGTTCTGTAACTGGGTAAAGTTCCTGTGTTTTTGTACCAAACACTTTAGCTGGGTAAAGTGCCTGTGATTTTGTACCAAACACTTTAGCTAGGTAAAGTTCATGTGTTTTTGTACCTAACACTTTAGCTGGGTAAAGTGCCTGTGATTTTGTACCAAACACTTTAGCTAGGTAAAGTTCATGTGTTTTTGTACCTAACACTTTAGCTGGGTAAAGTGCCTGTTCCTAACACTTTAGCTGGGTAAAGTGTCTGTACCTAACGCAGACTTGACACTTTAGCTGGGTAAAGTTCCTGTACCTAACGCAGACTTGACACTTTAGCTGGGTAAAGTTCCTGTACCTAGCGCAGACTTGACACTTTAGCTGGGTGTATTTTCCTGTGCTTCAAGATCTCTGTGGCAGTCAACAGAATGTGAAGGTTGCATTCAGGGCAGAAGTATGACCGCTGGGAGGGGTTTGGGGCTTTTTCTGTTTCTTTCTCTTCAACAGCTGGTACATGGGATCCTGCTTAACAGAAAGGAAAACACATTTGATTAGCTGTTGGGACAAGGAGGGGGGGGGGGGGGATAAAAGTCTGACCAGCTGTACAAAAGTGTGTGACCTGACAGCAGACAGCATTGACCTTACCTTGTGTGACCTGTGGACAGCAGACAGCTTGACCTTACCTTGTGTGACCTGTGGACAGCAGACAGCTTGACCTTACCTTACCTTGTGTGACCTGTGGACAGCAGACAGCTTGACCTTACCTTGTGTGACCTGTGGACAGCAGACAGCTTGACCTTACCTTGTGTGACCTGTGGACAGCAGACAGCTTGACCTTACTTTGTGTGACCTGTGGACAGCAGACAGCTTGACCTTACCTTGTGTGATCTGTGGACAGCAGACAGCTTGACCTTACCTTGTGTGACCTGTGGACAGCAGACAGCTTGACCTGACCTTACCTTGTGTGACCTGTGGACAGCAGACCGCTTGACTTGACCTTACCTTGTGTGACCTGTGGACAGCAGACCGCTTGACCTGACCTTACCTTGTGTGACCTGTGGACAGCAGACCGCTTGACCTTACCTTGTGTGACCTGTGGACAGCAGACAGCTTGACCTTACCTTGTGTGACCTGTGGACAGCAGACCGCTTGACCTGACCTTGTGTGACCTGTGGACAGCTTGACCTTACCTTGTGTGACCTGTGGACAGCAGACAGCTTGACCTTACCTTGTGTGACCTGTGGACAGCTTGACCTTACCTTGTGTGACCTGTGGACAGCAGACAGCCTCATGTTGAAGCCTCTCCAGGACAGTGACCAACATGGATTGTTTACAGTTCTCACAGGTCCAGTGGCGCTGCATGCTGGTGGTGAACTCTCCCCAGATACTGGCCGATGTTTCATCCAGTAGACTGCAAGAAACCAGACTTTGAACATGAGAAAGTGAGATAATCTGTCACTTGTGCAACTGACAATGAGAAAGTGAGGTAATGTCACTTGTACAACTGACCATGAGAAAGTGAGGTAATGTCACTTGTACAACTGACCATGAGAAATTGAGGTAATGTCACTTGTACAACTGACCATGAGAAAGTGAGGTAATGTCACTTGTACAACTGACCATGAGAAAGTGAGGTAATCTGTCACTTGTACAACTGACCATAAGAAAGTGAGGTAATGTCACTTGTACAACTGACCATGAGAAAGTGAGGTAATCTGTCACTTGTACTCCTCCTTTGACTGGGTGCTCTTTACCATCAGATCCACCTTTGACCAGTTTGTTGAGTACGTCTGTTCCACCAGATCCTGCAACACAAATTGTTACATCAACAACAGCTACAGGTCAATTGTTACATCAACAACAGCTACAGGTCAATTCTTACATCAACAACAGCAGCAGGTCAATTGTTACATCAACAACAGCTACAGGTCAATTGTTACATCAACAACAGCTACAGGTCAATTCTTACATCAACAACAGCAGCAGGTCAATGGTTACATCAACAACAGCTACAGGTCAATGGTTACATCAACAACAGCTACAGGTCAATTCTTACATCAACAACAGCTGCAGGTCAATTGTTACATCAACAACAGCTACAGGTCAATATCAACAACAGCTGCAGGTCAATATCAACAACAGCTACAGGTCAATGGTTACATCAACAACAGCAGCAGGTCAATGGTTACATCAACAACAGCAGCAGGTCAATGGTTACATCAACAACAGCAGCAGGTCAATGGTTACATCAACAACAGCTACAGGTCAATGGTTACATCAACAACAGCTGCAGGTCAATTGTTACATCAACAACAGCTGCAGGTCAATTGTTACATCAACAACAGCTGCAGGTAAATTGTTACATCAACAACACCTGCAGGTCTATGGTTACATCAACAACAGCTGCAGGTCAATTGCTACATCAACAACAGCTGCAGGTCAATTGTTACATCAACAACACCTGCAGGTCTATGGTTACATCACCACCACAACAGTTCACATCAAGTGTGCTGAAAGCTACTCCCCATGGCCAGGTCCCACATGAAAGCTACTCACCATGGCCAGGTCCCACATGAAAGCTACTCACCATGGCCAGGTCCCACATGAAAGCTACTCACCATGGCCAGGTCCCACATGAAAGCTACTCAACATGGCCAGGTCCTATATGAAAGCTACTCACCATGGCCAGGTCCCACATGAAAGCTACTCACTATGGCCAGGTCCCACATGAAAGCTACTCACCATGGCCAGGTCCCACATGAAAACTACCCACCATGGCCAGGTCCCACATGAAAGCTACTCACCATGGCCAGGTCCCACATGAAAGCTACTCACCATGACCAGGTCCCACATGAAAGCTACTCACCATGGCCAGGTCCCACATGAAAGCTACTCACCATGGCCAGGTCCCACATGAAAGCTACTCACCATGACCAGGTCCCACATAAACATGCTGCATCTCAGCAGGCAGCACTCTCCTGACAGCGTACACAAAATCAGAGTGTAGGAACTCTGTCAACTTGCTGGCCAGCACCCTCTCCAGCTGTCTGGCCCGGGGACTCACCCTGCGCTCCTCCTCTATGCCTTCAAATGTGTCTGGCAGAAAACAACATCCACAGTTACAGACTTGTTTCAAATTCTTCAAACATCTTTCCTAAACATTACCTAAACATAACCACTACCTAAACATAACCTAAACATAACCATTACCTAAACATAACCTAAACATAACCATTACCTAAACATAACCTAAACATAACCCACACACAACCTAAATTTAACCAAAAGCCACTATCTGAAAGCCGTTACCTTTGAGCCTGACCTTGAGAAGGTTGTGCCAGGTGTTGCGTAGCTGGACAACACTGGACACAACAACTTCTGCTACCTCAGGGCTGGAGAACTTGACCTCCAGCCAGCCATCACAAATTAGCCTGGGGAGGGAGGCAAGTCATCTCAGTGGTCCCCACATTTGGTAAACTAGCATCAGCCCCCACATTTGGTAAACTAGCATCAGCCCCCACATTTGTTACAGGGAAACTAGCATCAGCCCCCACATTTGGTAAACTAGCATCAGCCCCACATTTGTTACAGGGAAACTAGCATCAGCCCCCACATTTGGTAAACTAGCATCAGCCCTCACATTTGTTACAGGGAAACTAGCATCAGCCCCCACATTTGTTACAGGTAAACTAGCATCAGCCCCCACATTTGTTACAGGGAAACTAGCATCAGCCCCCACATTTGTTACAGGGAAACTAGCATCAGCCCCCACATTTGGTAAACTAGCATCAGCCCCCACATTTGTTACAGGGAAACTAGCATCAGCCCCCACATTTGTTACAGGTAAACTAGCATCAGCCCCCACATTTGTTACAGGTAAACTAGCATCAGCCCCCACATTTGGTAAACTAGCATCAGCCCCACATTTGTTACAGGGAAACTAGCATCAGCCCCCACATTTGGTAAACTAGCATCAGCCCTCACATTTGTTACAGGTAAACTAGCATCAGCCCCCACATTTGTTACAGGTAAACTAGCATCAGCCCCCACATTTGTTACAGGTAAACTAGCATCAGCCCCCACATTTGTTACAGGTAAACTAACATCAGCCCCCACATTTGTTACAGGGAAACTAGCATCAGCCCCCACATTTGGTAAACTAGCATCAGCCCCCACATTTGTTACAGGGAAACTAGCATTAGCCCCCACATTTGGTAAACTAGCATTAGCCCCCACATTTGGTAAACTAGCATCAGTCCCCACATTTGGTAAACTAACATCAGCCCCCACATTTGTTACAGGGAAACTAGCATTAGCCCCCACATTTGGTAAACTAGCATCAGCCCCACATTTGTTACAGGTAAACTAGCATCAGCCCCCACATTTGGTAAACTAGCATCAGCCCCACATTTGTTACAGGTAAACTAGCATCAGCCCCCACATTTGGTAAACTAGCATCAGCCCCCACATTTGTTACAGGTAAACTAGCATCAGCCACCACATTTGTTACAGGGAAACTAGCATTAGCCCCCACATTTGTTACAGGGAAACTAGCATCAGCCCCCACATTTGGGAAACTAGCATCAGCCCCACAATTGTTACATGGAAACTAGCATTAGCCCCCACATTTTGTAAACTAGCATCAGTCCCCACATTTGGTAAACTAGCATCAGCCCCCACATTTGTTACATGGAAACTAGCATTAGCCCCCACATTTGGTAAACTAGCATCAGCCCCCACATTTGGTAAACTAGCATCAGCCCCCACATTTGTTACAGGGAAACTAGCATCAGCCCCCACATTTGTTACAGGGAAACTAGCATCAGCCCCCACATTTGTTACAGGTAAACTAGCATCAGCCCCCACATTTGTTACAGGTAAACTAGCATCAGCCCCCACATTTGTTACAGGTAAACTAGCATCAGCCCCCACATTTGGTAAACTAGCATCAGCCCCCACATTTGGTAAACTAGCATCAGCCCCCACATTTGGTAAACTAGCATCAGCCCCCACATTTGTTACAGGGAAACTAGCATCAGCCCCCACATTTGTTACAGGTAAACTAGCATCAGCCCCCACATTTGTTACAGGTAAACTAGCATCAGCCCCCACATTTGGTAAACTAACATCAGCCCCCACATTTGTTACAGGGAAACTAGCATCAGCCACCACATTTGGTAAACTAGCATCAGCCCCACATTTGTTACAGGTAAACTAGCATCAGCCCCCACATTTGTTACAGGGAAACTAGCATCAGCCCCCACATTTGTTACAGGTAAACTAGCATCAGCCCCCACATTTGTTACAGGTAAACTAGCATCAGCCCCCACATTTGGTAAACTAGCATCAGCCCCCACATTTGTTACAGGTAAACTAGCATCAGCCCCCACATTTGGTAAACTAGCATCAGCCCCCACATTTGTTACAGGTAAACTAGCATCAGCCCCCACATTTGTTACAGGTAAACTAGCATCAGCCCCCACATTTGTTACAGGTAAACTAGCATCAGCCCCCACATTTGTTACAGGGAAACTAGCATCAGCCCTCACATTTGGTAAACTAGCATCAGCCCCCACATTTGTTACAGGTAAACTAGCATCAGCCCCCACATTTGTTACAGGTAAACTAGCATCAGCCCTCACATTTGGTAAACTAGCATCAGCCCCCACATTTGGTAAACTAGCATCAGCCCCCACATTTGGTAAACTAGCATCAGCCCCCACATTTGTTACAGGTAAACTAGCATCAGCCCCCACATTTGGTAAACTAGCATCAGCCCCCACATTTGGTAAACTAGCATCAGCCCCCACATTTGTTACAGGTAAACTAGCATCAGCCCCCACATTTGTTACAGGTAAACTAGCATCAGCCCCCACATTTGGTAAACTAGCATCAGCCCCCACATTTGTTACAGGTAAACTAGCATCAGCCCCCACATTTGGTAAACTAGCATCAGCCCCCACATTTGGTAAACTAGCATCAGCCCCCACATTGGGTAAACTAGCATCAGCCCCCACATTTGGTAAACTAGCATTAGCCCCCACATTTGGTAAACAAGCATCAGCCCCCACATTTGTTACAGGTAAACTAGCATCAGCCCCCACATTTGGTAAACTAGCATCAGCCCCCACATTTGTTACAGGTAAACTAGCATCAGCCCCCACATTTGTTACAGGGAAACTAGCATCAGCCCCCACATTTGTTACAGGTAAACTAGCATCAGCCCCCACATTTGTTACAGGTAAACTAGCATCAGCCCCCACATTTGTTACAGGTAAACTAGCATCAGCCCCCACATTTCGTAAACTAGCATCAGCCCCCACATTTGGTAAACTAGCATCAGCCCCCACATTTCGTAAACTAGCATCAGCCCCCACATTTGGTAAACTAGCATCAGCCCCCACATTTGTTACAGGTAAACTAGCATCAGCCCCCACATTTGTTACAGGGAAACTAGCATCAGCCCCCACATTTGGTAAACTAGCATCAGCCCCCACATTTGGTAAACTAGCATCAGCCCCCACATTTGGTAAACTAGCATCAGCCCCCACATTTGGTAAACTAGCATCAGCCCTCACATTTGTTACAGGTAAACTAGCATCAGCCCCCACATTTGTTACAGGTAAACTAGCATCAGCCCCCACATTTGTTACAGGTAAACTAGCATCAGCCCCCACATTTGGTAAACTAGCATCAGCCCCCACATTTGTTACAGGTAAACTAGCATCAGCCCCCACATTTGTTACAGGGAAACTAGCATCAGCCCCCACATTTGTTACAGGTAAACTAGCATCAGCCCCCACATTTGTTACAGGTAAACTAGCATCAGCCCCCACATTTGTTACAGGTAAACTAGCATCAGCCCCCACATTTGGTAAACTAGCATCAGCCCCCACATTTGGTAAACTAGCATCAGCCCCCACATTTGTTACAGGTAAACTAGCATCAGCCCCCACATTTATTACAGGAAAAAAAAACTGAGGTTATAAATAGATCAAGTAATTCCATTATCTGACACACTTGAGTTCCTACCTTGTACAGTCAGCATTGGTGTCAATACAGTTAGAGAAGAGCGTGACAGTCTGTAGGGCTGGTACTCTCATGGTGTTCACTAGGTAGGGTTTGTTGTTGGTCTCTAGCAGGGAACTGTTAGACAACAGACAAGGTAGTGTTTGGTGTTGGTAGACAACAGACAAGGTAGTGTTTGGTGTTGGTAGACAACAGACAAGGTAGTGTTTGGTGTTGGTAGACAACAGACAAGGTAGTGTTTGGTGTTGGTAGACAACAGACAAGGTAGTGTTTGGTGTTGGTAGACAACAGACAAGGTAGGGTTTGGTGTTGGTAGACAACAGACAAGGTAGTGTTTGGTGTTGGTAGACAACAGACAAGGTAGTGTTTGGTGTTGGTAGACAACAGACAAGGTAGTGTTTGGTGTTGGTAGACAACAGACAAGGTAGTGTTTGGTGTTGGTAGACAACAGACAAGGTAGTGTTTGGTGTTGGTAGACAACAGACAAGGTAGTGTTTGGTGTTGGTAGACAACAGACAAGGTAGGTTGAAAAAAAACTGAGTTTTTTGTGGCTTAAAAAATTACATTTATCTCAAATTAAATTCAGTGACACATAAGAATGAAACAACTAAAGTTACACATATGAGAGAACCACATACACATATGAGAGTAACGACATACACATATGAGAGGAACCACATACACATATGAGAGGAACCACATACACATATGAGAGGAACCAAATACACATATGAGAGGAACCACATACACATATGAGAAGAACCACATAAACTTACACATATGAGAGGAACCACATAAACTTACACATATGAGAGGAACCACATACACATATGAGAGAAGAACATACACATATGAGAGGAACCACATAAACTTACACATATGAGAGGAACTACATAAACGTACACATATGAGAGAAGAACATAAACATATGAGAGGAACCACATACACATATGAGAGGAACCACATACACATATGAGAGGAACCACATAAACGTACACATATGAGAGGAACTCATGTTTGGAGCTTAAAAGTCCTTTGAGTTCACTAGGTGCAGGTCGTTTCCCATCAGCCAACTTAGGGGTCAAAAGGTCAGGATGGCTGGCAAACACACATGTTGGGTGCAGCAATATAAAAGGTTTGTTCTGGGGAGAGAAAATAAGAAATAAGACTTCCAAGACAAGATGGAGTTTTATACAGCAGAAACAAGTCTTTAATTCCAGTAACTAAATAGCCAAAAACAAAATTAACTTAATACAATCCAGCAATCTCGCCCTAGTGAACTCATCTGTTTAGTTGGCATTTTTCAAGTGGACCCATAGAATTCTAAATTTGCCTTGGTTGTGTCAAGTTTTTCATGTCGTGGGACCCAAGTTTTTCATGTCGTGGGACCCAAGTTTTTCATGTCGTGGGACCCAAGTTTTTCATGTCGTGGGACCCAAGTTTTTCATGTCGTAGGACCCAAGTATCATCTCAAGCACAAAATAGGCTAAATTTGCCATCTAACATTGGTAATCTCAATCTCCATGACTACAGCTAACCAACAAATTAATAAGTTTGGTTTAATTCAAAGCTGCTATTGCTAAAGCATATCTATGCAGTTTCTCTTAACCATTTACAGGCCTGGGCATCAAAACTATTTTACTTCCCCTACGGCCGGGTGAAAAGACGATGCATTTTTCAATAACAGCACTTTTTAAAAATAATAAAAGTAAAAAGCAATATACACAAAACTGGTCCAAGTTTATTAAGCATGAGGTTCAATAGCTTGATAAATTACTAATTATTAATAAAAATAAGACTAATCCCAGAAAAACGTAAACAAAACACTACTTCAAATATTTCTATAAAAAACTAATTTAAATCTTTTTTAATAGTTACATTATAAATAGAGCCCGATTTACCGTCAGAGGCATTTTAATTAGAGTAGATTTAATTTTAATAATTATATTGCCCATAATTTTGAAAAAAAAATTCTTTAACGTTAGAAAGATTGTAGAAAATGAACCACTAGTGATAGCACTACCATAAAACAACGTAAAAAAAAATTCTCAGGCTACCGCAGGCGCATAGGCCTGTAAAGGGTTAATTTAATATAATACAAGAATGTGTGAGAAAAAAATATTGTTTCCAGTTGACATAACTGGGTTTGACTGTTGTTTAAATACATTTAATGAAAACTATACAGATAGAAAGACACACATAGAGTATACAGACGGCAGTCACAGTCTACAGAATACAGGCATAGACAAAAGACATCAGAACTAGACAACAGACACAGAATACAGACATAGACAAAAGACAGCAGACCTAGACAACAGACACAGAATACAGGCATAGACAAAAGACAGCACACCTAGACAACAGACACAGAATACAGGCATAGACAAAAGACATCAGACCTAGACAACAGACACAGAATACAGGCATAGACAAAAGACAGCAGAACTAGACAACAGACACAGAATACAGGCATAGACAAAAGACATCAGACCTAGACAACAGACACAGAATACAGGCATAGACAAAAGACATCAGACCTAGACAACAGACACAGAATACAGGCATAGACAAAAGACAGCAGACCTAGACAACAGACACAGAATACAGGCATAGACAAAAGACATCAGACCTAGACAACAGACACAGAATACAGGCATAGACAAAAGACAGCACACCTAGACAACAGACACAGAATACAGGCATAGACAAAAGACAGCAGACCTAGACAACAGACACAGAATACAGGCATAGACAAAAGACAGCAGACGTAGACAACAGACACAGAATACAGGCATAGACAAAAGACAGCACACCTAGACAACAGACACAGAATACAGGCATAGACAAAAGACAGCAGAACTAGACAACAGACACAGAATACAGACATAGACAAAAGACAGCACACCTAGACAACAGACACAGAATACAGGCATAGACAAAAGACAGCAGAACTAGACAACAGACACAGAATACAGACATAGACAAAAGACAGCACACCTAGACAACAGACACAGAATACAGGCATAGACAAAAGACAGCAGACCTAGACAACAGACACAGAATACAGGCATAGACAAAAGACAGCAGAACTAGACAACAGACACAGAATACAGGCATAGACAAAAGACAGCAGACGTAGACAACAGACACAGAATACAGGCATAGACAAAAGACATCAGACCTAGACAACAGACACAGAATACAGGCATAGACAAAAGACAGCAGAACTAGACAACAGACACAGAATACAGGCATAGACAAAAGACATCAGACCTAGACAACAGACACAGAATACAGGCATAGACAAAAGACAGCACACCTAGACAACAGACACAGAATACAGGCATAGACAAAAGACAGCAGACCTAGACAACAGACACAGAATACAGGCATAGACAAAAGACAGCAGACGTAGACAACAGACACAGAATACAGGCATAGACAAAAGACAGCACACCTAGACAACAGACACAGAATACAGGCATAGACAAAAGACAGCAGAACTAGACAACAGACACAGAATACAGACATAGACAAAAGACAGCACACCTAGACAACAGACACAGAATACAGGCATAGACAAAAGACAGCAGAACTAGACAACAGACACAGAATACAGACATAGACAAAAGACAGCACACCTAGACAACAGACACAGAATACAGGCATAGACAAAAGACAGCAGACGTAGACAACAGACACAGAATACAGACATAGACAAAAGACATCAGACCTAGACAACAGACACAGAATACAGGCATAGACAAAAGACATCAGACCTAGACAACAGACACAGAATACAGGCATAGACAAAAGACATCAGACCTAGACAACAGACACAGAATACAGGCATAGACAAAAGACATCAGACCTAGACAACAGACACAGAATACAGACATAGACAAAAGACAGCACACCTAGACAACAGACACAGAATACAGGCATAGACAAAAGACATCAGACCTAGACAACAGACACAGAATACAGGCATAGACAAAAGACAGCAGAACTAGACAACAGACACAGAATACAGGCATAGACAAAAGACATCAGACCTAGACAACAGACACAGAATACAGGCATAGACAAAAGACATCAGACCTAGACAACAGACACAGAATACAGACATAGACAAAAGACAGCACACCTAGACAACAGACACAGAATACAGGCATAGACAAAAGACATCAGACCTAGACAACAGACACAGAATACAGGCATAGACAAAAGACAGCAGAACTAGACAACAGACACAGAATACAGGCATAGACAAAAGACATCAGACCTAGACAACAGACACAGAATACAGGCATAGACAAAAGACATCAGACCTAGACAACAGACACAGAATACAGGCATAGACAAAAGACAGCAGACGTAGACAACAGACACAGGTTACAGAGAGCAAACCCACCTTGGTGTGGAAGACCTGCTCTGTGTCCCTCTTGTAGGTGTTGCAGTCATCAGCTATGGCCATCTGGGGGTAGAGGCCACTGGACAGGATGATCTTCATCAGGTTGATGTCCCTCAGTGTGAAGCTACGGCTCTTGTTGGAGGTCTCCTGGCAAGTTTCATCAGTCAATGTTCTACCAGCTAGGTCAATGTTCTACCACAAAGGTCAATGTTCTACCAGCTGGGTCAATGTTCTACCAGCTAGGTCAATGTTCTACCAGCTGGGTCAATGTTCTACCAGCTAGGTCAATGTTCTACCAGCTAGGTCAATGTTCTACCAGCTGGGTCAATGTTCTACCAGCTGGGTCAATGTTCTACCAGCTAGGTCAATGTTCTACCAGCTAGGTCAATGTTCTACCAGCTGGGTCAATGTTCTACCAGCTGGGTCAATGTTCTACCAGCTAGGTCAATGTTCTACCACATAGGTCAATGTTCTACCACATGGGTCAATGTTCTACCAGCTAGGTCAATGTTCTACCACATGGGTCAATGTTCTACCACATGGGTCAATGTTCTACCAGCTAGGTCAATGTTCTACCAAATGGGTCAATGTTCTACCAGCTAGGTCAATGTTCTACCACATAGGTCAATGTTCTACCACATGGGTCAATGTTCTACCAGCTAGGTCAATGTTCTACCACATGGGTCAATGTTCTACCACATGGGTCAATGTTCTACCAGCTAGGTCAATGTTCTACCAGCTAGGTCAATGTTCTACCAGCTAGGTCAATGTTCTACCACATGGGTCAATGTTCTACCAGCTAGGTCAATGTTCTACCAGCTAGGTCAATGTTCTACCAGCTAGGTCAATGTTCTACCAGCTAGGTCAATGTTCTACCAGCTAGGTCAATGTTCTACCAGCTAGGTCAATGTTCTACCAGCTAGGTCAATGTTCTACCAGCTAGGTCAATGTTCTACCACATAGGTCAATGTTCTACCAGCTAGGTCAATGTTCTACCAGCTAGGTCAAGGTTCTACCAGCTAGGTCAATGTTCTACCAGCTAGGTCAATGTTCTACCAGCTAGGTCAATGTTCTACCAGCTAGGTCAATGTTCTACCAGCTAGGTCAATGTTCTACCAGCTAGGTCAAGGTTCTACCAGCTAGGTCAATGTTCTACCAGCTAGGTCAAGGTTCTACCAGCTAGGTCAATGTTCTACCAGCTAGGTCAATGTTCTACCAGCTAGGTCAATGTTCTACCAGCTAGGTCAATGTTCTACCAGCTAGGTCAATGTTCTACCAGCTAGGTCAATGTTCTACCAGCTAGGTCAATGTTCTACCAGATAAGTCAATGTTCTACCAGCTAGGTCAATGTTCTACCAGCTAGGTCAATGTTCTACCACATAGGTCAATGTTCTACCACATAGGTCAATGTTCGACCACATAGGTCAATGTTCGACCACATAGGTCAATGTTCTACCAGATAGGTCAATGTTCTACCAGCTAGGTCAATGTTTTCTGTAACTAATAGTCAATCAGCTATAAAGAAGTTGATGAAGCCATAGTACTTAATTAAGTAATTACTTACCTGTAGCTGACTGAGGTCATTAGATAAACGAAACTCCAAATCTTTGATGTCTCCAGTGGTGTCCCCTTCCTCATCACTGATGGTGTAGTCCTGAAACATGTTCACATCCAACAACATCAACATGTTCACATTCACAACACTAGCCAACAACATCAACATGTTCACATTCACAACACTAGCCAACAACATCAACATGTTTACATTCACAACACTAGCCAACAACATCAACATGTTCACATTCACAACACTAGCCAACAACATCAACATGTTCACATTCACAACACTAGCCAACAATATCAACATGTTCACATTCACAACACTAGCCAACAACATCAACATGTTCACATTCACAACACTAGCCAACAACATCAACATGTTCACATTCACAACACTAGCCAACAACATCAACATGTTCACATTCACAACACTAGCCAACAACATCAACATGTTCACATTCACAACACTAGCCAACAACATCAACATGTTCACATTCACAACACTAGCCAACAATATCAACATGTTCACATTCACAACACTAGCCAACAACATCAACATGTTCACATTCACAACACTAGCCAACAACATCAACATGTTCACATTCACAACACTAGCCAACAACATCAACATGTTCACATTCACAACACTAGCCAACAACATCAACATGTTCACATTCACAACACTAGCCAACAACATCAACATGTTCACATTCACAACACTAGCCAACAACATCAACATGTTCACATCCAACAACCTCAACATGTTCACATTCACAACACTAGCCAACAACATCAACATGTTCACATTCACAACACTAGCCAACAACATCAACATGTTCACATTCACAACACTAGCCAACAACATCAACATGTTCACATTCACAACACTAGCCAACAACATCAACATGTTCACATCCAACAACCTCAACATGTTCACATTCACAACACTAGCCAACAACATCAACATGTTCACATTCACAACACTAGCCAACAACATCAACATGTTCACATTCACAACACTAGCCAACAACATCAACATGTTCACATTCACAACACTAGCCAACAACATCAACATGTTCACATCCAACAACCTCAACATGTTCACATTCACAACACTAGCCAACAACATCAACATGTTCACATTCACAACACTAGCCAACAACATCAACATGTTTACATTCACAACACTAGCCAACAACATCAACATGTTCACATCCAACAACATCAACATGTTCACATCCAACAACCTCAACATGTTCACATTCACAACACTAGCTAGCCAACAACATCAACATGTTCACATTCACAACACTAGCCAACAACATCAACATGTTCACGTTCACAACACTAGCCAACAACATCAACATGTTCACATCCAACAACCTCAACATGTTCACATTCACAACACTAGCTAGCCAACAACATCAACATGTTCACATTCACAACACTAGCCAACAACATCAACATGTTCACGTTCACAACACTAACCAACAACATCAACATGTTCACATTCACAACACTAGCCAACAACATCAACATGTTCACATTCACAACACTAGCCAACAACCTCAACATGTTCACATTCACAACACTAGCCAACAACATCAACATGTTCACATCAACAACCTCAACATGTTCACATTCACAACACTAGCCAACAACATCAACATGTTCACATTCACAACACTAGACAACAACCTCAACATGTTCACATTCACAACACTAGCCAACAACATCAACATGTTCACATTCACAACACTAGCCAACAACATCAACATGTTCACGTTCACAACACTAGCCAACAACATCAACATGTTCACATTCACAACACTAGCCAACAACATCAACATGTTCACATTCACAACACTAGCCAACAACCTCAACATGTTCACATTCACAACACTAGCCAACAACATCAACATGTTCACATCAACAACCTCAACATGTTCACATTCACAACACTAGCCAACAACATCAACATGTTCACATTCACAACACTAGACAACAACCTCAACATGTTCACATTCACAACACTAGCCAACAACCTCAACATGTTCACATTCACAACACCAGCCAACAACATCAACATGTTCACATTCACAACACTAGCCAACAATATCAACATGTTCACATCCAACAACATCAACATGTTCACATTCACAACACCAGCCAACAACCTCAACATGTTCACATTCACAACACTAGCCAACAACCTCAACATGTTCACATTCACAACACTAGCCAACAACATCAACATGTTCACATTCACAACACTAGCCAACAACATCAACATGTTCACATTCACAACACCAGCCAACAACATCAACATGTTCACATTCACAACACTAGACAACAACATCAACATGTTCACATTCACAACACTAGCCAACAATATCAACATGTTCACATCCAACAACATCAACATGTTCACATTCACAACACCAGCCAACAACCTCAACATGTTCACATTCACAACACTAGCCAACAACCTCAACATGTTCACATTCACAACACTAGCCAACAACATCAACATGTTCACATTCACAACACTAGCCAACAACATCAACATGTTCACATTCACAACACTAGCCAACAACCTCAACATGTTCACATTCACAACACTAGCCAACAACATCAACATGTTCACATCAACAACCTCAACATGTTCACATTCACAACACTAGCCAACAATATCAACATGTTCACATTCACAACACTAGCCAACAACATCAACATGTTCACATTCACAACACTAGCCAACAACCTCAACATGTTCACATTCACAACACCAGCCAACAACTTCAGCATGTTCACATTCACAACACCAGCCAACAACATCAACATGTTCACATTCACAACACTAGCCAACAACATCAACATGTTCACATTCACAACACTAGCCAACAACCTCAACATGTTCACATTCACAACACCAGCCAACAACATCAACATGTTCACATTCACAACACCAGCCAACAACATCAACATGTTCACATTCACAACACTAGCCAACAACATCAACATGTTCACATTCACAACACTAGCCAACAACATCAACATGTTCACATTCACAACACTAGCCAACAATCTAAACATGTTCACATCAACAACCTCACCATGTCCCCAACCAGTAAATGAGCCAACAACATCGACATGTTCACATCAACAACCTCACCATGTCCCCAACCAGAAAATGAGCCAACAACATCAACATGTTTACATTTACAACACAGGCCAACAACATCAACATGTTCACATCAACAACCTGAACAACATCAACATGTTCACATCAACAACCTCACCATGTCCCCAACCAGAAAACGAGCCAACAATCTCTCAATAGTTCCTCAAATCATTTCTTCCAGCAAACTTGACAAACCTCATCCTCCAGGGTTAAAATTTTCCTCCTTTTGGTTTCTCTCATTTTTTCCCTCCTCAACTCCCCCAGCCTCTTCCTCTCCCCATGCTTGATCCTCCTTTCATCACTGGACATGTACTGCTGCCTCTCCTCTCCTCCGTCCAACAGGTGATGGTCCTGACAAGAAAAATACTTGCTTCAGTTTCTCACCAGACAGTGACAACAAACTCAAATGATAAAAGTTGTGGATCACTTTAAAGGGGAGACAACTGCAGGCTGTGCAGGGGAGCTCACCCAAGCAGCAGCTAGAGGGGGAAAATGTCCCTCACCTTGAGCAGGTCCCTGAACTGGCGCTTTAGTTTAATCATCTCGTAGAATCTTTGTTCCTCCAGGCCTCGACGCCTGCACCACTTGCGTGTACCCAGACCCTCAGCTTTTACCTGCAACATGGCTCCATTTAAACACAAGTCAATTTAAACACACGTCCATTTAAACACAAGTCAATTTAAACACAAGTCAATTTAAACACACGTCCATTTAAACACAAGTCAATTTAAACACACGTCCATTTAAACATGGGTCCATTTAAACACACGTCCATTTAAACACACGTCCATTTAAACATGGGTCCATTTAAACATGGGTTCATTTAAACACAAGTCCATTTAAACACAAGTCAATTTATACACACATCCATTTAAACACACGTCCATTTAAACACAAGTCCATTTAAACATGGGTCCATTTAAACACACGTCCATTTAAACACACGTCCATTTAAACATGGGTCCATTTAAACACAAGTCAATTTAAACACACGTCCATTTAAACATGGGTCCATTTAAATACCAGTCCTTAGAAACATGCATTCATTTAAACATAAGTCAGTTTAAACATGGGTCCATTTATACACAGTCAAATCAAGCACAAGTTGATATTTTCCCAATTTTCTCTGTTTTGCCAAACTGAAGATATTTTCTGTCGCGATATCACTAGAGCTGTAAGTTTCAGTTGTGATTTTTACTTGCTTAAAACACTTTTTTCTTTCGGCACTAAATAAAACATAACTTTAAATCAATACTAGTGTTTAGAGCATAGAATTACAATAAATTTATAATGAATGTGTTTAAACTAAGGAGGAGAAGGTCTTTTTGCTGTGTTGTTAGTAAAAAACAAAGACAAAAATAAAAAATAGAAATAACTTAGCTACAGCCTCTACCTGGATCCACTCATCAAAAGCATTCAGCAAGGTGAAGGGGTCTCCATGTTCTGACTCAAGAGGTCTTCTTGCTGTCTGAAAATAGTTTATGAACACATTTTTTTTATCTATATTTTATTTTTTATAGAGAAAGATGACAACACATTTCCTGGAAACAGCTTAGTACATTGTGAAATCACACCAAGTTAAATAACTGCAACACCAATGGTTAATATTAGTAAAGGGAGACAACTACTTACCTCTGTGTTGATGTAGGCCTGATTGGTGAAGGGGGACAACCACTTACCAGTGCCTTAGTTAAGGGGGACAACAACTTACCAGTGCCTTAGTTAAGGGGAACAACCACTTACCAGTGCCTTAGTTAAGGGGGACAACAACTTACCAGTGCTTTAGTGAAGGGGGACAACCACTTACCAGTGCCTTAGTTAAGGGGGACAAACACTTACCAGTGCTTTAGTGAAGGGGGACAACCACTTACCAGTGCTTTAGTGAAGGGGGACAACCACTTACCAGTGCTTTAGTGAAGGGGGACAACCACTTACCAGTGCTTTAGTGAAGGGGGACAACCACTTACCAGTGCCTTAGTTAAGGGGGACAAACACTTACCAGTGCTTTAGTGAAGGGGGACAACCACTTACCAGTGCTTTAGTGAAGGGGGATAACCACTTACCAGTGCTTTAGTTAAGGGGGACAACCACTTACCAGTGCCTCTGGGTTAGTGTAGGCCTGATTTGTGAAGGGGGACTGCACACTCATGGCTGCGGTCACAGACAGAACAGGGTCAATCATCTGGAACACAGACATACTACAATCTCAATCATCTGGAACACAGACATACTACAATCTCAATCATCTGGAACACAGACATACTACAATCTCAATCATCTGGAACACAGACATACTACAATCTCAATCATCTGGAACACAGACATACTACAATCTCAATCATCTGGAACACAGACATACTACAATCTCAATCATCTGGAACACAGACATACTACAATCTCAATCATCTGGAACACAGACATACTACAATCTCAATCATCTGGAACACAGACATACTACAATCTCAATCATCTGGAACACAGACATACTACAATCTCAATCATCTGGAACACAGACATACTACAATCTCAATCATCTGGAACACAGACATACTACAATCTCAATCATCTGGAACACAGACATACTACAATCTCAATCATCTGGAACACAGACATACTACAATCTCAATCATCTGGAACACAGACATACTACAATCTCAATCATCTGGAACACAGACATACTACAATCTCAATCATCTGGAACACAGACATACTACAATCATGACAGACAAAATGGCAGCCAATCTTTATAACATTTTAACTTCTTATATCTTATTGGGTTTGAATAGCTGGTCTAGATTGACTATTCAAAAAGGTGTTTCTAAATACAGAACAGCCAATTGAGAAGAGTGAATTATATTAAAAATACTGCCCTAACAAGAGATATTTACATTAAAAATACTGCCCTAACAAGAGATACTTACATTAAAAATACTGCCCTAAGAGATACTTACATTAAAAATACTGCCCATTATCAGCATCTTTCCAATGACAACATCAACTGGTAGCATAGCCAACATTTGACCAATGGGAGTTAAGCTTTCATCAGATGATAAAGCTCCTTGTTCTTTCAAAAACTGGATGGAATTTTCCAGGCTTGACATGCTTGGTGGCTCAATGAAGGGGAATCTAAGGGATTCATTGAGTAAAACTTTAAGAGGAAATCTATGGAATTAACTGACAGAGTAAATGTTGAGAGGAAACCTTAGCAATTAACTGACAGAGTAAAACATTGAGAGGAAATCTATGGAATTAACTGACAGAGTAAATGTTGAGAGGAAACCTAAGCAATTAACTGACAGAGTAAAACTTTTAAAGGAAATCTAAGGAATTAACTGACAGTAAAACACATAGGAAATCTATGGAATTAACTGACAGAGTAAAACTTTTAAAGGAAATCTAAGGAATTAACTGACAGTAAAACACATAGGAAATCTATGGAATTAACTGACAGAGTAAAACTTTGAGAGGAAATCTAAGGAAATAACTGACAGAGTAAAACTTTTAAAGGAAATCTAAGGAATTAACTGACAGTAAAACACATAGGAAATCTATGGAATTAACTGACAGAGAACCAATGACATCTTTAGCTTATGACTGTTCTAGTAAATAGCTAAAAAAAGTTGTGGACTGACTTCCTGGCATCAGGCAGGCCCATGGATATCATCTGTAAGATGAGTGAGTCTAGTGGCACACGCTGGAGCTCAGGGGTGGAGTACTCCTCAAACATGTTGTAGTCTGATTCCTCGTACAGGCGGAAACACACGCCCGGTCCAGTACGGCCTGAGTTTATTGGATAAGGGGAACATTCATGTATGGGCAAGTGCATACACTGACATACAAACCACCAAACAAACCCCCACCCCACACACAAAGCCCTAAACCCCATACAAAACAAACCACAAGATAAATCTCCACACAAACCATCACAATGTCCATATTTTGTTATAAAATTACTGAATGTGCTAACAAGAAATATTCATTGCTACTAATCCCTGTCATTTATACACCCAATTAGCTTTGTAACTGTACACATATTAACACAATCACAAACTGCACATAAAAAAACCCATCATTAGAGTGACACATGACAACTGTATGAGTTGTTGAAAAGCCTCTACAAAGTGTGGAGGAAGGCAGTCGGCCATGAACTTACCAGCGCGACCTTTCCTCTGCTCGGAGCTGGCACGACTGATCCAAAACTCCTGCAACTTTTGCATCTTATACTTGGGGTCAAAGCTCATCTCCTTCACCTGAAGAGTTCAATTATACAGCACACTTTAACTCAACTCTGACTGATAGACCACAATCTCACTAAGTCAGGATATTTAGTTTAAATCTGCTCATAAAAACATCCTGAAAATTTTACTCCCCCCCCCCCTGTTCTTAGTCAACAAATGAGTGATGGAGGAGATGATAGCATTACCTCCCCTGGCCAACAAAGCAATTTATTGTGATAGTTACCTTCCCTGAGTCCACAATAAAACGGACGCCATCAATGGTGACCGAGGTCTCAGCTATGTTGGTGGACACAATGCACTTCCTGACCCCGTCAGGTGGGAAGTCAAACACCTTGTCCTGCTCCTCTATGGAGAGCGCGCTGTGTAGGGGGAGGACGATCCAGCGCTTCATCTGCTGGGCGTAGGCTTTAGCAGCTTCCACCACCGCCATGATCTCAGACATCCCACTCAGGAATATCAGCAGGTCTCCTCGTTCACTGCTGGGGTACTGGCAAATACAAGACATGATCTCAGACATCCCACTCAGGAATATCAGCACATCTCCTCGCTCACTGCTGGGGTACTGGCAAATACAAGTCATCCATGTCATCAACTCAATTTTTATTCTCTCCTCTCTCACTGCTGGGGTACTGGCAAATACAAGTCATCAGATCTAGTTACATTCTCCATGTCATCAACTCAATTTTTATTCTCTCCTCTCTCACTGCTGGGGTACTGGCAAATACAAGTCATCAGATCTAGTTACATTCTTCATGTCATCAACTCAATTTTTATTCTCTCCTCGCTCACTGCTGGGGTACTGGCAAATACAAGTCATCAGATCTAGTTACATTTCCATGTCATCAACTCAATTTTCAATCTCAATCTCAATTGAGGTTATTAGCTAAACAAACACTTTTGATCCAAAAGAATTTTCTATTTAAACTTTTGCAGATCAGTGCACACAGAACACTGCACGCTTCAAATCTCGGACATGGATTCTATCAATAACTGCATTAAAGAAACTTGAGTCAGCAAACAACCTAATAGGTCACAGACTCCCTCAGTCATGTACTCACCCAATAGGTCAGCTAAGTCATAGATTCCCTCAGTCATGTATTCACCCAATAGGTCAGCTAAGTCATAGATTCCCTCAGTCATGTACTCACCCAACCCAATAGGTCAGCTAAGTCACAGACTCCCTCAGTCATGAACTCACCCAATAGGTCAGCTAAGTCATAGATTCCCTCAGTCATGTACATACATGACAACTAGAGTGAAAAGATTGTATGTACTCACTTTGTGATCAATACGCTGCATGATGCGCAAGTATGGAGTCGGGTCAAGGCGTTTGCTTTCTTTCTTGTCGTCCTTCCTTATGGGGCAATATTCTAATTCAATAGGGTACAGGCGGCCTGGGACCTACAGATAAAGACAGAATCACTCAAACATACTGGTCTTTGTTATAACACCTTCAGACATACAGCCTATCAGTTCACAGATCACCTAAAACTTGCGGGCTACATGTTAACTTTACCTGCATGACAGGTGCATCATGGAAGTGATGTTAACTTTACCTGCATGACAGGTGCATCATGATAGTGATGTTAACTTTACCTTGATGACAGGTGCATCATGGTAGTGATGTTAACTTTGCCTGCATGACAGGTGCATCACGGTAGTGATGTTAACTTTACCTTGATGACAGGTGCATCATGGAAGTGATGTTAACTTTATCTTGATGACAGGTGCATCATGGTAGTGATGTTAACTTTGCCTGCATGACAGGTGCATCATGGTAGTGATGTTAACTTTGCCTGCATGACAGGTGCATCATGGCAGTGACGTTAACTCTACCTTGACAGGTGCATCATGGTAGTGACATTAACTTTACCTTGATGACAGGTGCATCATGGAAATGATGTTAACCTTACCTTGATGACAGGTGCATCATGGAAGTGACATTAACTTTACCTTGATGACAGGTGCATCATGGAAGTGACATTAACTTTACCTTGATGACAGGTGCATCATGGAAGTGACATTAACTTTACCTTGATGACAGGTGCATCATGGAAGTGACATTAACTTTACCTTGATGACAGGTGCATCATGGAAGTGATGTTAACTTTACCTTGATGACAGGTGCATCATGGTAGTGATGTTAACTTTACCTTGATGACAGGTGCATCATGGAAGTGACGTTAACTTTACCTTGATGACAGGTGCATCATGGAAGTAATGAGAGAAGAGATTGATGTTGATTGTGGCAGACATGAGCACAAGCTTCAAGTCTGATCTTTGCTTGAGTACACACTTGAGGACGCCCAGCAGGAAGTCTGTGTAGATGTGTCTCTCATGTACCTGAGACACAAGGGGAGACACAAGTCATTGAGACATGAGTAAGACATGATACATAAGGTGAGACATGATACAATAAGTGGTGAGACATGAGGCAATAGGTAATGAGACATGAGACACAAGGTGGTGAGACATGAGACACAAGATGGTGAGACATGAGACACAAGATGGTGTGACATAGGACATATGGTGGTGAGACATAAGGTGGTGAGACTTAAGACAAGGTGGTGAGACATGAGGTGGTGAGACATGAGACATAAGATGGTGAGACATGAGACACAAGATGGTGAGACATGAGACACAACATGGTGTGATATAAGACATATGGTGGTGAGACATGAGACATAAGGTGGTGAGACATAAGACAAGGTGGTGAGACATGAGGTGGTGAGACATAAGACACAAGTGGGTGAAAAAACAATGTGGTGAGACACATGACATAAGATGAAACACAAGATATAAGGTGAGACATGGTGTGATGTGAGATAGAAGGTGAGATATTTGGTGAGACATGACAAAGTGAAATATGAGACACTAGGCATAATGTTACCTACAAGATACATAAAGCTTAAGACACAAAACCACAGCTGAATTATCATATCAATATATAACAATAACAGCTTCATCGATAACAAAAACAGCTAAATTACCTCCTCAGTAACAGCTAAATTACCTCATCAATAACAATAACAGCTGAATTACCTCATAAATAACAGCTAAATTACCTCATCAATAATAATAACAGCTGAATTACCTCATCAATAACAATAACGCTGTACATCTCCAGTAGTGGATCAGAACTCATTTGTCGCAGTAGCAAACCTTTAAAAAATGTGTAATCATATCAGAACACCTGGGTAGCAAACCTTTAAAAAATGTGTAATCATATCAGAACACCTGAGTAGCAAACCTTTAAAAAATGTGTAATCATATCAGAACACCTGGGTAGCAAACCTTTAAAAAATGTGTAATCATATCAGAACACCTGAGTAGCAAACCTTTAAAAAATGTGTAATCATATCAGAACACCTGAGTAGCAAACCTTTAAAAAATGTGTAATCATATCAGAACACCTGAGTAGCAAACCTTTAAAAAATGTGTAATCATATCAGAACACCTGAGTAGCAAACATACATGTCCAACACACTCATACAACATACATGTCCAACACACTTATACAACACGAGCCGGCCCGCGGCATAACATACGCCGCTATTTAGTTGTTGTTTTTTCAGTAATTCATAATTTGTGAATTCGACAGCACCAACGCTGCCACTGAAAATATTTTTTTAAAACACTATAAGTAGCTCGTTAAAGACCATAACCCCCCCCCCCTACGTTTAAAATCGTTGGCTCTGCTTGTAAACATTTAGAGTGAACACAGCTCACTAAAACCATGTAGGGATGGGGAGGTAGGGAGCGCGTTTACAGCTTGTTTTCTAGGCGCGTTTGCAGCTTGTTTTCTAGCGGCTCCCAGAAGAGAATTATATATATAGATACATGTGCAACACACAGACATGTAATGTATGTAACTTTAGCAACAATAATACAACAGATGTACTCACCTTCTGTGAGAAACAGAATCTTGGTTGCAGCTGTCTTGCTTTTGTCAAAACGAACCTAAAACAAACAGAAAAACATGATGTACCTTTACATCAGCATTTAAAAGTACTTTGATGATTGGGAAAAAGGGACACAGCAAGGGATAGAACTACTGTCTGCTGTATAGTTTAGCCAGCAGACTTGAGCCAGACAAAACAGACAGCTGAGTGTCTGACACAAGCAGGCACTTCCCACAACAAACGTGTAGGCCACTGTCAAGGGATAGCTAGTCGTAACAAAAGATGAACCTGGAAAGCAACTTGAGTCCCGTATTCATTGAGAGTTTCATATCCCACACGTTTGGACAGAGAGATACAGGCAATTCTGCGTGGCTGTGTACAGGCAATCTTGTCATAGCCAGCTTCCATCAGGTACTGGGGAACCTTAAACAAAAGTTTTACAGTTATAAAGTGGTGGCTAAATAAACAATATTAATTGTAACTATTCTACAATTACATCCAAATATCCCACCTGCAATGGCTAACTACAATCACCATTGATTTGTAAAGTAGCCAATGACTCAATAACTTAAACTATTGACCCCTAATGACTCAAAAACTTAAAATACTGACCCCTGATGACTCAATAACTTAAACTACTGACCCCTAATGGCTTAAACTACTGACCCCTAAAGACTCAACTTAAACTACTGACCCCTAATGGCTTAAACTACTGACCCCTAATGGCTTAAACTATTGACCCCTGATGACTCAATAACTTAAACTATTGACCCCTGATGACTCAATAACTTAAACTACTGACCCCTAATGGCTTAAACTACTGACCCCTAAAGACTCAATAACTTAAACTACTGACCCCTAATGGCTTAAACTACTGACCCCTAATGGCTTAAACTATTGACCCCTGATGACTCAATAACTTAAACTATTGACCCCTGATGATTCAATAACTTAAACTACTGACCCCACAGCTAGAGCAAGTATTCACCTTATAGATACAGCAACTTTAACAACAAACAACACACCTGGGTAGATTTCCCACATCCAGTGTCCCCAGCAACAACAATGACTTGATGTTGCTTCACCAGTTCTAGAATTTTCTCTTTGTAATGAAAAATTGGAAGACTCCTTTGATCTTTACGAATTTTTATCAATTTCTGAAACTTTAAATTGTGATTCATTTTACTTTGTAGTACGTATCGTATGATGAAGGCACAGACTATTTCACCCCAAAATCAATAAAAACCAACTGGCTCCAATAATAACATGTCAAATAAAAGTACGAAAATGTAACACTACCTTTAGTTTTTGTTGAAAATCAAGATAATGTATTATTATAGATCGGAACTGAATGATTCTCTCTCGTGTTAGTTCTTTTTCAAGATGATGATCTGTAAGGAGTTAAATGATTATATGATAATCATTTATATTTAATTTTTTAAATTTTATTTTTTTCTTGTTAAACCACTTACAAGATAAGAAGGTTGCTGCTAGGTTAGAAGGTTGCCTTAAGGATAGAAGGTTGCCTTAAGGATAGAAGGTTGCTGTAAGGATAGAAGGTTGCTGTAAGGATAGAAGGTTGTCTTAAGGATAGAAGGCTGATGTAAGGATAGAAGGCTGCTGTAAGGATAGAAGGTTGCTGTAAGGATAGAAGGTTGCTGTAAGAATAGAAGGTTGCTGTAAGGATAGAAGGTTGTCTTAAGGATAGAAGGTTGCCTTAAGGATAGAAGGTTGCCTTAAGGATAGAAGGTTGCTGTAAGGATAGAAAGCTGTAAGGATAAAATAAACTGGAACAAATCACAAAGCAACAACTCAGGAAAATAATTTTGTTATAAATTGTCTCAACTTACCAACCAGGCGATTCTTCTTTAGAAATATATCAAAGTCTTTGCTAAGAAAAGACAGATTGATCCTGTAATTCACGTCATACTTTTGAGGAAGTTCTAAGTGACCTTTGTGTCTGGATGAATGCTCAGCTGTAACTGGGAAAAACAAAAATACATTTGAAGATGCTGCATACAAAAACCAATGGTAAAAACTGGAGAAAACTGTTTCCATACCTCCACCTTTTTCTGCCTTCTTGCGCTGGAACTGTTGATATCTGCTGACAAAGGCCCAGAAGTCATCTTGTTCTTGTGAACGCCTGCAACATAAACCCCAAAAATTAGAACTTACTTATCTCACTAATTAGGAATCTCATTAGTCCTCACATCCTCATGGTTTTAACTTTTTAGTAGGTTTTTAAATAAGTACACACAATTTGAATACTAGCCATGCTTAGATTTTTTATTTACTTTTAAAGTATGATGGTAGTTTTTGGACCACATACTTATCAGATATCTTAGAAAAATAAACATCCTTAAAGAAAATTTTCCCTAGGGAATATTTATATTTATGAAAATCAAAGTTGAAATCCAGACAGTCTTGCGGCTTCTTGGTGGGTGTAGTGGATGTAGCCGCTTCTCTTCTTGAACTTTTCTTCCTTTTATCCCTTTTACCCCCCTTCAAGCTTTCAGATTTTTTTGTTTCTGAATCGTCACTATCACTGCTGGTACGATCCTCGTCACTCTTGTGTTTATGTTTTGATTTACAATTTCTGTCAATGTGCAAGTCTTTTGATAAGTGACACGCATCAGAATATTTCTTCTTGTTAGAAAGCGTCCCGTGACTCTGACTATGTTTAGACTTGACAAGCTCAGACAGATGTTTGGAATGTCTGTGCTTAGCTTTACATTCTTTGTCAGCACTTTTCTCTCCTTTTTTGCTTGTATACTTAGATCTGTCATCACTTTCTGATTCACTGGCTGAATCTGAGCATGAATCTGAGCCATATTCAAATTCACTCATTCTCTTCTACTCTTTTAGTCAAGTGCCCCCAGTTGCTGTATTTGTAATAATAACCACTTGAATCTGGAAAGAAAAATTGAATGATTGTAATACATTATTGGATAATTACATTTTAAAACTGCATACACGTTATGACAAATAGGCTTATAAAAAGAAGTGAGCAAAAGCATGGATAAGGCAAAAGAGTGTAGAGAGTTGTCTACTCTATCACCATACGGATCAAGAGTGTTGAGAGAAGTCTTGTCTAGCACCATACTGACCAAGAGAGGGTAGAGAGCAGTAGCACCATACTGACCAACAAGAGAGGGTAGAGAACAGTTTTGACAAAATTAATTTGAAATGGGCCTTCTAAACAAAAAATTCATAAAGAAATAGGCCGAGTGCAGTGATTTCCTAACGTTTTTGTGTGTTTCACTTTCAGTTGTGTTTATAGTAAAATTCGCTCAACTGGAGGTGAACGTGAAGCAGGGAATAAAATATGCTTAAAAAAAATGGAGTTTTAACTTTTAACAGACATCATTTACGACATTTAGTTAATAATTGGAATAGTTGTAATGCTTATTTTTTATGTTTTTTCTCCCTTTTCTATTTAAAAATCACATTCATAATCATAAACTAAGTACTAGTAAGTAGATCTAGAGTTTTCCTAACGTTTTTGTGTGTTTCGGTTGTGTTTAATTATAAACTATAGGCCAAATACTACTACTAGTAACTAAATCTAGATCTAAATGAAAATATACAAAAAAAAATAATAATAAATTTTCAACTGGAGGCGGAGGTGAATGTCAAGCGGGGAATAAAATACGCTAAAATGGAGTTTTACCTAAAATAGATGTAGATCTAGATTCTATATATATACATTCGGTAATCTATCGTTTTGGGTACGTAAAATCGCCCGCGATTTGTAATGTGAAAAACAGGTGACTCCTTAAATTTTAATAGTTATTTCACATGTTGAGGAGGATTTATGTATTAAAAAATTCAAAAATGTTTCCTTGATTCATTTATGTACATGTTTTTAAACAATTGAATTAAAACTTTTCCGTAATAAATGAAGACTAGCGATGTTTCCAACAGATGCAACCATGCTCATTTACTATAGCAGCCATCTTGTCTAAGTTTTATTTTTATAAGCTTTTAGCGCCAGATTCAGGGGGAAGCCACTCTATTTTACAAATGGCTGCTGTTTATATAGCAAATCTTGCTCTCAGACACTGCTGTTTAAAGTTAATTTCTGGCCTATATCGATATATTTAGCCATTGATTTAGGTTTATTATTCATTTATCTATAATATTTGACACAAAAGTATGGCAATATACTTCTATTAAAACCTTGACAATGAGGTAACGTTTTCGTACATAAATAGCCGCGGGCGATTTTACGTACCCAAAACGATAGATTACCATACATTCATACCAGTTATTTTCTAGAGATCTAGTAGTAATAAAATTATTAAAATAAACAGCTAACAGTGCCTAACACAACAGCAACACACACTGCTACAGTACTTGGCTACTTGTGCTAGTGCTAGATCTATCTAGATCTAAACAGATCTAAACTGCTACGACTAGCCTACTGCTAGTTAGAGATCTACAACGGCCAAGTAAAAGTAAAATCATGAAAATTATTTTCGTAATTTACTTTTAAAAAATTTAAATGTATCAAAAACATATAAGCCTAAACATTGTAATAAATAATATTTATTAAATAAGTCTCCTGGTGGGGTTGTGACCATAATAAAAGTATATTTTTGTATTTAAATTTAGGCCTAATGTTTTTTTCTATTTCGGCCGGGGAAAAGGGGGGGGGGGGGGGGGAAGGGGGTAAGGGGTGGACTTTCTCAGACAGTTTCCCCCCTCACCAACCAAAGCTTCTTTCAGGCATCTGCGCCCCACCCCCTAAGCATGTCCACCGACCTCCCCTCCCTGATAAAATAGAGAAAATATATCTAATTCATATAGAAAATATAATATAAATTTAAGCCACTGTTACAGTCCCCTTCCCCCCCGGCCCTGGGAGAATGATGTCTGAAAGAAACATTGATCTTATTGTTGAAATTTTCGGGGGGGGGGGGGGTGCATACTAAAATCTCCCCCCCCCCCTGAAGAGATGCCTGGAAGAAACTCTGAAATATGTTGTAGTTCTGTCATTTGTTCTACATTATCACACGGCGTATTTTGTTTCTGAATTGCCCATACATTGCAACACGCTTCTTTTTAGCTGATTAAAAAAAAAGACTTACCCATTCCACCCCCACCCCCCTCCCCTCGTAAACATGTCACATTTGAGATTGAACATCGAATGAAAGGGTCGCCATTACTGTCCTGATAGAAATGGTCAAATTGGCTGTCAAAGTAGGGGAAACGGGAGGGGTTTTGCAAAGCTCACTATAGCTATTTAAACTGTCTGTTTGAAGAGTAAAATTATCTCGTGACATACGCCCCCCGCCCCCTTAGTACTAGACCAGTGGTGGTGGTGTGTGTGTGTATGTTTTGAAACTCGTGAACTCAGCTCACAACCTCGGCAGCCATCTGACGACACAGCGGTTTGAACCATTCGGTCGCTGGTCGCTCGCTGTCTTCGGTTAGAGAGCGCAGAATACATCGTAGCCATCAGTCACAGATCTACTAGCCTGTAGTGTTTCCATCAGTCCCTGATCTACCGATCTACTAGCCTGTAGTGTTGCCATCAGTCCCTGATCTACCGATCTACTAGCCTGTAGTGTTGAGATCGTCATGGACTCCAGCATGTCTAAACGTACCAGAACACCAAGCGATAAAAGCAACAAAGCCGTTGCATGTGATGCTGAGATGGAATACTTTTGGAGTGAGTACTGTACTTCAGCCACAATACCAGATCAGATACATTCATACATTCACTGAGCACAACTAGACACATTTCTGTACACTAAACTACACACTGCTGTAGTACCCAAAAACACATGGTTGATTGTTGCTCAAGACTCAAGGTTAATAACGTTAACAGATTACTTTGGGGATGTATATTTCATACAAAGCCGGTGTCACATTTACTAGATCTAGATCTAACGTAGATCTAGCATTGATTTATACCTGGCTCGGACAATGGTCAGTGAAACGCATGGACGCTGTGTTACGCGTGTGCTTACTATGACAGTGTCCGATCTAGCCGAATCCAAAAGACTAGATCCAGTATGTTGTAACAAACACTGAGACTTAAGTCTGACAATGGGGTTAGAAATGTAATTTAGATTTAGTGCTATAAACTTAACTCAATTATCAAATTAATTTTGAAAAAAAAAGGTTAGGGATGGTTTTGATGCCGCGTGTTCCACAGTACTCTACTGGGATGATTTAGAATACCAATGGCCGCTAATAGATTCTTCCGAAAATAAGTGTTAGGTTGTTAGTTGTATTGTAAGCTCGTCAGTACTACCGTTAAAAATTAGGGTCAGGCGTATGGTAGGACTAGGGTTGGGGTTAGGGAAAGGGTTGGCATAAATGATAATAGCATTGACATTAGCAAGTCATGTGTGTATTTAACCACTTGTAACCCAACCTCTTTTTTAAAAAAGATGCTAGTATTAACTGACACTGATATAATACCCCCTACCCTCTTCTGATGTAGGCAGGCGGGAGTATTGATATCACCCATGTCCGACAATAGACGCATCCTAAAATTGACGTGTTAGATTATTGCTGGCATTATCTCAGGTTTAGTGTTGTGATCCAAATTAGGGCTATGGTAGAACTTGTAAATGTTTCGTAGGTTGGCGTTGACAGCAAGTTGTATTTAACTAACTTGACGCATCTTTTATAAGATTACATTGGGGGGGGGGGGGGGTCATACAAAATTGAAGTCATATCTACTGTTACATCCTTTATCAGTCACCTATTGTCACAAAGGCAGATCTTTGTCCCTAAAAAGAAATCACGCCTAATACTTACCCCCCCTTAAACATTGCATATTTAGTTTTTTTTTTTTTTTAAACATGTATTTCTGATTCATTCTAATTTTCTTTTACAATTTAGTCTATAAAAAACTTCTCCACATTTGCTGAACCCCCCCCCCCCCCCACCTTATGGACTGCCGCTTGTAGCACTATCAGTATTAGGGGTTGTCCATAAATGAAGTCACACTCGTAAGGGGAGGGGGGTCCGTAATTTTGTGACGGTGTGTGAGGGGGAGGGGGGGGGGGGGTCAGATGGTGCGACGTTACACTTTTGCATTATAAAAAAGCCAGGTTAGAAAACTAATTTTAGACGTTATTTCGGGTTTTAGAAAACAGTTTTAATAAATTGTGATAGGAATTGATTAAAATACTCTATATAGATAGAGATCAGACAAGATTTTGGAAAAATATCGATGTTTTAAGAAAAATTCAACTGCAATTTTTAGGGGGGAGGGGGGTTGTAGGCGGAGGTGTGACGTCATTTTAGGGGTGGCGGTCTGGATTTTTGTGCCGATGTGTGACGGAGGGGAAGGGGGAAGGTAAAAATCGTCAAAAAAGCGTGACGTCATTTATGGATGACCTCCCCCCCCCCTTACATCATGGTTTGTGTTGACTTGATGAGGGGATGCGTTTATATCTAGGGCCAGTGTAAGGACGTATAATTTTGACCAGGCTTAAACCAATTACACTTAAGGGTATAGATCTAATTTTTAAAAGTTCATTAAACGCGTAAAATTAACTTCTAAATCAGTCTGGTAGTGTAGTTATGATAATTTTGTCATTAACCCGAAACCTGTTGGTCACTTTGTGTCTAGGCATGGAGCTGAATGCCAGCAACAAGACGTACACCTGGATGGTCAGCAACCAAGACTTGGACGACGATGACGAGGACTTCATAGAGCACACGGTCTTCTTAAAACTGGTGCGTACGTTCTTAACAAAACTGGTGCGTACATTCTTTAACCTGGTGCGTGCATTCTTTAAACTGGTGCGTGCATTAACCTGGTGCGTGCATTCTTTAAACTGGTGCGTGCATTCTTTAAACTGGTGCGTGCATTCTTTAAACTGGTGCGTGCATTCTTTAACCTGGTGCGTGCATTCTTTAACCTGGTGCGTGCATTCTTTAACCTGGTGCGTGCATTCTTTAACCTGGTGCGTGCATTCTTTAACCTGGTGCGTACATTCTTTAACCTGGTGCGTACATTCTTTAACCTGGTGCGTCCATTCTTTAAACTGGTGCGTGCATTCTTTAACCGGTGCGTGCATTCTTTAACCTGGTGCGTGCATTCTTTAACCTGGTGCGTGCATTCTTTAACCTGGTGCGTGCATTCTTTAACCTGGTGCGTGCATTCTTTACTGGTGCGTGCATTCTTTAACCTGGTGCGGGCATTCTTTAACCTGGTGCGGGCATTCTTTAACCTGGTGCGGGCATTCTTTAACCTGGTGCGGGCATTCTTTAACCTGGTGCGGGCATTCTTTAACCTGGTGCGGGCATTCTTTAACCTGGTGCGCACATTCTTAAAACTATTAAAATATTGCAGGCTTGTCTGGGGGCCACTGCCGTGCCCAAAGAACAAAACGTTGTAATGCTGGAGTCACTAGGAGGCGATGGCGAGGTGAAGAAAGGCGTTATAGTGAACCTAACTAGAGGAGAGTCAAATATGGTGAGTGACGGTCTGTAACGGGGAGGGGGGGGGGGCAGTGTTTCTTCCAGACTTTTTTCTCCGGGGGGGGCACTTGAAATCTTCGGGGGGGGGGGCGGACACTGTTAAAAGTATATATTTTCTATATAAATTATATAAAATTCATGTCGTTCAGGGGGGCGGTAAAAATTTTTCGGGGGGGGGGGGGGGGTCTAACTGGAAGAAACTGGGGGGGGGGGGGGCAGCCGGTCAGTGGACCTACTATGGTGTGAGATATTATTTACGAATATTCACATAATGGAACAGAAAGACATTTTAATCTCCAGACTCAGCTAGATCTGACGATTGCTGGGAAAGTTGGCGCCACATTTACACTGGTTGAAGGTTCAGGACCAGTCTTCATTTCTGGAAATCATCTTCTCGGTAACTACTCAGCCCTTTAAATAAGATTCTAGAAACTTTGTAAATAGTCTCCTGACATTAAAAAACCCATTTATTTGCATGTGGAAGTGCATAGAAAGGAACATTTAAAATGTCCACATTTTCAGAATATCCCAAGGATGAAGACTTGTTTGATCAGAGCCAAACGGAATCTGAGGTGTCAGAAGAGGAGGGTGAAGAAGAAGAGGAGGAAGAAAATGTTGAAGAGGAGAACGGGAAGAAATCCAGTAAAAGAAAGGCCAGTGTTACCAAGCCGACAAAACAAAAGGTAAATGGGGTCATTTATTGACTGTCAGTCACGGAGCTAAGGTAGAACAGTCTGGGCAGAGCGGTCTCGGCAGTCGCGATTTTTAAGGTGGAGAGGGCAGTGGGGCCGCTGCTTGGGTCAATCAAAGATCTAATTTAAACATTATTCTAAACAACGATCCTATTAAAATGTATTAAATCCAATGCATGTTATCATATCACTGCAACCGTGCTAGCCATTCTTGCACCTCACATTAAAGTTCAGAGCCCTGCATAAATGACACCCCACTTCATAACCCCACACACACCCAAATGGGACGGAGTGGTCTAGCGGTAGAGTCGAATCCGGGTTCAAGTCAGTAGACCGTCCCTGAGTCCACCCAACTCTGATGGGTACCTAACTCACGTAAGGGAGAGTTAAGGCGGCTGGGCATAGTGCTGACCACACTATCTCTTCATATGCCGAGGTCACAGAAACAAGTGAACTCTACTTCACTTGCCTCATAGACCGTCAGGTTTGAAAGGGAATCTTTACACCCAAATGCAGTTTTTAAATTTCGAAAATATTTTTTTTTAAAATGACTAATTGAACACTATCAAGATAAGGTAAAAACATTTTTATTTGTAACCTGAGACCTTGTTGAATCAGAAAGTGTCTCATTTACAACGGATACCCTTCCCGTTGTTCCCCACCGCACCCCTAGGAGAGGGGTTATGTTAGGATGATCCCCTACCCAAACATTTCTTTAACATAGTTTTGCATTTCATCAGCAGAAACCTAAGATGGATGTGGATGATGAGGATGACGATGAGGAAGAAGAGGATGAAGTTGAAGAAGATGATGACGATGAGGTTTGTATAGTTACATGTGTTAGATTTTGTAATAATTGTGTAGATAACTTTCTGAAACTGTTTTCTTTTTATTTACAGGACGATGAAGATTACGAAGAGACAGTGATGTAAGTTTAACATTTAGGGCCTATGCTTAAACTTTAATTTTCTATTGTCTAAAGATAATGCTATTATTTAGATAGGAAACAATGAACAGCGCTGGCTAGGGTTAGAGGCTAATAGATTTGTTTACATTTTCTACAGGGTCAAGAAAGGCAGAAAAGGCAAAGTAAGTCTGAACTTGGTTGGGCCATGTCTGGTGGTGCTGTGGGAGCCTGTCTTGTGGTGCTGTGGGAGCCTGTCTTGTGGTGCTGAGGGAGGCTGTCTTGTGGTGCTGAGGGAGGCTGTCTTGTGGTGCTGTGGGAGCCTGTCTTGTGGTGCTGTGGGAGGCTGTCTTGTGGTGCTGAGGGAGGCTGTCTTGTGGTGCTGAGGGAGGCTGTCTTGTGGTGCTGAGGGAGGCTGTCTTGTGGTGCTGAGGGAGGCTGTCTTGTGGTGCTGAGGGAGGCTGTCTTGTGGTGCTGAGGGAGGCTGTCTTGTGGTGCTGAGGGAGGCTGTCTTGTGGTGCTGTGGGAGGCTGTCTTGTGGTGCTGTGGGAGCCTGTCTTGTGGTGCTGTGGGAGCCTGTCTTGTGGTGCTGTGGGAGCCTGTCTTGTGGTGCTGTGGGAGCCTGTCTTGTGGTGCTGTGGGAGCCTGTCTTGTGGTGCTGTGGGAGCCTGTCTTGTGGTGCTGTGGGAGCCTGTCTTGTGGTGCTGTGGGAGGCTGTCTTGTGGTGCTGTGGGAGGCTGTCTTGTTGTGCTGTGGGAGGCTGTCTTGTGGTGCTGTGGGAGGCTGTCTTGTGGTGCTGTGGGAGGCTGTCTTGTGGTGCTGTGGGAGGCTGTCTGGTGGTGCTGTGGGAGGCTGTCTGGTGGTGCTGTGGGAGCCTGTCTGGTGGTGCTGTGGGAGCCTGTCTTGTGGTGCTGTGGGAGCCTGTCTTGTGGTGCTGTGGGAGCCTGTCTTGTGGTGCTGTGGGAGCCTGTCTTGTGGTGCTGTGGGAGGCTGTCTGGTGCTGTGGGAGGCTGTCTGGTGGTGCTGTGGGAGCCTGTCTGGTGGTGCTGTGGGAGCCTGTCTGGTGGTGCTGTGGGAGCCTGTCTGGTGGTGCTGTGGGAGCCTGTCTGGTGGTGCTGTGGGAGCCTGTCTGGTGGTGCTGTGGGAGCCTGTCTGGTGGTGCTGTGGGAGCCTGTCTGGTGGTGCTGTGGGAGCCTGTCTGGTGGTGCTGTGGGAGCCTGTCTGGTGGTGCTGTGGGAGCCTGTCTGGTGGTGCTGTGGGAGCCTGTCTGGTGGTGCTGTGGGAGCCTGTCTGGTGGTGCTGTGGGAGCCTGTCTGGTGGTGCTGTGGGAGGCTGTCTGGTGGTGCTGTGGGAGGCTGTCTTGTGGTGCTGTGCCCATTTAGCAGTTGATGCTAGAAAATATCCTTGCTTGCCCATTTAGCAGTTGATGCTAGAAAATATCTTTGCTTGCACATTTAGCAGTTGATGCTAGAAAATATCCTTGTTTGCCCATTTAGCAGTTGATGCTAGAAAATATCCTTGTTTGCCCATTTAGCAGTTGATGCTAGAAAATATCCTTGTTTGCCCATTTAGCAGTTGATGCTAGAAAATATCCTTGCTTGCCCATTTAGCAGTTGATGCTAGAAAATATCCTTGTTTGCCCATTTAGCAGTTGATGCTAGAAAATATCCTTGCTTGCCCATTTAGCAGTTGATGCTAGAAAATATCTTTGCTTGCCCATTTAGCAGTTGATGCTAGAAAATATCTTTGCTTGCCCATTTAGCAGTTGATGCTAGAAAATATCTTTGCTTGCCCATTTAGCAGTTGATGCTAGAAAATATCTTTGCTTGCCCATTTAGCAGTTGATGCTAGAAAATATCTTTGCTTGCCCAGTTGGCAGTTGATGCTAGAAAATATCCTTGCTTGCCCATTTAGCAGTTGATGCTAGAAAATATCTTTGCTTGCCCATTTAGCAGTTGATGCTAGAAAATATCTTTGCTTGCCCATTTAGCAGTTGATGCTAGAAAATATCTTTGCTTGCCCATTTAGCAGTTGATGCTAGAAAATATCTTTGCTTGCCCATTTAGCAGTTGATGCTAGAAAATATCTTTGCTTGCCCATTTAGCAGTTGATGCTAGAAAATATCTTTGCTTGCCCATTTAGCAGTTGATGCTAGAAAATATCTTTGCTTGCCCATTTAGCAGTTGATGCTAGAAAATATCTTTGCTTGCCCATTTAGCAGTTGATGCTAGAAAATATCTTTGCTTGCCCATTTAGCAGTTGATGCTAGAAAATATCTTTGCTTGCCCAGTTGGCAGTTGATGCTAGAAAATATCCTTGCTTGCCCATTTAGCAGTTGATGCTAGAAAATATCTTTGCTTGCCCATTTAGCAGTTGATGCTAGAAAATATCTTTGCTTGCCCATTTAGCAGTTGATGCTAGAAAATATCTTTGCTTGCCCATTTAGCAGTTGATGCTAGAAAATATCTTTGCTTGCCCATTTAGCAGTTGATGCTAGAAAATATCTTTGCTTGCCCATTTAGCAGTTGATGCTAGAAAATATCTTTGCTTGCCCATTTAGCAGTTGATGCTAGAAAATATCTTTGCTTGCCCAGTTGGCAGTTGATGCTAGAAAATATCTTTGCTTGCCCAGTTGGCAGTTGATTTAGTCACATGATCACTACTGAACTATGTTTTTACTACCCTTCGCGTAGTTATCCCCTCCCTATTGTTTGATAATCACAAGAACTCTTGCAAATCTTGTAATTTAACAGTTACGTCCCTTTGGCCAGCTGTTGTAGAGTGCAGTAACCAACTAGTCTGATCCAGTGACGGATCGCTAAAATAACTGTTCCAGTCCATTTCCTTCAACCAGGTGTCTGGCCTCAAGTTTCTTTTAAACTTGATATCTAGTCACACGCGACCAGCTTTATGAGATGCCGCTTTTTAAATAACTGCCGTGTTGACACGGTCGCTGGCCATTGGCCGTCTATACCGCCTGGCCTGGTGACCGTCCGGTCTCGGTGACCAACTCAGATTTGTGGACTCCTAGGCTCTGTTCCCATCCCGTGTGTGCACCCAGTCCCATCCCGTGTGTGCACCCAGTCCCATCCCGTGTGTGCACCCAGTCCCATCCCGTGTGTGCACCCAGTCCCATCCCGTGTGTGCACCCAGTCCCATCCCGTGTGTGCACCCAGTCCCGTCCCGTGTGTGCACCCAGTCCCATCCCGTGTGTGCACCCAGTCCCATCCCGTGTGTGCACCCAGTCCCGTCCCGTGTGTGCACCCAGTCCCGTCCCGTGTGTGCACCCAGTCCCGTCCCGTGTGTGCACCCAGTCCCGTCCCGTGTGTGCACCCAATCCCGTCCCGTGTGTGCACCCAGTCCCGTCCCGTGTGTGCACCCAGTCCCGTCCCGTGTGTGCACCCAGTCCCGTCCCGTGTGTGCACCCAGTCCCGTCCCGTGTGTGCACCCAGTCCCGTCCCGTGTGTGCACCCAGTCCCGTCCCGTGTGTGCACCCAGTCCCGTCCCGTGTGTGCACCCAATCCCGTCCCGTGTGTGCACCCAATCCCGTCCCGTGTGTGCACCCAATCCCGTCCCGTGTGTGCACCCAATCCCGTCCCGTGTGTGCACCCAATCCCGTCCCGTGTGTGCACCCAATCCCGTCCCGTGTGTGCACCCAATCCCGTCCCGTGTGTGCACCCAATCCCGTCCCGTGTGTGCACCCAATCCCGTCCCGTGTGTGCACCCAATCCCGTCCCGTGTGTGCACCCAATCCCGTCCCGTGTGTGCACCCAATCCCGTCCCGTGTGTGCACCCAATCCCGTCCCGTGTGTGCACCCAATCCCGTCCCGTGTGTGCACCCAATCCCGTCCCGTGTGTGCACCCAATCCCGTCCCGTGTGTGCACCCAATCCCGTCCCGTGTGTGCACCCAATCCCGTCCCGTGTGTGCACCCAATCCCGTCCCGTGTGTGCACCCAATCCCGTCCCGTGTGTGCACCCAATCCCGTCCCGTGTGTGCACCCAATCCCAGCCCAATTAAGTCCCCCCCCCCCCCCCCCCACCAACACTAACAAACGAGGTATATCGGAAGGTATTCATTCTTCGGGTTTGACTGCAACAAATTAGTCTGTACCAACCCGCGAGAAATTAAAAGGCCCTATTTGAATGGGAACTAAAGGAATGTTTCGGCACACATCGTTAGCAATCTCGGCCGACCTTTGACCCGAACATTATGCCTGTGTTGGGGCCTTATAGTTTGTGCATTCCATAACGTCAATTATTCGCTTCCTCGCATCGCCTGGCCAATAGAAATGGCGACAGGAAATCCCAAACACCCTTACCGTAAGGCGGAGAGATCAATGGATACTCACCGTACGGGGAGGGCAGGGGTGTCGGGGTTTTACAACGTTGGTGTGTGAATGTCTTACAGCTACCTAAATGGTGTGTGAATGTCTTACAGCTACCCATATGGTGTGTGAATGTCTAACAGCTACCTAAATGGTGTGTGAATGTCTTACAGCTACCCATATGGTGTGTGAATGTCTAACAGCTACCTAAATGGTGTGTGAATGTCTTACAGCTACCCATATGGTGTGTGAATGTCTTACAGCTACCCATATGGTGTGTGAATGTCTAACAGCTACCTAAATGGTGTGTGAATGTCTTACAGCTACCCATATGGTGTGTGAATGTCTTACAGCTACCCATATGGTGTGTGAATGTCTTACAGCTACCCATATGGTGTGTGAATGTCTTACAGCTACCTAAATGGTGTGTGAATGTCTTACAGCTACCTAAATGGTGTGTGAATGTCTTACAGCTACCCATATGGTGTGTGAATGTCTTACAGCTACCTAAATGGTGTGTGAATGTCTTACAGCTACCTAAATGGTGTGTGAATGTCTTACAGCTACCTAAATGGTGTGTGAATGTCTTACAGCTACCCATATGGTGTGTGAATGTCTTACAGCTACCCATATGGTGTGTGAATGTCTTACACCTAAATGGTGTGTGAATGTCTTACAGCTACCTAAATGGTGTGTGAATGTCTTACAGCTACCTAAATGGTGTGTGAATGTCTTACAGCTACCTAAATGGCGTGTGAATGTCTTACAGCTACCTAAATGGCGTGTGAATGTCTTAGCTACCTAAATGGCGTGTGAATGTCTTACAGCTACCTAAATGGTGTGTGAATGTCTTACAGCTACCTAAATGGTGTGTGACTTACAGTTGTGTGAATGCTAGTTGTCATCAGATGTAGTTAAATGTTTACTTTCCATAGGACAATGGCGCCAAGAAGGCAGAGAAAGTCAAGGCTAAACCGGTAAGTTCATGGTTAGAGCTGAGTAAATGGCAGTCAGATTTGTTCGGCTGGACATGGTGTGGTTCTGATACCCGTTTAACAAAATTTATCTTTTCAGGTGAAAGAAGTGAAAGAGGTGAAAAAAGTTGTCAAGAAATCCAAGAAATAAACTTGTGATGTTATTGTCACGAAATCCAAGAAATGTAATGTTATTGTCAGCCAGCGGTGAACTGTTGGAATAAATTGGTTTGGAAGAATTTTTTGGGTCTTGTTTACATGGTGTACTTGTTTGTAGTCTGTGTTTGAGGATATTTGGAATATCTGTGATTTGTATGACCATTGACGCACACCCCGGTGTTGTCGCTGTTTGATTGGTGTAGAGCTAGAAACTTGTTTAACGTCTGCAACATTAGACAATGTCTGCTACTATTCACAGTTCAGATCTTAATGTCGGCCCGCTAGTCAATGTCAACCCCGTGTCTGTAAGTCACGGTAGTCATAAACCTATATGTCATAAACCTACATGTAATACACCTACATGTCATAAATCTACATTTGATGTCCAACATCAAACCTTGTTAAAACGTAATTAAAAACTAATTATGACGTAACTAGTCAACGACGTTGTCACTAGAGCTACCAGTTAGTCAGAACGCTGGGATAGCTACCAGTCAGAAGGCTGGGATAGCTACCAGTTACAGACAGAAGGCTGGGATAGCTACCAGTTACAGACAGAAGGCTGGGATAGCTACCAGTTACAGACAGAACGCTGGGATAGCTACCAGTTACAGACAGAAGGCTGGAATAGCTACCAGTTACAGACAGAACGCTGGGATAGCTACCAGTTACAGACAGAAGGCTGGGATAGCTACCAGTTACAGACAGAACGCTGGGATAGCTACCAGTTACAGACAGAAGGCTGGAATAGCTACCAGTTACAGACAGAACGCTGGGATAGCTACCAGTTACAGACAGAAGGCTGGGATAGCTACCAGTTACAGACAGAACGCTGGGATAGCTACCAGTTACAGACAGAACGCTGGGATAGCTACCAGTTACAGACAGAACGCTGGGATAGCTACCAGTTACAGACAGAACGCTTGGATAGCTACCAGTTAGTCAGAACGCTGGGATAGCTACCAGTTAGTCAGAACGCTGGGATAGCTACCAGTTAGTCAGAACGCTGGGATAGCTACCAGTTACAGACAGAAGGCTGGGATAGCTACCAGTTAGTCAGAACGCTGGGATAGCTACCAGTTACAGACAGAAGGCTGGGATAGCTACCAGTTACAGACAGAACGCTGGGATAGCTACCAGTTACAGACAGAACGCTGGGATAGCTACCAGTTACAGACCCATCTAGAGAACGCTGGGATAGCTACCAGTTACAAACAACGCTAGGATAGCTAGCAGTTACAGACAGAACGCTAGGATAGCTAAGAGTATCTGACGGGTACACATACCGTTTGAAGCGGTGGATCTTGTCCGATGTAGCCTATTCAGTCCTATTGTGTGGCGGTTGTTTGTTGGCAAGGGTGGGTTGAGGTGGGCGGATGGTGTGTTGATTCATAAATAGGGAGCGGCACGGGGCTATGCATGAATGAAATTTGGGAAGGACAAGAGACACACGGAATGTTAACACGGCCAGCAAGCTCGGTTAGTCCCCCCAGTCCGCTGTACATTTAACATATGCAAGATGATATCGCCCGTAGATGGCGGCCGGGATTTGGTTTCAACTGGCGGAGTTTTCCACAAGTCTCGTCCCTAACCAGCTAGATCAGTTTTGTTCAGTCTTGTCCCTAACCAGCTAGATCTGTTTTGTCTCGTCCCTAACCAGCTAGATCAGTTTTGTCTCGTCCCTAACCAGCTAGATCAGTTTTGTCTCGTCCCTAACCAGCTAGATCAGTTTTGTCTCGTCCCTAACCAGCTAGATCAGTTTTGTTCAGTCTCGTCCCTAACCAGCTAGTTCAGTTTTGTCTCGTCCCTAACCAGCTAGATCAGTTTTGTCTCGTCCCTAACCAGCTAGATCAGTTTTGTTCAGTCTCGTCCCTAACCAGCTAGTTCAGTTTTGTCTCGTCCCTAACCAGCTAGATCAGTTTTGTCTCTTCCCTAACCAGCTAGATCAGTTTTGTCTCGTCCCTAACCAGCTAGATCAGTTTTGTCTCGTCCCTAACCAGCTAGATCAGTTTTGTCTCGTCCCTAACCAGCTAGATCAGTTTTGTTCAGTCACGTCCCTAACCAGCTAGATCAGTTTTGTCTCTTCCCTAACCAGCTAGATCAGTTTTGTCTCGTCCCTAACCAGCTAGATCAGTTTTGTCTCGTCCCTAACCAGCTAGATCAGTTTTGTCTCGTCCCTAACCAGCTAGATCAGTTTTGTCTCGTCTCTAACCAGCTAGATCAGTTTGTCTCGTCCCTAACCAGCTAGATCAGTTTTGTCTCGTCCCTAACCAGCTAGATCAGTTTTGTCTCGTCCCTAACCAGCTAGATCAGTTTTGTTCAGTCTCGTCCCTAACCAGCTAGCCAGACAAGGCCTACTAGCTAGCCAGACAAGTCCTACTAGCTAGCCAGACAAGTCCTACCAGCTAGCCAGACAAGTCCTACTAGCTAGCCAGACAAGTCCTACCAGCTAGCCAGACAAGTCCTACTAGCTAGCCAGACAAGTCCTACCAGCTAGCCAGACAAGGCCTACTAGCTAGCCAGACAAGTCCTACTAGCTAGCCAGACAAGTCCTACCAGCTAGCCAGACAAGTCCTACCAGCTAGCCAGACAAGTCCTACCAGCTAGCCAGACAAGTCCTACTAGCTAGCCAGACAAGTCCTACCAGCTAGCCAGACAAGTCCCACTAGCTAGCCAGACAAGTCCTACCAGCTAGCCAGACAAGGCCTACTAGCTAGCCAGACAAGTCCTACTAGCTAGCCAGACAAGTCCTACCAGCTAGCCAGACAAGGCCTACTAGCTAGCCAGACAAGTCCTACTAGCTAGCCAGACAAGTCCTACCAGCTAGCCAGACAAGTCCTACCAGCTAGCTGACAAGTCCTACTAGCTAGCCAGACAAGTCCTACTAGCTAGGACAGTCAACTCCTACCAGCTAGCCAGACAAGTCCTACTAGCTAGCCAGACAAGTCCTACCAGCTAGCCAGACAAGTCCTACCAGCTAGCTGACAAGTCCTACTAGCTAGCCAGACAAGTCCTACCAGCTAGGACAGTCAACTCCTACCAGCTAGCCAGACAAGTCCTACCAGCTAGCCAGACAAGTCCTACTAGCTAGCCAGACAAGTCCTACTAGCTAGCCAGACAAGTCCTACCAGCTAGCCAGACAAGTCCTACTAGCTAGCCAGACAAGTCCTACTAGCTAGCCAGACAAGTCCTACCAGCTAGCCAGTCAACTCCTACCAGCTAGCCAGACAAGTCCTACTAGCTAGCCAGACAAGCCCTACCAGCTAGCTGACAAGTCCTACTAGCTAGCCAGACAAGTCCTACCAGCTAGCCAGACAAGTCCTACTAGCTAGCCAGACAAGTCCTACCAGCTAGCCAGACAAGGCCTACTAGCTAGCCAGACAAGTCCTACCAGCTAGCCAGACAAGTCCTACTAGCTAGCCAGACAAGTCCTACCAGCTAGCCAGACAAGTCCTACTAGCTAGCCAGACAAGTCCTACCAGCTAGCCAGACAAGTCCTACTAGCTAGCCAGACAAGTCCTACCAGCTAGCCAGACAAGTCCTACTAGCTAGCCAGACAAGTCCTACCAGCTAGCCAGACAAGTCCTACTAGCTAGCCAGACAAGTCCTACCAGCTAGCCAGACAAGTCCTACTAGCTAGCCAGACAAGTCCTACCAGCTAGCCAGACAAGTCCTACTAGCTAGCCAGACAAGTCCTACCAGCTAGCCAGACAAGTCCTACTAGCTAGCCAGACAAGTCCTACCAGCTAGCCAGACAAGTCCTACTAGCTAGCCAGACAAGTCCTACTAGCTAGCCAGACAAGTCCTACTAGCTAGCCAGACAAGTCCTACCAGCTAGCCAGACAAGTCCTACTAGCTAGCCAGACAAGTCCTACTAGCTAGGACAGTCAACTCCTACCAGCTAGCCAGACAAGTCCTACTAGCTAGCCAGACAAGTCCTACCAGCTAGCCAGACAAGTCCTACTAGCTAGCCAGACAAGTCCTACTAGCTAGCCAGACAAGTCCTACCAGCTAGCCAGTCAACTCCTACCAGCTAGCCAGACAAGTCCTACTAGCTAGCCAGACAAGTCCTACCAGCTAGCCAGACAAGTCCTACCAGCTAGCCAGACAAGTCCTACTAGCTAGCCAGACAAGTCCTACCAGCTAGGACAGTCAACTCCTACCAGCTAGCCAGACAAGTCCTACTAGCTAGCCAGACAAGTCCTACTAGCTAGCCAGACAAGTCCTACCAGCTAGCCAGTCAACTCCTACCAGCTAGCCAGACAAGTCCTACCAGCTAGCCAGACAAGTCCTACCAGCTAGCTGACAAGTCCTACTAGCTAGCCAGACAAGTCCTACCAGCTAGCCAGACAAGTCCTACCAGCTAGCCAGACAAGGCCTACTAGCTAGCCAGACAAGTCCTACCAGCTAGCTGACAAGTCCTACCAGCTAGCTGACACGTCCTACCAGCTAGCCAGACAAGTCCTACCAGCTAGTCAGACAAGTCCTACCAGCTAGCCAGACAAGTCCTACTAGCTAGCCAGGCAAGTCCTACTAGCTAGCCAGACAAGTCCTACTAGCTAGCTGACAAGTCCTACTAGCTAGCTGACAAGTCCTACTAGCTAGCCAGACAAGTCCTACCAGCTAGCTGACAAGTCCTACTAGCTAGCCAGACAAGTCCTACCAGCTAGCCAGACAAGTCCTACCAGCTAGCCAGACAAGGCCTACTAGCTAGCCAGACAAGTCCTACCAGCTAGCTGACAAGTCCTACCAGCTAGCTGACACGTCCTACCAGCTAGCCAGACAAGTCCTACCAGCTAGTCAGACAAGTCCTACCAGCTAGCCAGACAAGTCCTACTAGCTAGCCAGACAAGTCGTACTAGCTAGCCAGACAAGTCCTACTAGCTAGCTGACAAGTCCTACTAGCTAGCTGACAAGTCCTACTAGCTAGCCAGACAAGTCCTACCAGCTAGCTGACACGTCCTACCAGCTAGTCAGACAAGTCCTACCAGCTAGCCAGACAAGTCCTACTAGCTAGCCAGACAAGTCCTACTAGCTAGCCAGACAAGTCCTACTAGCTAGCTGACAAGTCCTACTAGCTAG